TTAGAATAGATCTATATTTTTATCATAATATTTTTTAATGAAACCTATCTGTCATATTTATGAGGAGCTTTTTGCTGCAACTTCCTAGGTTCCATTTTATTTTGTACTACATTTTTTATCATTCAGCTTCTGTCTACAGATTGTCTTAGTGTCAATTCAGTAGTGTTTGTTCCGAGTCCACATTGTGCACTGATGGATTCAGCCTCATTGTACCCATTGCTAAAGCAGAGTAGAAAGTGAATTCAAGAGTTACACCTCAGATTCTACAAGACTTTTCCTCATTTCAAATAATATTTCTGAAGCATAACAAAAAAAAAAAAAAACCCTGGAAATGGCATCTGCAGGAAACCTGTCAACTGAAATGCCTTTAATAATAATGGTCTGATGGACACTGAGGGAAATGCTAAAGAAAGAATGTGCAAAATATAGAAGTGTCAGATACTCTTCATTTCTTTCCCTATCTTCTTTAGAGTAGGCTGTCGGGCTTTACCATGAAAGGTGCTTGTCTCACATTGTAAATGTTTGTGAATACTGCAATCTGAGAAATAGGAAAATCCCTTTTGGAGACTGTATTATTTAATTCCTATTGATAATTATAAAGATAAACAGTATACATTGAAATATACAGTAAAATATGCAGTGCATTGTTTTTATGAAAATAGCTCAAAATTATTTTTATCTTTTTATGTTTTTTAAGAATGTTATCAACTAAATTTTAATTTTTGATAAAATACAAAGAAATAAAAAATATTAAAACAATTAGCTGTGTATTGTTTTTCATTTCTCTTATAAAAAGAGATTTCATCCTCTGAGTCAGTGTTTCTTAAGCTATCTATGACGATTGTCGGAAATTGTTTTCCTAATGTGTCAGGGACACCATACTTGTGTCTATAATTGCAACTGTCCCTTCCTTTCCTGGAAACCTGCTGCAGAAAGCAGCCAATGGTTCAGGGGCTAGCACCAGTCCACAGACCACCACTTTGAGCAGCACTGCTTTGAGTTGTATATATGAGTAAAATGAATGGTGTATGGACATGAATTTTGACAGTGTTATAATACAGAACATATAAAAAGGTAAAGGTTCCCCTTGACATTAAGTCTAGTCGAATCCGACTCTGGGAGGTGGTGCTCATCTCCACTTCTAAGCCGAAGAGCTGGCATTGTCCATAGACACCTCAAAGGTCATGTGGCCGGCATGACTGCATGGAGCGCTGTTACCTTCCTGCAGAAGCAGTACCTACTGATCTCACATTTACATGTTTTCAAACTGCTAGGTTAGCAGAAGCTGGGGCTAACAGTGGGAGCTCGCCACATTCCCTGATTTGAACTGCTGTCTTTTCGGTCAGCAAGTTCAGCAGCTCAGTGGTTTAACCCACTGTGCCATCGGGGTTTCCACAACAGACATGACAACCACATGCATTTCCTAGGGTTTTCTTAGGCAACAAATGCTCAGATATGGTTTAGCTAGTTCTTCCTTCTGAAATAGAGTCTACAGCTTCTGGTATTTGTTGGCAGCCTCCCATCTAACCATAGCTAACCATGCTTAGCTTCCATGATCAGACAGGATCTGGTGCATTTAAAATATTTGTTTATATATCTATATCTATATCAAAAGGCAAAAAATTGAATAATTTGTGGATGCATTCTCACCTCGAGCCAGGTCATAGTGACAGTGTAAGGGAATTCTCCCAAAATAGTAGAGCATCCAAAAATTCAAACAGAATAGTTAACTGAGCAGTCAGCTCACAGCAAGCGGAAAGGTGAAGTGTTGCGTGGCTGTAAAAGAATTGTGTGTGTGTGTGAGAGAGAGAGAGAGGGGGGGACGACAAATAGTGGATTGCTGTGAGTTTTCCGGGCTTTATGGTCATGTTCCAGAAGCACTCTCTGCTGACATTTCATCCACATATATAGCAGGGATCCTCAGAGGTTGAAGGGTCTGTTGGAAACTAGGCAAGTGAGGTTTATATATCTGTGGAATGTCTAGGGTGGGAGAAAGAACTCTTGTCTTCTTGATGCAAGTGTGAATGCTGCAAATGGCCACCTTAATTAGCATTTAATGGGCTTGCAGTTTCAAAGCCTGGCTCGTTGCTGCCTGCGGGAATCCTTTCTTGGGTCACTGGACCTGATTGATTCTCTACTCCTAACACCTCCCAATAAAGGATTCCCCCAGGCAGGTACCAGCCAGAGAAGAGAATGCTTCTGGAACATGGCCATACAGCCCAGAAAACTCACAGCAACCCAGTGATTCCAGGCATGAAAGCCTTCAACAAAACAAATAGATACATTCCAACTGACATTCAGGAGTAGGTGGGATTTAATTTTTAGTGTGTCTTAGCAGGTTTTTACATTTTACTAGCCGTCCCCTGCCATGAGTTGCCGTGGCTCAGTCTATGTATATATGTTTTGTGTGTATATATATGTGTGTATATGTGTGCGTATATATATGTGTGTATATATTTTTATATATGTGGTTTTGCGTATGCGCTGTCATGTATGTATGTATTTATTTATTTTGGCTTTTAAAGTCTCTTCCGCTGTGTTTTTCAGTCTTTTTATGAGTGATGGCCTGATAGGTGTATTATGTCCAAATTTGGTGTCAATTCGTCCAGTGGTTTTTGAGTTATGTTAATCCCACAAACGAACATTTCATATTTATTTATATAGACTAGCCATTCCCTGCCATGCGTTGCTGTGGCCCACTCTGTGTATATGTGTTTTGTGTGTGTATATATGTATATATGTGGTTTTGCACATGCATTGTAATATATATATTTATTTTTTGCCTTTTTAAGTCTCTTCTGCTATATTTTTCAGTGTTTTTATGAGTGATAGTCACTCGTTGGCCTGATACATGTATTGTGTCCAAATTTGGTGTCAATTTGTCCAGTGGTTTTTGAGTTATGTTAATCCCACAAATGAACATTACATTTTTATTCATATAGAAGATGATGATAGATGATGTTGTCTGTATAGTTTTCCTTTCTGGCAATTGTATATTTTGCCTTATATATTGGAAACTACCATGAGTCCCCTTGGGGGGACTAACCGTTAACTAACTAACCGTTAGCTAAGCTAACTAACCATTCCTCATTGAGGACTGCAGACTTGGGCAGTGTGGTTGGCTTCCAACAGAGGGTTGGATGCCAACTCTCTGTTTGCGTATGTTTTAGCAGGTTTTTTCATTTTATGATTTTGTCTTTATGGTTTTTTCTTTCTGGCAATTGAATGTTTTGCCTTATATGTTGGTAACCACCCTGAGTCCCCTTGGGGAGATAGGACAGTATACAAATAAAGTTATTATTATTATTATTATTTGAAACACAACAAGATGAGTCCACAGCAGACACTCTGCTGGCTGTTGAATTGGATCACACGTTGGACACTTCCCAAGTGTCTAGGACTGTGTGATGTATCGACGAATAATGCGTGCAGATCTCAGAAAGGTGGCCTTTTGCAGCTGGCAGATGGTAATTTTGTCAGCGCCGATTGTGCTGATCACCACTGGGACCACCTTGACTGGCTTGTGCCAGAGTCTTTTCAGTTTGATTTTTAAATCCTCATATTGTGTCAGCTTTTCCAGTTTCTCTGCAATCCTGCTGTCACCTGGGATTGCGACACCAACGACCCATACTTCGTTTTTTAACACGATTGTGAGGTCAGGAGTATTATGCTCCAAAACTCTGTCTGAATCTGGAAGTCCCAGAGGAGTTTGGCGTGTTCATTCTCTGTAACTTTTTCCAGATTGTGATCCCACCAATTCTTTGTCGCAGGCAGATGGTATTTGTTTGGCAATGATTGGTTAATGAACACTGGAATGGAACAATGGACGACAAATCTGGAACATGTTTTTGATGACGAGACGACAGTGAATGGGTATTGTAGTAACTGTTTATTAATTGTGTAATGTGTTAGGTTGTTAACTGTTTCTATACTGTAGCACTGAATTTTTGCTGTTTGTATTTGTTGTGAACCGCTGTGAGTCGCCTTCGGCTGAGAACAGCGGTATATAAGTAAGGTAAATAAATAAAATTTGTGGCACAAGTTCTAATGAATCATCTGAGCAATGGTGTTATGCCTTTGCTTGTAGTCTGTCTGCGTGATCTTGCAGCAGCTCAGGATGTGATCTATTGTTTCATCTGCTTCCTTGCAGAGTCGACATTTAATTTGTTGTTGACTTTTCAGTTCTGGCTTTGATGGCATTTGTTCTAATGCAATGGTTCTCAACCTGTGGGTCCTCAGGTGTTTTGGCCTACAACTCCCAGGAATCCCAGCCAGTTTACCAGCTATTAGGATATCTGGGAGTTGAAGTCCAAAAACATCTGGGGACCCCAGGTTGAGAACCACTGTAATGGCTTGTTCTTGGGCTGCCAGAATCAGGCCCTCCATCTCCTTTTTCAGAGTTGTTATTATTATCATTATTATCATCATTATTATAGGAGCTCCTGGTGGTGCAGTGGGTTAAACCCCTGTGCCAGCAGGACTGAGGACCGACAGGTCGCAGGTTCGTATCCGGGGAGAGGCGGATGAGCTCCCTCTATCAGCTCCAGCTCCTCATGCGGGGACATAAGAGAAGCCTCCCACAAGGATGATAAAACATCAAATCATCCGGGCGTCCCCTGGGCAACGTCCTTGCAGACGGCCAATTCTCTCACACCAGAAGCGACTTGCTGACAAAAAAATCATTATTATTCCGTCAGCCTGTTGTAAAGCTAACTAACCGTTCCTCATTGAGGACTGCAGGCTTGGCCAGTGTGGGGTTGGCTTCCAACAGAGGAGCAGGCCGCTTCCTGCCTCTTTAAGGATCCTTTCCGTAGTTCGGCGTGCCCGTTTCCAAGGCAACTGCGGGCGTGGAAGGGGGAGGGGTCCAGCGTGCCCAACGTGCTCAACGTGCGCTCGCGGTGACGTATCGACAACCCCGAGCCATAACAATAGTGACGTGAGGCGGCGCGTCGGTGGCGGTCCTCCCTCCGCGCATGCGTGCCCTAGTGGCCTGCTTCTATTTACGTGGGGAGGAGGGGGCAATGCGCTCCAAGATGGCGGCGGCGACAGCGGCGAGGGGGAGAAGCAGCGCTGGCAGCGGGAGCAGCTAGTGGGCAGGGGGAGGGGCTCCGGCCCGGTCCGAGAGAGGGGGAGGAGGAGGAGGCGGAGCCGGGCTGCGGGTCGGGGAGGGGGTGCCGGAGGATGGCGGAGCCGCGCCGGGTGCCGTTCGTGAGCCTGTCACCCGTGAGGCGCCGAGAGGGCGCCGAGGCTCCGGGGCCTGAGTCCGGGGCGGGCCGCGAGGTGGCGGAGAAGCCTCTTCAGCCATTGGGGCGCGAGGCCTTGAAACTGCCAGAGCTGGCGCCTCAGCACCACGACAACAGTGGCCGAGCAGAGGGCCCGCCACCGCCGCTGCCCTCCTTCGAGCCCTGCCCTCGGCCTCCGCTCTTGCCGCCGCCACAGCATCCGAGGCTGGAGACCACAACTACCACGACGCCTCCTCAGCAGCAGCAGCAGCAGCAGCAGGAAAGCCACCATCAGGAGACGACGGCGCCTCCGCCCCAGCGTCAGACCGTCCGCCTGGAGTTGGCGCTGAAGGACCCCACCGAGGAGAGCTGCGTGGAGTTCAGCTACCCCGAGCTGCTCTCCTCCGGCGAGCCCCGGGTACGGGACCTGCGCGCCGCCCCGCTCCTTTCTCCATCCTTCCTTCCTTCCTTCCTCCATATGGTTGGCCGCCTTCTGTGGGAAGGAGAGGGATAATAACAGGCGAGCCATCAAAACGCTTCTCTGCCAGAAGACAAACCCTGATCCAGCCAGGTGTCTGTCGGGGGTGCTTCGATTGTAGTTTTCCTTCATGGCAGAATGGGGTTGGACTGCATGGCCTTTGGGGTGTCTTCCAACTAGGATTCTGTGGTGAAACTGAGGGACTCGGTTCCCCCCCTTTTGCTATTTGAAGATCTTCTGATACAAACCAAGTGTCCTCCCATAGTTATATTTTTATTCACAAGCCTGAGTATAATATTGGGCTTACTTTTAATAGTCACTCTCAAGCAACCAGAAACTAATTTAAATGGCACCAGATAACTGAGAGTGTAACTCTCAAGCAACTCAAAACTACATTTATCTGTAAAGTGCACTCACAGTTATTAAATGTAGTTTTCCCCCAGGCAGCAACCAGCCAGGCTTTGAAATTGCAAGGCCATTTATATTTTATTTATCGTGTCAGGGCAACCAGTCGATTATATTACATTTCTAACAGAACAGAGCAAACAAACAGACAAAATACAAAATTTGTGAGTTTGGTAGTTGATTAAATGTCCTTTGACCAGTATCTGGCCACTTGGAGTGCTTCTGGTGTTGCTGCAAGAAGGTCCTCCATTGTGCATGTGGCAGGGCTCAGGTTGCATTGCAGCAGGTGGTCAGTGGTTTGCTCCTCTCCACACTCGCATGTCGAGGATTCCACTTTGTAGCCCCATTTCTGAAGGTTGGATCTGCATCTCGTGGTGCCAGAGAGCAGTCTGTTCAGCGCCTTCCAAGATCTTAGACAGGCCCCTACAATGGCAGTCTTCAGAAAGAACTTGAAGACCTGGCTGTTCCGATGTGCCTTCCCAGATTAGGAATCTCCAATACCAAGTCCTAGAAGCACTTTAGTAGAACTAAGATTGCTGCACACCGCACACTGCACTTACTTTATAATCCTACATACCTCCTGCCACATCAGCACTTTTAATCTTGTACCCATTACTCTGGCCCGGCCCAGTTTTTATAGTGTCTTGATGTATTGTTTATTGTTTGTTGTTTATACTGCTTAACTGTTTTTAATTTGCTTTAGGTATTGTATTGTTGTATTGTGTTTTGAGGCCTTGGCCTATGTAAGCCGCATCGAGGGGGGGGGGTCTCTCATTTGGTATCAGCCATTGGTTGAGGTTCTGGGTTTGAGCCTGCCACTTTTGGACTCTCACTTGCTGAGGTGTTCCAGCGAGTGTCTCTGTAGATCTTAGAAAACTATGTCTAGATTTAAGTCGTTGACGTGCTGGCTGATACCCAAACAGGGGATGAGCTGGAGATGTCTCTGCCTTGGTCCTTTCACTATTGGCTGCTACTTCCCTGCGGATGTCAGGTGGGCAAGGCCATTAAATGCTAATAAAGGTAGCCATTTGCGACATTCACACCTGCATCAAATAGACGAGTTCTTTCTCCTATCCTGGACATTCCACAGATACACAAATCTCACTTGGCTAGTTTCCAGCCGATCCCTCAACCTCTGAGGATGCCTGCCATAGATGTGGGCAAAACTTCAGGAACATGGCCATATAGCCCGGAAAACTCAGAGCAACCAAGTTTCTGGTTGCTTGACAATTATTCTTAAAAAATAAGCCTAATATTATACTCCATACTATATCATACCATAAATTCTATTGAATTGATAGTAATAATGAAATACAGAAATTAAAAGAAAATAAAGGCAAAATATAACCCAGTTTTACTGTATTATACATGTATAATACAGTAAAACTGGGTTATATTTTGCCTTTAATTCTTATTTAAATTACTATTTCTTCAATTTTTTCTAGTCGCTTGAGAGCTTTGGTTGCTTGGATTCCAGGTGACTTCAGAGTAGTATGTATCTGTATGCAGCAGTGGCTCAGCAGGTTAAACCACTGAGCTGCTGAATTTGCTGACCAATAGGTCAGCAATTCGAATTGGGAGAGCGGGGTGAGCTTCTGCTGATAGCCCCAGCTTCTGCCAACCTTGCAGTTTGAAAACATGCAAATGTGAGTAGATCAATAGGTACCACTTTGGTGGGAAGGTAACAACACTCCATGCAGTCATGCTGGCCACATGACCGAGAAGGCGTCTACTGACAGCGCTGGCTTTTCGGCTTAGAAATGGAGATAAGCACCACCCCCCAGAGTCAGACATGACTAGACTTAATGTCAGGGGAAACCTTTACCTTTTATATATCTGTGGAAATATCCTTCCCCTTGAAGTCAGTGAGTTAAGTTTTCTATGCACAAACTCTCCCATAATGTTATCTGTACTATTTTCTTCCATTCAGTGCACTTTGAAAGTTGTGTTGTATCTCCCATTGCATTCTGTGTGGTTTGCTTGAGTAGGAGTGGGATCAAATGCAAAACTGGGTTTGATTCTGTACACTTTCATAGACAATATTAGATGCATGCAAAGATTGATCAGGATTCCGGGAAACTGCCTTGTATTTTAGATACCTCAGGGCAACCTAGTTGGCCAGATTTAGTTGTAGAGAGATGCCATATTGAAGTATAGCTTCAAAGGAAGGAAGTTCTGTTTTTCTTACCTTTGTATCCCACTTTTACAGGATCCAGTGCAATAATCAATTACAAACAAAGTTTTATCATGTAGTTCTGCAAATGTTTGATATCAATCAAGATTAGTAGAACTGCGGAAAAAAGTGTAGATTTTCTCAACATTTCATGTAAAAGGGAATAAAAATGCTTCTATATTTGAAATTTCTGTGAAATAGTCTGGTACTGAGAGATCTTTTGATCTGGCTGTACTTCATCATAGTGAAACGAAGTAGATGGCAGTGGGAAAGGTTGCTATTAATATTAGCATTATGCATGAACTCCATAAATTATTTTAATTGCAATTCTATCAAACTAGAGTTAGACTACTGTGCTGCTTACTCCATAATGGGAAATAGTAGCGTCATTAACTTCTAAACAGGAAACAGTTACAGTAAAATTGATTAGATTGCCAATATTTTACCTGGATAAAAGTATCAATTTACATTTTTGTTCCTTATCTGTTTTGTGGGGAATGTAAATTTTGGTTGTTTAGCTAACTTATGTCCATACTGCAGATGCTTATGTGATCTACAGAGGCATGTTTTAAGTACCACCTTTGATGATCCTTTGGGAATATTAGCGAATATTGAGTTTTAGAAAAGATAGTACAGCCTATTCCACAAATATAAAGGGCTTCTGGGGAGTGAGACATTCCCAGCCTGCATTCTCCTTTTGTATTGTTGAGAAAATAACCACTAATTGAATTATTACTTTGGGCCACTTTGCTCACAGGAAAATCAACATGCAAACAAAGTACAGTCCAGAATCTTCTGAACTGCTGACAGGTCCTTCAGTGGCAAGGAGAACACTAGATTATTCTATGCTTGAATGAATAGACTTCTGTAAATGAAGCAAGCACTCCATTGTTAGTGGTTGGTTGTGTTCAGGAAGTATAGCAACATGTCTGAACTGTGGCATTGTTGCACATTATAAGACTACTGAAGGCGTGTTCATAGAACCTGCTGCTCTGTAAGTGAGATTATCCTATATTGTTTGCATCACTAGAAAGTAAATAAGCCACTTTTTCTATGTGGCTTTTTTACAATCTACCTCTCTTTATATGGGTCTCAAGGATGATATTTCCACAGCCTAGTATGTCAAACCAGTCTTTAGTTTCATATTTAAAGCGACTTTAGTCTCACACTGCAGCACTACAGTGAACCACTTACCCACTTGCATATTCTCCCTTACGGAGTGTGGTGGAGGCTCCTTCTTTGGAAGCTTTTAAACAGAGGCTGGATGGCCATCTGTCAGGGGTGCTTTGAATGTAATATTTCTGTTTCTTGGCAGAGGGTTGGACTGGATGGCCCATGAGGTCTCTTCCAACTCTATGATTCTATGAAATCATAGAACATGGCCATATAGCCCGAAAAAACCCACAAGAACCTAGTGACTCCAGCCATGAAAGCCTTCGATAATACATTCTATGAAATGTGAAATTTTAAAACATGAAATAGGGTAAAATCATGGCCATATACAACCATAAGTTTTTTGTTTATTTTGAGACTGTTTTGAAACAATGTGCATGGTAAATAAAAAGAAATAGTTAGGTTGAAAGAGATTACATAAATATAGCCTTATATCCCTGAATAATTATATCTGTCAGCTATGCCTCTTCCATAATACTGGAAGGTGAAGCAGAAACACACTTTGGAATCAGTGTACTGTCCTACATATCACTTGACGTTATTAGTGCTCACAGACCTGCTGCAGCAAAGTGTTTCTTATTAAAAGACTCTTGTGTAGTAACTTTATGTGGAAATTGGTAAGCAGTAGCTAAGTCTTTAAAGTAACATTCTGAATTGAAGTTACATAATAGTTTTATTAATTATAAAGTGGTCCATCTATCAATGTGATTCTAAAAAGAGACAATTACATCTATAACATCTGGATAATTGTCATCCATGTAAAACTAGATAATTCAGTTTTATCCTCGTAGCTGCTCTTTGCTCTTTCAGATATGATAAATATAGAGATGAGACAGAGAATTTGAGGATGTGTGTATTCTCTGATGTTTCTCCCCTAGCATGGTTGTGAGAAAATGAAAATCCTTTGCTTCCATTTTAGCAATCATAGTTTGTTTTTGCTGAAGTTGGCAGATTCTGATTTTTTTGAATTAAGTAAAATTCAAACCATGGGTTATGAAGCTCTCTTACCTCAGTAGATCACAGTTACAAATTGTCCAGAATCTTAGGGAATGAATGCAACCTGTGGAAACTGGTTAATTAAAACAACTAAAAGATGAAGAAAATGAAGGCATATGAGGTCAAGACTTGTTGTGGCCTGTTCTCATCTGAATAAACTGATCTATTATAGAGGCTAAGAAAGTGACTGGCTCCAGATAATAACAGGTTATAGAAATTTGAACTCAGACCTTCACGGACCAAGTCTAATATGCTTATCTGAAACATCATAGAAGTGTTCTCTTTGTGTATTCACATACATAATATGCCTATGGTGTGTTAAGTGCAGGCATGCTAATAAGAAGAAAAAATGGATGGATACTGGCCCCTTCCTCTGTGCTTCTCTTCTGTTAGGTTCTACTAAACATGTATTTTCTTCCTCATGAACCAGAGGAGAGTAGTCTTCCTTTGTTCTTTTGTGAACATAGTGGAGTTTGCTGACCTGTCTTTCTAAACTATTATCATACCATAAGACTTATATCTTGGGTGTTTGCGGTTTCTCTCTAGTTCAGGTACGCGTATTATCCTGTGCATATTGCAAAAATAGTGTCTACATTGGAAGTCTCTAATCTGTATAGATCCTGATGTAAGGCAGATACTATTCACTATACCTCTACAACTATAGAAACCATTGCTCTGCAACATACTTTTTATCTTTAAAATAGTCTGTAATTACAGATTATTCTTTTTATATTGTTTGCCTTGCCACCTCTGACTTAATACAAAAATGCAAATTAGACTTTGCATAATTTTGTTCCTATGCATATGAAGAGTTTCCTTATAACAGCTGTTCTAGCAATATGGTGTTTTGTAATTTATAGAATGCAACTTTCCATCTTGCAGTCAGTAATGGAACTTTATATAACTTAAGTTATATTAAGCATTAGTCAGAAAGTCAATCTCGTTGCTTTTTGGTGAAGAATGAGGGTACGGACACAGCTTCTGTAATGGTGCTATGGACTGTGAGCAAGGAGGTGCATTCTTTCTATTTGTTTCCTGCCAATATTATTTGCAGTGTTTAGAAATGTTATGTAGGTAGCCAGCATGCATATTTACAGGCTCTGCACAACTCTCTGGTGTCTGTATGTGTACTCGAGTATCTGTGCATGCAGCAAATTTAAAATTCTTGTTAATTTTTTGTGGGGGACTAAGGCCTTGATATAGTCATCAGATAACTTTTGCCAATGTGGCACCTCTGTTGCAGAGAAAATGCTTATTTTTATTTATACAATGCCTTTCACCAAAAAGCAAGTACTGTTCAAAAATATTGATATGAAAACAATTACATCCAGCATAAAGAAATTTCACAGTAATTTGCCAGTGCTTTATATTTAATGCTCATGTTAGTAAGGTCAACGATGATCCCAGCCCACCTGATATCTTTGTGAGTAGCATCCGAGCTAAATGTGATTGACCATGTGTTGCAGGCATTTGTTGGCTAGTTCAGCCTCTTCTATTTGTCTTTGTTTTGGAGCATTGACACATGTTTCTTGCCATAAAAAGTGAAGAATGGTTGCCTGCAGCATATTACCAGCCCCATAGGTATTACCTGGAGGCTGTATATGTTCATATTATTGATTTCTAATTTAGTTTCTTTGAAATTTTAGTTTAATTGCATAATAAAATGACTGCCAGATTTTTTTCCTTGAAATACAATGTGTTGGTACAGGTTGGACATCCTTTATCTGGAATTCCCAATACTTCAGATTTGTCCACATGAGTAGCTGAGATAGTGACACCTTGGCTTTCTCATGATTGAATATCCACAAACATTGTTCCATGCATAAAATTATAGAAAATATTGTCTGAAATTTCCTTCAGGCTATATTTATACTGTGTATATGAAACATACATGAGTTTCATTTAGACTTGGATCCCATTTCCAAGATATCTTATTATGTATGTGTATGTATGTATGTATGTATGTATGTGTGTATATATATACACACACACACACACACAGTATGTAAATACTGGTCTTGGGTAATTAAAAACAATTCTGCTTCCAAGCAGATTGGGTAAGGATGCTTAACTTACGGTACTTCAATTCTAATTCTTAAACACAGTTCTTAAAAAGAAATTATTTGGCTCAGAGTTCGCTTTATAGCGACCCGTGTTTTAATTCCAAATGTATATGTCTACACCTTACTCCTGTTTATGCATTTGGGCTACCAGAAAAAGTAAAAACAAATACAGGACCAAACAAATCCGCCTACTCCTGGTTTAGCTCTACATGTTTGAGCAAGACCATCTTCAGCTAATCTTCCTTTTCTCTTGACTCGGGAGGAGAACTAGAAACCATGGCTCAAAACAAATGTTTGTTAAACAAACCAGTTTACTATAAACCATCATTTGAATTAACTTGTTTAAAAGCTGAGCATCTTGAAACCAGTATTTGGCTCATATATAACCATAGCTTCTCGCTTTCCATGAAACGGGAAATTTGTTAAATGAAAACTGCCTGTATGATAATTTAGGCAGTGAAGGGCCTACATATGACGACAGAAGGCTTGTATTTTAGCTTTTCAAGCTGAGATATAGTAATCCGCCCCAGGTCAGTGTTTCAGGGTTCAGAGTGAAGGTGAACCATCTAAGCAAGTAGCTTTGATCATAATCATCTCCCGTATAAACAATGTTGGTTTAATGAGGGCTCTGATGACCTGAGATATGCTCTTGTTTGTAATCTGAATGACCATATGATTGGCCTGTAACTCTATGACCATTTGTCATTTATACTCAAGTATAAGCCGACCCAAATATAAGCCGAGGCACCTAATTTTACCACAAAAAAAACTAGGAAAACATATTGACTCGAGTATAAGCCGAGGGTGGGAAATGCAGCAGCTATGGGTCAATTTCAAAATAAAAATAGAGACCAATAAAATTACAATTATATCAGTAAGTTCAATGTTTTTGAATTTTTATATAAAACTGTAATTTAAGATAAGACTGTCCAACTCTGATTAAACCATTATTCTCACCTTCTTCAATGTCAATGTACTGATGTATCCTTCCCATAAGAGTGTGGAATAATAAATGTAATAATAATAATAATAATAATAATAATAATAGAGTAAAATAATGGAAATGTAATAATAACCGTAATAATAGAATAAAATAATAAATGTAATAATAACAATAATAACACAGTAAAATAATAAATAACATTGATTCAAGTATAAGCCGAGGGGAACCTTTTCAGCCTAAAAAAAGGGCTAAAAAACTAGGCTTATATTCCAGTATATACAGTATATGGAACTTTGGTAATTGTCACATCACCAAAGTAGCATATTAATTATGTCACCATGGAATAAACCCAACAATTTTGTGTGTTTTTTGTCACGAAGTTACAAATGAGACAGGCTTCGCTTATTGGGGAGCCCTTTACCACTAGGGTAGTTTATCCCTAGTAATAAAAATAAACTGGTTTATATTGCAAGTGAAATTTTTGAATTATTGCCTAAGGCTACTTTGGCAAGAAAGCTTCTCTATCGAATGGAGAGGTAAGGTGTTATTTAAAACAATGTAAGGCAGTTGTGAAGTTGTCTCAGAAATGATTTTATTGACTTGATCATTTCCTTAGCTGCTCATAAAATTACTGGCTTTTCCATCACTCAATATGCCATGAATTCTAAATTGGGAAGGGCATTTCATTGTGTTACTGTCTTCACCAGAAAGAGTAGAAGAACACATTTGAAAGATACCATTGGGATTTACTTTAAAGTAAGGTGTTTTGGTATATTCGACATTAAAACAAATGTATAAAAATTATTGAGTTTGGTTCCCTCTACTTGCTTTTCAGTGTAATGGTACTATGATTTATTTCTCTATTTCTCTTGCACATATCTGAATATTGAAAATTATTTTTGGTTATTTTTCTCCTAAAGAAAAAGTCTCCTGTCACTGAAGACCCTTTTAATGATGAAGAGCGGGAGAGACATGAAGTGGAAATGCTGGCTAAGAAATTTGAAACAAAATATGTGAGTAAAGCAATCTACTGAATACCTCCCCCCAACCTTTCATAGATGAAAACCAGTGGTCGGACAGCGTCACAGTGTGGTCAAAATGACAAATGGAGAAGGAAAGTCAGGATTGCAACAGTTTGGTTTTGCCTGGACCTACTGGAAAGGACAGATTCAGCTACCTTTTCTGCCCACCTGCTGAGTTAATAAAATCTAAGCTATTTTTGTATTTTGAACTCAGTTTGCAACAAGTAAGCTGTCAAAGAGGGGGAAACTGAAACATTTAGAAACAGCTCAAAAATAGAATGATGAAGGATTAATTGGGACTGTCCGTTCTGAATCAAGACAATTGGAGTATATGCTTGTTTTACTGTTGGTCTTGATATTTCATAGATTTTACTCCCAGCACATTCAGCAAACTCGGCTGTCTTCACATTTCCTTTAATTCAGTTACTGGCTAACACAATGACCACATTTACAAAAAAGCCAGAAATCTGGTAATAAAGAAATATGGATTAACCAAAACCTCAAATGTTTTCTCCTGATTTGCCTCTCTAAAATGATTCCCAAATCACCATACTTTTAGATTTTCAAAGTAACTGTCAACTTTGAGGAACTAGCTAAATTGTGTTCAGATACATGCTATTTTCTCATCATAATTTTTAAGGCAAATAAAAAGCTTTGTCCTTTTTCTTTTGCTCTGTAGTGCATGTTTTTGACATATATCACTATGCTTTATAGTGATAACTCAGCAGTGTTCTAAATAACAAATCTTTTGTTCTAGGGTGGAAAGTCGCACAAGCATCGAAAGGATCGTCTTCAGGATCTAATAGATATAGGCTATGGCTATGATGAAACAGATCCTTTTATTGATAATTCAGAGGCTGTGAGTAAATCTTATTTGTTATACTTGGATCCCACTCTCTTTTGAGAGCTCTCATTTGGCTTCTTTCCAAATGCTTTCTAGTACAGATGTTTTCATGTTAGAGATGGAACTACATCAAATATGTTCACAGTGTTATTTTAAAATACCCATCCCAGGAAAGAAAGAATTCCTTTTGTCAAACCATACACTAGTAACAATAATCAGAACAAGTCTGCTTGAATCCTTTCTGCAAAATGCCAATATGCTGGTTATTAGGAGGAGGGTCTGTCATTGTTGGGAAAGAAATAACATATAATGCTCTAGAATTTTCTGTTTATTTTTTGTGGATTCAAAAGGTAATCTAAAACAGCAGTTAACAAGCATAATTAGTGCATATTTACTCTGGAATAAATTCCAGATGTATTATATAGTAAGGATGTTTAGAACTAGTTTTTAGAATGTGTTACAAGTTTTATCACATATATACCTGTATACACAGGTGGAATCAGAAAGCTTTACTTTTTATAACTAGTGACAAAAATAATGTGTCATTGTAAGTTACTGTCAGTCTTAGTACAACCTTGAAGAGATCTTATATCCGTTAATACTGACATTTATCAGAAGAGTATTGATCAAGATGGAATGTAAACATTTAATGAATCTTGTAATTTTGTTCTTCAGCATACTTTCCAATACTTTTTAAATTGCTATGATTATTGCAGGATTTTTTAAAATCTTGCTCCCACAAAAAAGAACTGATTAAAGTCCCTTACAAAATATAACAAATATAAAACACAATAACAAAACAACACATTGCAATAAGCTAAAAGTGTCTTAATAGCTTCCCATTATTGTATCCTTCTGCCTTGTTACTATTAATGGGCTGCATAGTGTAAGAATTCTATTTCTGGGCACTTGCAGTATAATCAGCCCTATAGTATCTCAGTTTTGTATTCGTCCATTTATTGTTTTTTAGATTGGTTTGTGTTTTTTGTGCAAAACATTTTTGGTTAGCTTCATATCTGGTTTATTGCACTGCTGGATAGTAAATGCATTATTTGATATTAATAAAATGATAACTCTTTCTTAGCCTGGATCTTTGATTTCTCTTTTCAGTATGATGAATTGGTTCCTGCATCTTTGACTACTAAATATGGAGGCTTCTATATAAACACTGGAACTCTGCAGTTCCGCCAAGCATCTGACTCTGAAGAGGAAGATGTTGCAGGAAGCAAAAAGCAGAAACCTCCTAAAGTGAGTAGTAATCCTAGTTTCTGTTAAAGTATGTTTTAATATTGCAGGTTTACTTTGAAGGGCATAAAGCAAATCATTACTCCCACAAAATCATAAAATAGTACAAAAAATATAACATATATGTGTGTGTCACCCTGCAGTCTGCATACTAGAGGTGCACAACTATTTGGAAGCCAGTCGTTAATTTTTTCAATTTTTCTCTGCGGTCAAGGTTCTTCTGTCACTATTTTGAGAGTAACTGCAGAAGAAAACACAGATCTTTGAAAATTACATTTTTACATTTTTAATGCATTTTATAGGGGTCTGAGCAATTTTGATACAAAGCACAGTTGTTCTTTACCATTCAGTCTTAATTGAATACAAGTTGGTACAGATTCTGCAGCATACTCAGTCAACAGACTATCTCACAACTGATAGCTGAAAAATGAAGAAAGATTGGAGAGTAATCAGCTCCCAGATTAATTTGGCTGTTCAGATCAAATGAATTATGGTCTGATCCTTCAAGATGCCTGTTGGTTCTGTCATTGAATATTATGTTGTTGCTGAGTTTATTACCTTCTTCTATCTCTACCCATTCCTCCCAAATATTAGGTAGCTAAACTGAAAGATGGAGAAGATCGCAATATGAAGAAACGCAAACGAAAAGATGAAGAAGCAGAGAAGGAGAAAAAGCCTCGGAAAATGAAAGTGCCCAAGCAGATGGGGTAAGTTTTTAAATTCTTATTTCTTGTAGAGAATATCCTATTGTAAATGAGTCACAATCAAGTACTGGATTATTATTGTTAGAATGTGCATGGTGAGCTATTTATTTTTTAAAAAATATATGGTTTAGCGTATTCATGAATGCAACAATGTATCCCACATTACATTTTACATCAAGCTGTCAATAAAATAGCTAGTTTTTAAAAGAGCGCTGTTTCAAAGTTTATGCAAATGTAATAAGACACAAAGGAAATAGGTGCATGATGTTTTCCTTGCTCAAGAGTTCTTGAAGTTTCCTTTTTTATCCTAAGCAAACAAGCCATATCTAATTAACCTGAAAGAACTTGTGGGGGGAAAATGAGATAAGAAAATACGTACATTCTTCACTTTTTTTAAAAAAAATGTATTGATTCACTATATTTATCTACTATACATTGAAAGTATAAGCTGAAATTGGTCACCAGTTTCTCTAATATTTATCAAGTTGCACATACTTAATTTAATTCAACCAGGTACTTTTGTATATTTTATTTGCAGGGTAATGGCTTTGAATTCACACAAATCTGAAAAGAAGAAGAAAAAGCTTTACAAGGATTCCAATTCTCTGGCTGCTATGATCCGGAAATTTCAGAAGGAAAAAGAAGCAGTGAAGAAGAAAGATGACAACGTGAATCCCACAGTATCAGTTGTTACTTCTACACCTAATAAACTCCCTGCTACCCCCATCACAGGTGGAAATGATGTATCTGACCTGAACATCACAGATCCAGTTCTCTCCATTTTTGGCAGCACAAATGAACGCGAACTTCTACAAGATGCTGAAAGTGCCCTTGAAATGCTGGGGGACATTGACTTTGATCGCTTGCTTGATGGTACTTCTAATGGTAGCCCAGTCTCAGAACCATCGGGGGAGAATGGAAGTGCCATGCAGCTCTCCCACACTTCTGAGGTCCTGGCACTGAAACCAGTGCCTGCCCTCCCAGATGGTCTGCCAGCAAAACTAGAAAAGTGCATTGAAGACCTTAGAGTTGTAAGTGTAATGAGTGTTGTGCTTATGCTGAGTGTTGTGAAGAATTGTTGCAATCCTGATTGCTAGACATGAAACCAACTATTTTGTAGGTATTACAGTGGATACATTACAACCAAAGGTTCACAAAAAGCAGGTCCTAAAAGTTACTGTTGTTTGTCTCTTATGGATAAATATAAATATGCTAGGTTGCCTTGAGATACTCAGATGTTTCAAGAGTAAGTTGTATTTTGCTCCATATCTGTGGCACATAAGTTTCAGGAAGCATCTTATCATGCTTCAGTATGCAGCAAACTCCTTTACCAGCTCATTCTTTAATCTACCACAGTGATCCCTGGTTATACCACTTGGAAATATACTTAGCTGTTTTCGTTTTGTAGCTTCTCTGAAGTTTCAATCATTCAGGTCACATTGCCATGTTGTACAGCTGAGAAGCCTAGAAAAGTTTTAAACTAACATAAAATAAAACCAGCATTGGTAGGGGCCTGTTATATCAAATTGCATTAAGCAGGTAATCCTTCTATCGTAGTTCTCATACAGTAGGGCAGCACTGAGTAAATCAAATGAGATTATTTTTGAGTGAGGAAAAAGTAAGAATGATGGCATTCTGGATCAATCAGTTGGCACACAATAAATGCTAGTGTGTTTTCTATGCACTGCTGTAGGCATGTCTTGCAATTACCAGTCAGGAGAGAGTAACTCAATGGCGGATTTATAAATTATGGATCACAACAGCACTGGAGATCTGAAGTGTGCTAAAAGTATCTGGCTTTTATTGTTGCTAGGCTGCCAAGCTCTTCGATGAAGAAGGCAGAAAGAAATTCTTCACACAAGACATGAATAATATCTTGCTTGAGTAAGTGGTCATCTTGTTTTGGAGGAATATTTTAAACTTAGGGGAGAGAATGTCTAGCCTCAGTCACTTCCAGTCAGCCAAGTGGGCATGTTCTTTAAGTGGTCCATAGAAAAGTTCATTAGAAGTGTTCATTTGTTGAAGATGCTAAAAATGGAAAAGGAAGAATAGAATACAGTTCTTCAGTATCTATGTTGTATAGTTTTGCTCCACTGCTGGAGTCTTAAGATAGCTCATATTTCTATATTATCTAATATTATTTTTAAAGTTCTAGTTGTAGTGTTTAGATAAATAGTTTCTAAACTAAGGTAAAGGTTTCCCCTTGACATTAAGTTTTGTCATGTCCAACTCTGGGGGGTGGTGCTCATCTCCATTTCTAAGCTGAAGAGCCGGCGTTGTCTGTAGATGCCTTCATGATCATGTGGCTGACATGACTGCATGGAGCGCCGTTACCTTCCTGCAGAAGTGGTACCTATTGATCTACTCACATTGGCATGTTATCGAACTGCTAGGTTAGCAAAAGCTGGGGATAACAGTGGGAGCTCACCCCGCTCCCTGGATTCGAACAGCCAATCTCTCGGTCAGCAAGTTCAGCAGCTCAACGGTTTAACCTGTTGCGTCACCAGGGGCACCCTAGTTTCTAAACTAGAATAAGGAAATACATTCTTCACATAGAGGCTACAGCCTTAATTTTTTTCACAGTGGGAAGGAAGCTCAGTGAATAAGGTGGGAGGGGTAGCACATTTTGCATGGAAGAACAGTTGAGAATTAGTTTCTTGATAGAACATCTAAGAACAAGATATGGAAGTATAGGGATGCCAATGTAATTCCCTGATCAACCCTAAGCATATACATCTGTTTTGACCAAACTGCTAGAGACTGAGAGATGATTGCAGCCAGTACTGTTTCTGGATACAGTTAGATTTCTCGTGCAGAAAAAGGAAAATCCTGCACTATTATCAGTACATATTAGATGGACAGTAAGCAGACATCTTGTTTAGCTGTTTCTTATTCATTTTGAATGTGTTTTCTATTTGTCAGTATTGAGTTACAGTTGCAGGAACTGAATCCTACAATCCGCAATGGAGTATACTCCCACCTTGAGGCTTTTGTGCCATGCAATAAGGATACGCTGATAAAGCGTTTGAAGAAACTGCACCTCAATGTACAGGTAAAAGTGCCTGCAGCAGATGCATATTGAAAGATGGATCAAAGCAAGTTCCATGTGGAATTAAGCCCTCAAGCCCCAAAACTTGATTTTTTTTTCAACTCTCTGCTGGTGCTATGCTACTGCTCCTATAACAAGGACATACATGAGAATAGTTTCGGTATCATACTACTTCAAATAGAAATCGGACCATCTTGGAATCATTAATTTGGAAGAAATTACAAAAAGGTCATCTAGTCCAGTCCCTTGACAGTGCTATGATGCACAACTAGAGCATCCCTGATAAGTATCCAATAAACAATAATAAACTTTATTTATATCCCACCCCATCTCCCCGGAGGGACTCGGGGCAGCTTGCAACCAAACAAACAGGTACAATAAATTATATACACAAAAAGTGATAACATAAAAGCAAAATAGCACAACAATATAAACATAAAAAAACAATTTTAAAACACTATAAACCCTATAAAAGCTATATATTATGCCCTTTAAAACCAGCCAATAATATAGTTATGGTATCTCGATTATAATTATGGTTATAATAACCATTAAAATCCTGTCCAGTAGGATGATTGTTAGATTTAGCCATTGTTAAAAGCCTACCTAAACAGCCAAGTTTTCAGCTCCTTCTTAAATGTTATAAGGGTGGGTGCTTGTCTAATTTCCTTGGGGAGAGCATTCCAAAGTTGGGCCACTATCGAGAAGGCCCTCTTCCTCGTTCCCACCAATGTCGTTTGTGAGGGAGGGGGGACCGAGAGGAGGGCCTCCCCAGCTGATCTTAGAACCCAAACAGGTTCATAAGGGGAGATGTGGTCATGTAAATAGGCAGGACCTGAACTGTACAGGACTTTGTAGGTAATAACCTGCACTTTGAATTGGGCCCAATAGCAGATCGGCAACCAATGGAGCTGTTTTAGAAAAGGGGTAGTATGTTCCCTACAATCCACCCCAGTCAGAAGTCTGGCAGTCCATCTAACCTTTGCTATGGAGAGTCCATCATTTTCCAGAGTGGTCTTTTTCTTTTATCATAAAAAGTGCATCCTAGTGTTTTGTCAGAATGTCCTTTCTTGAAGTTTGAACCCCAAAAAACAGGTTTGCTGCATCTTCTACATTACAGTCCTTCAGTTCTGAAAGGTGGCTAGCTTTCATTTTACCTCTCCAATACAAACCAAATTATACAAGTTATGCTTTCCTAGTGTAATGTCTGGCATAGTTGCTTGAATAAATATTTGCAGGCTTAGTGTTGTTCTGATCATCTTTATGATCCCCTTTGAACAGTTTGTTTATTCCTTCTTGTTGTTGCTGCTGTTGTTGCTGTGTGCCCTCAAGTTGTTTCCAGTTTATGGTGATCCTAAAGTGAACTGATAATGGGGTTTTGTGGCAAGATTAATCAGAACCTTTCCCCCCATTGTTTTCCTCTAAAGCTGAGACAATGTGACTTGTCCAAGTTACCCAGTAGCTGTCCATGGCTGAGCAAGGGGATTCAAGCCCTTGTATCTGCAAGTCCTAGTCCAGCATTCAAGCTGCTACACTACGCTGGTTTTCTTACATGGTTTTTAATTTGGGTGGCTTTTTAGTTGCTTGAAAAGATGGACTATATCATACATAGATTACTATGCCAAACGAACCCTCAGAATTGTAGATTTGGTAGAGGAAAACAATTAGAGGCTTTACTGATAGACTGCTTTACATGATACCAAAACCAGGTTGTTTCAGAAGCTACAATTTACTGTATTTAAGGCTTTTTAGTGAGAGGAAAGTCTGGGCATCCCTGAGAAGTTTGTAAATCTATACAGTTTACATCAGTGTTTTAATGGTTGTGTCTTTTCAGGATGATCGCTTGAAGGAACCATTGCAAAAACTGAAATTGGCCATCAGTTGTGTCATGCCTGAACAATTATTTAAATACCAGGAAGACTGCCAGGCACATAGTCAAGCCAAGAATGCCAAGTATGTACATAGGCCAAGTGGGGCGTGTTTGGCTAATGTAAAGACTTCATAAAGCCAAGTGAAGCTATGAAAATATTAAGAGTACAATAATTGGCTTCTGTATCTGATTTTGGGGGCTACTGAAATAAAAAAAACAGTTAAAACAGTTAAGAGACCGTAACAGAGAAGACCATTGAAGGTCTTCAAAAAGTGGTAGAGAAACAGACAAATGTGTCCATATTCTTTGGCTTGAATTGTTCTGTTGTTGATTTAGTCATTTTGTATATGAGCTTTAAAAATATGACATAACAATATGTTGTTTGGGCAGAAGCACTGAAAATTTCAGAAAAAAATGTCAGAGTTGTTTGCATGTCATGAGGGTAAGCAATAACTTTGTAGAACTAGAACGTGACCACAGCCTCTATAGCTTAGTTTCTCAAAGCTTTGTTTCCTTTCTAGCAGCTTGTGACTAGATTTTCCTATTTTCCTATTCTTGCTTAAAGTTACAAGTTTTGTTACGAGTTTATACCATATTTGTAATAATTGAGATTTCTAGCGCCAGATATTTTGGATGTGCAATAACACTTTATTCTTTGGTTTTCTGTCATCGAAGTCTAATATTGCCCCTTCATTTTAAAAAGATTCTCAACATAAGAAACCTTAAGGTCAGAAAGTGAAACAGTTTGGAGAAATTGCCTACTTTATGTGGAAAACATGTGGAGGCATGGAACACCTGTTATTTGTGAATTGACTACTTCTAGCATCAGTTTCTGGCTGTTATAATTACATAGTGGCAGTTCAGGGAATTTTCTTAATGGCAGGCTAACTATCTAATTTTTATTTGTTTTTAGCCTTCTCGGGTGTTGTCTCACCTGGCTTGTGTTCTTTCTCCGTGGTTTCCTGAAGTCTTACGACAGTGCTGCTGTGTTTTAAAAACTGCTTCAATTGTATAGTAAAATCCATACTACAGATAAGCATGGCTGTTGCTTAACGTTTTTCAGGCTCTTCCATTGAGCAAACTCCAAGGCATGTTACAACTTAATGAGTGCCTCAGTTGCAGGAAGGCTAAGACAAAGTGGGATTTTTAGTGGACATATATTTTGCCAGCTCCATGAATTAATTTTATAACCTAACAAAATAGGTGCTCCATTCTATATGGTGTTGGGCTGTTCCATTAGGAATATTGCAGCCTCCTCTGTTTACAGGAGATATTTATGTTACTGTAATGTCTAAAACTGATACTTAGTTGATGTTTTCCATATTTGTGAAATGTGGTGGCCAGGTGCAGCTTTCAGCTGAGCAGCTGCTGCTGCTCCACTTCCTTCTTCAGACACAGCAACAACTTACAGGTTGTTGGTTAAGCAGTGTGGGTAGGACTGCACCCAGAGTTGGGAAAGAAAGAAGAGACCTTATTTAGCAAGTAATCGATGCTGTCCCATAACCCAAGTTCTTGTTTGTAACTTTCATAGTTGTACGTTGGCCTCTTACCCACTCAAGGGTAGGTTTGGGGGTTAAAGTTATGGATTTTTATATGACCAATGAATAAGTCAAGGGTCATTCTGTGAGAAGAGCTGCCCCTGGCAGTTGCTGCCATTTTCCTTCCCAAGCAATCAAATCAAGCAGAAGCAGTGCCATAGCAGAGATAGTTGAGAAAATTGGTGCTGCTTTTATGTTTTTTTCAGGACAAACTAAGGCTCCTGTTCAGAGAAGGGAATGGTTCTATTTAGACTAGGGAATAGTTCTTTTTTAATATGAGTTAAGATACAGTATGTCACTGACCCGCAGATAAGACAACTCAGGGGTCTGGATTGGGATTTTTTGACTAAAATTTCTTCTATATGAATGTATGTGCAAAGGTTACATAGATGCAGAGTCTCCTTTTGAAAAAAAATTGGGGTTACCAGCATTAACTCTCCAGGTAGAACTTTACAATGTGTCAGGAGTTTGCATTTCACATATTTAATACTACACAGCCACATAATATCAATTTCAAAAAACAAACCTGCATATTATCTTTCTTGTGGGAAACTAACAACAAGGAAGTAAGTACATCTGTATTCTTGTCAATAAAATGGTTATTTGTGTTCTAGAATGCAAGCAGAAGATGAGAGGGACAAGAATGGCTCTGAGGAAGATGATGATGAAAAACCAGGAAAAAGAATTGCAGGACCAAGAAAGAAGTTCCGCTGGGATGAGACAGTGAGGTGTGATACTACCGTCCACTAGAAAACTTTTTAGATTATTGCAGTATGATCTAAATGTAACAGTAGCAACAAGGAACCAGTTTCACCTCTCTCCAGCCACTGGTAAACTGCAAACTAGATGCTGTGAAGTGACTTGTTGTATAATTATCTTCTCTTTCTACTGAACAATGTACTCATTTTTGCAGCATTCTAATCCTGAAGCCAATTGCATGAAATACAAATCTATTTAAAGTTATTGGATGACCTAAAAACATTCCAGAGTTACAGTCATCAGATGGAAAACAGAACTGTACTTATATAATGTAGAATAGGTGTAACCAAGTTGATCACATAAAAACTTGAGAAGAACCATAGGAAATCATATCTGATGAGAAAGCTTGAAAATGAACATGCATAACTTTGGACACAGTAATTACCGTTTTGTTAATCCACTCTGTTTTTTTTCCCCAAAGGGCTTTGCTATGTAATCTTGTAAAAATAAAGCTTGGCTGTTATGAACTGGAGCCAAATAAAAGCCAGACTCCAGAAGATTACCTCAAGACCTTTATGGAGACAGAGGTGAAGCCACTTTGGCCAAAAGGCTGGATGCAAGCTAGGTATGGTACTTGTTGCTTTTTCAGACTGCAGTACGATTTCTATTCAATTAAATATTCAAGCTCTGATTATGGGATTAATATGCGTCAAGAAAATGACTATAAATGGACTTGGAAGTATCAGAATAGAACTAAGGCAAGAAGATAGATTAAGCTGTTACATAAAATCATCATCATCAAGGGACTCAGGGCGGCTCACAGAAGCACTCCAAGATGCTTTCTTTGCATCCAAATTATTTCTTGTAAGATTAAATGCCTGAAACTTCAAGAAATTGTGGTTGTTTTGACGATGCTCCACAACTGTGTGTTGTTGATCAGTACAAGCAGTCCCCAAGTTGTGAACAAGATGGGTTCTATAGGTTTGTTCTTAAGTTGAATTTGTTTGTAAGTTGGAACAGGTACATTTTTAAAGTGTAACTCCAGCCAAAAATAAATCTTTTTTCCCGCTTTGGATGTCATAGAGAAGGGTTCGTACCCCTGTGGTGTTTATTTTGTTGTTTGTGTCCCTGTTCAGAAGATTTCACTTCTTCTTCTGTTCCTGTGATAATTGTATTTTGAAAAAAAATGCTTGTTGTGGAAACAAAGACTGGGGATAATGCTTTATTGGAGACACCTTTTTCCCCATGATAACTCTTTCAGGAGTGAATTTCTCTTCTGAGGGATAGCTTTCTCTCACTTTCTGTTATCTCATGCCCATTCTTAACTATGAGTCATTTGTAAATCAGATGTTTGTAACTCAAGGGCTGTCAGTACTGCTAGTAAAAGTTGGGTGCTGTTCCATGATGCATTCCTGGTTTCCATGTTTCAAAGTTGCAAAGTTCTAAAGTGCAAGATCGGTGCTTAGAAAGCTTGGTACTTTTTATCTTCAGTCCTGGGAGATGAAGTCTCATCAAAAAACATTCAGTAAAGAGAATTGTTTTCTAATCACCAATCAAGAAAGGGAAGGACTTAGCACACCAATAAGTGAAGCTGCCTTCTAGTTCAGCTCCCAGATACTCTCTTACATTGCTCAGGAATCCTTATTCATCTAAGGCAGGTGTCCTCAAACTAAGGCCCATGGGCCGGATACAGCCCTCCAAGGTCATTTATCCGGCCCCCACTCAGGGTCAATGTAAGTCTGAAGCAACCTGAAAGCACACAACAACAATCCTATCTCATCAGCCAAAAGCAGGCCCACACTTTCCATTGGAATACTAATAAGTTTATATTTGTTAAAATTGTTCTTCATTTTAATTATTGTATTGTTTTTAAGTGGGTTTTTTGCACTACAAATAATATATGTACAGTGTGCATAGGAATTCATTCATTTTTTTTCCAAATTATAATCCAGCCCTCCAACAGTTTGATGGACTGTGACCTAGAACTCAGTATAAAAAGTTTCAGGACCCCTGATCTAAGGTTTGGCTCATTAAGCCCACTGCTTTATCGCAACATCCACCTGTTTTCAAAATTCTGCCATGTTCTTAGTTTCAGAAAAGAAGGGAGAAAACTTCCTATTTTGTCATGACATTTGACAAAAAACAAAAGACTAAGAGTATCATAGAGGCAGAAGTCTCAGTAATTAAACAGAAAGCTGAATGGTCTGCCTTTTTGAACACAATCCACCTCTCGCACTGCCTTTGGTTTGACTTGCCAGTATTCATTGTGCAGACATCAGCACTCTTAAACAGTTGAAAGGCCAGACAGCTGAGATTGCAGTTGTACAAACAAACAAAGCTTTATGGTGACAGTAGTTCCTGGCTTTGATGGCAACATGTGTAGCCTAACATTATTGTGCAGGAGGACCACATAGGAGCTCAAAAAATAGAAAGCAAGCTGCAAAGAAAGTACTTTCTCGGCTTTTGGATTCCAGAAAATGCATTCTTCCTGGAGTCGATTGTTGAGACTCATTTATTTATTTATAGTATTTATATACTGCTTTTCTCACCCCTGGGAGGACTCAAAGTGTTGCTCATGACCATTTCGGGATCTTCCTTCCCTTAACCTCCTGATGGAATTTATTCAGAATAATTAAAGACTGCTCCAATCCTAACATGGGGAAAGCCTTCTAATCCTGTACCATAGTTAACCAGTAATATCCTTGGATCTCTGAATGTTCCTCCAAATTATCTGTTTATTTTCATAACAATTCATTTTTCCAGTGATTTATGTCTCTTAGAATCGTAGAGTTGGACAAAACTGCAGGGACCATCCAGTTCAATTCCCTGCCATACAAGAATACACAATCAAATCACTTCCAGTAGATGTCCATCCAACACTGTTTTTAAAACCTCCAGAGAAGGAGACTTCGGCACATGCTAAAACAACATATTCATCTTGTCACTAAACAAAATAAAAGATCAAAAAAAGAAAAAGACCTGCTGTACCACCTCAGAAGGATCTGTACCTCTCATGATTTGGTTGAAATCCTCAGAATCAATTCTATTTATTAATTTATTTACTCTATTTCTATCCCGCTCTTTCCTCCCTTAAAGGGGACTCAAAGCAGTGTACATAATAGCAATATTCAATGCTGCATTCAGTAATATAAAATACAATACATCGATGCAATAAACTGTTAAAACATATAAATATCATAAACTATTAAAATATAATACCCAGTCCTAAGGGTATCAATTCTACTATTGATTTGGCCTAACATTTCCCATCCTCCCGAGAAGTAGTTATGCACATGGCAGTCAAAATGTATCTGCAGAGATCAAATATTTTAGGCAGATTTCAAATCTAATTTCAATTGACTACACTTGATCTAGGAAAAAGATATCCAGATTCATGTTAGCAGGTTGAATCAAGGTTTGCATGATTCAAGTGTATCGCTCAGCTGACCTGTTTCAACCTCAAAACTCTACAGCAGATTCCACTAGGGTGCAGTATGTAATCACCCTTTTCCACCAGTGCTATGTACTGGCAGAAAACAGGTGGTCTGTGTGAGCTAGGTCTAATATTTGTTTATCCAAACATGACCTATGTGTATCTGCAGTAGCAGCCTCAGACAGTTGTTAGCAATTGCTAAACATTAGCCACAGACCTACACTTACAATTTGTGCATGTCCCAAATGCTCCGTAGAGGATATCCCAGGGAAGGATATATTGGATTCCTTCTGTGGAGGTCTGTGTGAGGGAGCTAATGGAAGCCCCGTGTCCTCTTTCACCTTTTTGCTGTGATTGCACTGGCCTTCATGTTTCCTGGAGTTGCAGACCATTTGAATGTCCTTCTTTTGCCTTCTCCTGTTCCATGTTGTCCTCTTGCCTAGGTTCTGTCATAATGTGATCTACACCTACCTGGCTATGGCTGGAACTGGAAATAGAACCCAATAGCATCTTCTTCCATTTATACAACATTGCATGTTCGTGTCTCTCCTGGTTGGTGACTGGATATAACTCACTCTCCCAGATCCTTAACATGGACCTCCCTAAAAAGAACTCTGTGAGAAGTACCAAAGATATTTCATATCATTGGTACTTGATGCTAGAATGGAAATCTTGTAATTTGTTCTTGTAATGGAGCAATTAGAATGTTAAGTTCACTATAAAATACAGTAGGGTGTATAATAATCACGATGTTATGTAATACTTTACTGTGTTTCTACTTTTTTTACTTTTCTGTAGGAACTTTTCAGATACTGTGTTCTGGAGCTAATTGCAAGCTGTGATTTACAGTGTGTTCTTCAAAAGGTTTAAGGACTAGCTATGTTTAGTTTCAGCAAGACACTCCACATGTTTTGTTTCTGTTAAAAATAATGTTTAAGACATATTGTACTATACCAGTTATTGCATTAAAATGACTTCAGTTTTCTTAGTAATGCTGTCCTGTCAAATAATAATTCAGATATGCTAGTGAGTCTGTATGATAGTTCGTTTAATTATCTAATGTATTTCTAGAGAAATCACAGAGGGGTTTCCCCTTTTCAGAATTTTCCTTTATTCTTTACAGGATGCTTTTTAAAGAAAGCCGAAGTGTTCATAATCACCTCACATCTGCTCCGTGAGTATAAATATCAGTACATGTTTTTCTTTTGATTCATCTCTGCTGTCCTTGGAGTGCATGTCTTATAATATGACAATATTATGACATGTCTTATAATATGACAATATTGCAATAATGTAATTTGAATTTTTACCATAGTTGTCACTGTTTGTTTCTGAGTTAGACACCACAGTGGCTACAGTTCCTGTGATATGATCAAAGTACTATCTGGTCTTGTATTTATTAATCATTTTTGATTCGATTGATGTTACCCGGGAATGCAGACAAGATTCTTGGAGAGGTCAGGGCCACCACTTGTATTCTGGACCTATGTTAAACAAGCCAGGGGGTGTATGCCTTGGATAAGGGAGCTTATCAATGCCTCACTCCACCAAGGCAAGGTCTCTGTAGTACTTAAAGAAGCAGTAGTGTGACCTACATTGAATAAACCATCCCTCAATCTTACCATCCTTGAAAACTATAGACCAGTGTCAAATTTGCCATTTATTAGCAAAATTCTGGAATGGGTGGTGGCCAGACAACTTCAGGGGTTCTTGGATGAAGTGGATTTTCTTGACCCATTTCTATCTAGCTTCACACTGGGCCATGGAACAGAAATGCTTTGGTCCCCTTGGTGGATGATCTAAATTGAGAACTTGGTAAGAGGAGTGTGACCTATTTGGTTCTCCTTGACTTCTCACCAGCCTTCAATACCATTGACCATGGTATTCTTTTGGAGCAACTATCAGGTATGGAGCTGAGAGGCACTGTTTTGCAGTGGTTACAGTCCTTTCTCATGGATCGCAGCCAGAGGGAGTCCTGCTCGACTCCATGGCAATTCGATTGTGGGGTCCCACAGGTGGTCAGTTGAAACAGTCACACCTAGCTCCAGCAGACAAGAGTCCTTTGTCCCACCCTGGTCATTCCAAAGATATATAAACCCATTTTCCTAGTTCCAACAGACCTCACTACCTCTGAGGATGCTTGCCATAGATGCAGGCGAAATGTCAGGAGAGAATGCCTCTAGACCATATAGCCATATAGTCCAAAAAAAAAAAAACCTACAGTGATTCCGGCCATGAAAGCCTTCGACAATATATCTGACATTGGTTTCCTTGAATGTAATACATTATAAGTCATTGTACTTCAGTGTGCAAGGGGATGGGATTTTTACAGACCTTGTTGACCTAATCCTAGACCCCAATTTACAAGGGACACATTTATCACATAGTAGGGTTAAGTGGGTATTATATGGTAGGATATGCAAGGAAGAGAGAGTTTCAGATTCTGGATTCTTAGTCAGGGATAACTAGCTGGTTGTTTGACCAGGTCCTGAAGCAATTTTATCTAGTTCCTTTCAGCTCTATAAAATGTTAATCAACATATAGCAAAAAAGGATTACATATTTTCCCTCCATGAGAAGGTTTATTTATTAACTAAATAAACCGCACTTCAGTATCTGCATGTCTTTTGATTATGTAAGCAATCATTAATTTTATTAATATGAAAAAATAAACGTTTTCAGTGTCTTTAGCATTAAGTTCTTGGAAAAGGGTCAGCTTATGTGGCAAATTTAGCTTCTGGCTTCTAGATCATTCTAAAAATAGCTCCAGATATGTATGATTCAGCTTTATGCTTGGCTAAAAATATAGGTGCAAAATTATTTGGGAAGTTATCCTAGATATTTTTTTAAAAAATGAAGTAAACATGTAGTCACTTCTGGATAAAATGTGTAAGGATCCAGCTTGCTGCAATGTGGGTGTATGTGAAAATGGGTTACAAACATTTCCCACCACTGACCTGAATGTTTTTCTTATAACAATGTGAAAAAATCTTGCTTGATAATTCCATTTGCAGATGTATATGGAATGTGGAAACTGTGTGTCAAAAACTTAATTTGGAATGAATTCTTATGTGTGCATTACCTGCTGATTTCTCATTTTTAAAAATGACAGTTCCTGTAGTCTCAGCAGATTTTGACAGATATATAGATTTCTGTGTTTTGTCTGATGATAAAAACTGTATTAACTTTAAAAGAATATCCAGATTTTCCAGATTTAGTATCCCTTAATATTTTTGTTACTTGTTATATTTGAAAATAGTATTCAACAGATTTGTTATGTTAAGAATTAGCCATTCTAAAATATTAGCAATACTAACTTTAGAATTAAGGCATGAATACATTACACATTAATTGAGCTTTGACAATGTTTCCCAATGTAAGTTATCTATATAAATAAAAATGTAATGTTCGTTTGTAGGATTAACAGAACTCAAAAACCACTGGACAAATTGACACCAAATTTGGACACAAGACACCTAACAACCCAATCTATGTCCTTCACTCAAGAAAATTGATTTTGTCATTTGAGAGTTGTAGTTGCTGGGATTTATAGTTCACCTACAATCAAAGAGCATTCTGAACTCAACCAGTGATGGAACTGAATCAGACTTGGCACACAGGACTCCCATGACTAACAGAAAACACTAGAAGAGTTTGGTGGGCATTGATGTTGAGTTTGGGAGTTGTAGTTCACCTAGATCCACTGTGAACACAAACAATGATGGATTTGGATCAAACTCTACACAAATACTCAATATGCCCAAATGTGAACACTGGTGGAGTTTGGGGAAAATAGAATCTTGACATTTGGGAGTTGCAGTTCCTGGGATTTATAGTTCACCTAGAATCACAGAGCATTCTGAACCCCACCAACAATAGAATTGGGCCAAACCTCCCACACAGAACCCCCATGACCACCAAAGTGGGGCACAGCAACGCATGGCAGGGGATGACTAGTGTTGAATATTTATGTAAGGTAATATTTTTATTCCCACTTTATTTCTTGGAATATACTTAACCTTAGCAAAAAGGTTGAGAAGTTATTGGAACTTACCCAATAAAAAAGTGACCGAAATTACTGTTGTGTAGGCATTGTAGATCTAGTTGAATACCAGAGTCTATATATCAGAATTTACTTTTAAACACACACACACACACACACACAAAAAACACCTCTCCAAAGTGCTAGACACTTCCCAAACACAGAAAGCATTGCATTTTAGAAGGCAGTGGGTTTATATTATCGCTGAGACAGTGGGATTTACGTTTGTGATTATTCCCCTCACCACTTGCAATCCTGGCAGCTGCCTGAAAACCAGCTTTGGAAAGGTCCCCAACCCTCTGAAGCGGGTTTGAGGGATACATAGAGGCAGGATTGCCCACTTTTTGGGTCTACTATTCTACTTAGAGTTTACACATCTCTTTGACTTATGCTTTCTAGTGAATCAGCCTTTTCCTTATAGTCAGTGTTTGTTTAATTGATTTCGAGGTCTTCGGTGATGTCCAAATTTTTCTAGCAGAAATGATAGAGGGCAAACTTACTATGTCTGTGCTATCTTTTTCAGAGCAAAGAAAAAGGTGATTCTGGCACCTAAGCCCAAAGCAAAGGTAAGTAATGGAGCCACAGGAAAAAGTCATATCTCTTTCTGTTAATTTATATTAATTGTGATTGGGCAAATCTTTGCATTTACTGCTATTCTGTGTCATCTGGGCTTCAGGGTTTGGCCCTATCCCTCTTCTGTAATGGAAGATCAATGCATATTATTTTCTCAAATGCTAAGTTATCATTTGATAAATGATAGCAATATGTACCTGTAACACTGAAAAGAAAGTGACTTATGTTTCTGAGTCAAAGGTCTGGTTTTAAAAATAATCTATTCTGCAATGACACAGGATAAGGTTCTTGCAAGTCTCATTGGGAAATTTGTTTCAACTGTCTTTTATTTCCCAACAAATCCATTCAGTAACAGAATTCCTTGAAGCCTTCCCAATTTTTAAAGAGGGCATCTCCAACAGAATATAATGAAAACTGTCATTTTTAAATCAATTAGTTCTTGTGTTTTGTTGCTTTTTAAAATTTATAATCAGAATTTGTTTTTCTTTTAAATAAAATATACATCCTTTTGTGCTTTCAAAAACTTGATTATATACTGTATAAGCAAACATATTTGCAGCTTTGTCTCAAATCACAGTGAAATTGCCTTAAAAGAAAATTGGAATACACACAGTGCAAACATTGCTTGAATCTTCTATCTTTTTCCTTTGGAGCAGACATATTTAATGATTCTCATCTTTTTTACACTAGGACACTAGTCCAAAGAAGGAACAAAGAATCTGCGCTCCTTTTACTTCTTCTTGTGTTCCTGCTTCAAGTACAAGCACTCCTATCACAGCTCTGGCCAGTTCTAGCTGTGTCTCAGCTCCAGAAACAATCTGTTTAGATGACTCACTGGATGAAGATCTCTCCTTCAACCCACCTACTTTGGATTCTATTTCTGATGCTCTGGCCGTTATTAATAATGGAGCTAAGAGTTCTCCTGTTAGGTCTTCTGTAGAGACCTCAGCTTCAAGACCTCGGTCTGGGCTGCGAGAAGAGAAGTTAGCGAGTATAATGAGTAAGTTGCCTCTGTCGTCCTCAAAAAAGGTAGAGCCTGCTCAGACATCACATTCATCAAGCCTTATAGCTGGGCACACAGGACCAGTACCAAAGAAATCCCAGGATTTACTTCAGACTGGTATATCTTCAGGCCTTATTGCTGGATCTTCAATTCAAAACCTTAAGGTTTCCTTGGAGCCCTTACCTGCCAAGCTTCTGCAACAAGGATTACAGAGGTCAAGCCAAATTCAGGCTGCATCCTCTTCCCATACCCATATTTCTTCTTGTAAAGCCCAAGCCACAGCTCCTGCTTCACAGAGGTCAAAGGATACAGCTGTACTTGTAACCCCGTCAGAAGCTCAGAGTTGTGGATCTACAACATTACAAGTTACAAGGGTTCATCAGCACTCTGCTCAACAAAAATACGTGTCACCTCTACAAGCAACTATTAGTAAATCTCAGACCAACCCTGTGGTAAAACTCAGCAGCAATCCCAAACTCTCCTGTTCTTCCCCGGTTCCCAAGACTTCAGATAAATCAGTAGTATACCGCCTTCCTTTGTCTAATACGACCTCTGTGAGTAGTTCTCAAATGATTCATTCACTTGTGTCTCGGACAACATCTAGCACCTCTACCTCCAGTAACTATTTAGCCAAGGCCATGGTATCACAAGTTTCTGCCCAGAGTTTCAAGCCTCCCTTTTCCATGGTTCCCTCACCCAAACCGGCTGTCTCTCCCAAACCCATGGCACCCAAGCCTTCTGTAACACCCAAGCCTACTACATCGCCCAAACTGTCCTCATCAAAGTCCACCTCATCACCCAAACCTCCCCCTTCTTCTAGTTCTTCCAGTTCAAGTGCACTAGTATCCCAGAGTAGTCACTCCAGCAGTAACAATTCCCTTCATAAACAGCCTAGTGGAGTAAATGTCACCAGGCAGTCTCCTACAATTAATTTACTGCCCTCTAACCGCACCTCAGGCCTTCAACCAGCAAAGAACCCTCAGGCCCCTTCAAAATTATCCAACACTTCTGCCTCCGGAACTGTCAGCAAAAGTAACTTGAGTGGAGCTGGAATGAATGTACCTATCAACAGGGGCAGCCACCTTAATTCAAGTGGATCTAATAGGACTAGTCTCACTGGAGCAGCAGGAAGTGGAACACAGGGTGCTACTAAACAATTATCAATTCCGCACAGACCATCTTCTGCCTCAGGGTCTGCAGTTATACCAGCCAGTGTGCAGGTATGTTTTGAATGAGAAATTTAATTATAACCACAATACATTAAGATTTAAGATTTTGTATGTTTATCCTTCCTTCTAAAACACATTTTGACTAATGATACAATCCTATGTGACTATTCAGAGGTAAGCCTTGTTGCATTAAGTGGGACTTAACTCCTAGGTAAGTGTATTTTTGATTGCAGCCTACTGCACGTAAAGATTGTTGTATTATGGAGAATATAATGGACTTTTATTTAGACAAAATATATGGGTGGAATTGAGTTCAACATCATATACACTGAAAATGGCACTTCATTGTATTATAAAGTATCAGTTACTTCATATTATAATGTAACTGTTCTTTTTTTCTGCCTCTCTTGTGACATATGGTTATCTGGGATGGGGAAATGAGTGATAATATCACCATGTAGAGTGAGTGATTTGTTATAGGAAAAAGTAGGGTAATTATTATTTCTGAAAGAAGTGGTGAACATGTGAAAATTGTCTATTCTTGATAGAAAACTACCCATGTTATCATTTTAATGTATTTTGTAATACATCTTTGGAGTTGTAAGAAAGGGATTATAAACCCTTTTAAAGTAAAGAGTGGCATTATCTTGGTGTGATTGGGGGTTGCAAAGCAGTAGTGGATGGGCCCAGAGCTGAATATAGTCAAGGAAAAATACTTTTCTGCCTTTGCCCTGTGGGAATTGATGTGAACCAACTAAAGAATTTGTTGATAATCTTGGAGCTTGCAAAGCCTGAGTCTACATGTCCCCACATATATCAAAAAGGACATAATACAATCTGAAGGACAGATGTGGCCACCCTTAGGCCTCCTTGCACTATGCCGCTTCCAACTGCTGCCCCACACAAAACCAATAATATTTCTCCTCAGAAAGGGTTATTTTTACAGCCTCATACTATTCTGCAATCTTGCTTGATGAATTGGAATTGTTGTGATTTATTATCAGTTTTGGCCAAAAACACATGATATTACAAATAATGGTATTCTGTAAAATATTTTTGATTGACAGTACCATTATTAAATTTCTGCATTGAGACCAAGACTATAGAACAATTTAGACTCCTTGAAGAGTGAGTGAAAATATTAGAACATTAAAAGCACAAGCTGTGCATCAAAATACATAATTTATGTAACCCCCCTGACTTTTTCTCATGGTTATGAATTAACCACAATAATTCATAAGTCTTTTTCAACATCCAATGTTCAGAACTTTATTGCATAATGTTTATGACTTTTTCCACAAAACTTTGGCCTAAATCCAGTTGCTTGTCTTGATGAGTAAAACACTGAATCCATGTAACTTATGGATTCAGTAACTGATTCATGGGTTTACTACAGTTGGGATTACCAATTGAATTATGTCCTTTGTTTTTATTTGGAATTGGAATTGAAATGTAGCTAATTATTTCACAAACTGAAAGATTAAAAACAATGTGTTTTTCAATATTCATTTATTTAAATAGCTAAAATACAGAGAAGAAACTAGCCAGATATTGATATATATTTTTCATATTGTTATACTGAATAAATAGTGTATGTTTACTGAAGGGCAAATAGAATAACAAAGTTTTTCGGACACTACAGAGAACTGAGAATGCGTCCATCTTAAAACAGGAAGTTAAGGAAATCATTTTAAATTGGCATTCAATAGTGCTTGATAGTCATATTTAGGTTACTAGTACGATTATGAAGTTATTGGGACATCTGTGAATAGAGATGAATATATTGATTGTAATAGTAATAGAAGCATTTTTCTATGGTGTAATGCTTTTTTTGTTTTGTTGTTGGAAAAAGTCTAAAATTATTACGACATGCTCTTCAGAAAATTTCTTTGTTCTACCAAATCAGTTGTTCCTTCTCAGTGAGTCACAAAACTGTCCTACTGATTGCATGGAGAAAATAGTGACAATAGAGTCAGCATTCATTGCGTGATGGATAGTATTAATGGTAAAAAAAAAATACAATAACAATGCATTATTTTAACTGGACAAGTACTAGTAACAGATATGAATCAGATTGATCTAAAAGAGATTTTGCTTGCATTGAAGCCGGTGAAACATGAGGAATACTTTAGTAAATGTCTAGCCTAGGTTATGTCGCACATGTTCTGTAGCACTCTGTTTGGCTGTTAAGCTACATGTTTATGTGGTTTGGTTGCTTTTAACAATTTCTTACATTTCAGTTTTGTACAGTAAAATATTATAATCAAGTCAATTGAACCAAAATTTTCTCTGGCATTGAATATATTGGCTGTATGTATTGGCTATTACAGAATTTTCTGGGTTGATTCAAATCCGACTCACAGAATGATTAGCCATTGCATTTGACTCTTCATGTTCAAGATTAAAATATACATGCAAGTTTGGATATATGTGTGTGTGTGTCTGTGTATGTGTGTGTTAATTGCACTTTCCAAAATTGGATATAGGTTTAAGCATCCCCATGATAACAACCCCTTCATACCCTTAAAGTCTATATGGAAAATGAAGGGTCTTGTTGAACCAGGAAGACCATGATCTAGATTGAAAGGAGATCCCTGAAAAATTAGTAGAAGCATTGTCTGTGAACAGAGGTGGAAATTGCTCATGGAAGATTCTTGTGAAATCTCAAATGTTTTCACTATATTATCACAGCCTGCTGCTTGGCAGGTTCTCCCAATCCCAATATAGGATTTTGGGGGTCGCTGTAGGGTTGTTTTTGAGGAATTATGCTTCCAACAGCCCAGTTTGAATGTGTTCAAAGCCATCCACAGTGTGGAAACAATTTGTACTTTAGTTTCTTAGTTATGGCTGTTTTGTTCCATGTACTGGAGCTGCAACCTTAGGTACCATTATTTTGGGTAAGCCCAGTTGAACACTACTCTGATACCCTCCCAGGTAAACCTGTGCTAGATTATCATAATGGTATCAAGAAACCATGTTTATAAAATCATTAAGTTAAAACATAGACCTAACTAGAGAAATATTACGGGGTGGAGGAAGCAGACAGACCAGTTAAAATGTAATGGCCAGTCTTTATCATGTGCCCCAAACACTGCAAAACAGATTTACAAATAACACTTATTTCCATACAGTCAACAACAGGTACGTCATTACTGGCAAATGCTTCACCTTTGACTCTCATGACATCACCCCTGTCTGTGACCAGTCAGAATGTGACATCGGCTCCATTGGCTAATTTTGGGATGCTGGGTAGCCTTGTTGTGCCCTGTCAGTTTCCATTGGAGTTACTTGGCTTTGGAACAGACACAGCTGGAGTGACAACCACCTCGGGAACTACCTCAGCGGCTTTCCACCACAGCTTAGCTCAAAGTAAGTGAAACTAGATAACTTTTGGTACTGTCTATCTTTTTTTAAAAGGTACCATATCTGTCTGCATAAGTATTGTATTTAGAAGGAAAGCAGAAGGTGTATATTAAAATGCTTCACAATTCATAGATAGGTTTATTTTGTTTTCTTTGAACTTCCTATTTTTAAATATAGAGGTGCTTTTTAGCATGGTGTGCTCTATGCTAATCTGAACACAAAAAACTGTTTTTCATGTTCACTGACAACTGATGTATTACATCAAAGAATTTAAAGTACTTTATAAACACAAGTTGTTATAATACTAACATAAAACTCATGCTGTCAGGTATACTTTTTGCTGAAAATGTACAAAATTTCTCTCAATGTATATGACAGGTCTATGTATCTTTGTATGAATAGCGGCAGCAGTTTGAGGCCTCAGTATTGTAAAGGTACCAGGCCCCATATGATCTTGGAAGCCATGCAGGGTCTGCCCTGGTTAGTAGCTGGAATACTTAGTGCTTTAGAGCACTACTTGTTAAACTGTGGGTTCTGACCCCAAAAGAGGGACCCCTTGGCTCAATGTTGGGGTCATAAAAAGTTTGGCACCAATGAAAGCTTTCTAAACGCCACCCATTCACCCAAATCAGTTAGGAACAAGGTGTAGTGTTTACAGTGAACTTTGAAAAAATGCTTCACCTGTATTCAGCCTGTTTAGCATGCCTTGCAACTGCTGATTTATTATCAGTAAATGTTTAGTTTTTATATCGATTTGATATACCTGTGTACCTGGTATTGTTTCACAATGATTGGAAAGGGGTTGTGAGTGGAAAAAATTTAAGAAGCTTAGTTGTAGAGAAAGGAACTGGCAAAAACACCTTCAAATTTTTATTTCTTAAGAAAACCCTTTGAGGTCTTTTGGGATTGCCATAAGTCAACAGGCAACTTGAAGGCACATTTACACAGAGCGGAATCTAAAAACTTGGCTCTTCCAGTGTGCCTTTGGAGAGTGACCACATATTTCTTTCCTGTTGTCTTCTCCCTCAAGTTGTTCCATATTGTCCTTCCCCTCACCTTTTTTTAAGGCCTGGCTCCACTGTTCCATCCTCCACACGCTCCTCCCTTACAAATACATCTTTTTCATTGTCATCTCATCCAGGGTTTTATCACTTTATGTGCACATTTGGCCCACCCATTGTGTGTGTTTGTTACTGTATCTTTAAATGCTCTGTTTTGTTCTTATGTTCACTTACATTTTTGCAATATTTTATTGTGTTGTTACTTTTGCTGTTTTGTATTCATTTTATTGTAATTGTATTATCGGACTTGGCCTCATGTAAGCCGTCCCGAGTCCCCTTTGGGGAGATGATGGCGGGGTATAAATAAAGATTATTATTATTATTATTATTATTATTATTATTATTATTATTATTATTATGATACAATTGAGTCTTGTGGGAGAATGAATCTTTCCAAAAACTAAATGCTGATTCTACAAATCATTTTATTTTTTTTCTTTATTACTGCTCCTTGAATAGATTGTTCTTTGCTACAAGTGATTATTATCCTTTGTTGAATAATATATTGAGGTGGGGTTTTTTTTTGCTCTGTTATTCAGTGACTATTATTGTCTGAACGTGTACCAAAGAATTATTTTCTTAAGTTTGGTAGGGTGATTTGAAGTGATAGGCATGCAGCTTGTATTTATTTTTTAAAACCATGTGAAACTGGTGACTATTGATACAAATCATGCAGACCAGATTTTTTGGCATGCATCAACTATAGATAATGTTGTTGAATTTGTTTTTACTCTTCCTTATTTATGCCACTGCAGATTTACTAAAAGGTTTACAACCAGGAGTTCAACATGCAGCACTGTCTCACACAACTCTGCCTGCTCACATGCAGCAAGCCTATACAGGTAGGCATATAATTGCTTTCCAATTATCCTATTAAAAAGTGAAAAGTCTGTTTTCTCATTATAGCACAAGTCTATGCTAGTGAAAAAGATGTGAAATATCTTAACCTGTTAGCCATGATAGCTGCTAACTGCACTTTAGAAAACACGTGACATTGAAATTACTCCACAGTGTTTGAGCAGCTCCATTCAGAAACAATTCTCAATTTAGTAAATCTTGAATTTTCAGAAGCCTCCTCTTTATCTCCCTATCAATACAAAGAGAAAACATGATATGGACAGGGCTATATCACTGGTGATAATTCCTCCCAAATAATTGGAGGGGAAGCATCAGTGAAACAGGCCAGTTATTTCCCATGTTTATGGTTCTGATACTAATATTCTAGGACTTTAAGACCGTCTGGGGAGGCCCTGTTCTCAATCCCGCCTGCGTCGCGGATACATACATGAGAGACAGGGCCTTCTTGGTGGCCCCTCGGCTGTGGAATGCCCTCCCTAGGGGATATCAGATCGGCCCACCTCCCTTTTTGAGCAAGCATTCGCAAATACAGTGTAACAGGCGAACATAGGGCAACGGAACAACTAGACGATGTGACTGGACAATGTTTTAACAAGGAGATGCTGATTTTTTTTTAATGATCTTGTTATAGTTTTATATTATATGCGAATGTTTCTAACTGTATTTTATGGTATTGGGGCATTGAATTGTTGCCAACTGTAAATTGCCTTGAGTCCCTTTGGGCTTAGAAAGGCGGTAAACAAATATAGTAAATAAATAAATTTATTTATTTATTTATTGTATTTCTAACCCGCCTTTCTCAGCCCGAAGGCGACTCAAGGCAGCTTACAAATTGGCAGCAATTTGATGCCACAACAGTCATAAAATACAATTCAAAAGCATTTTGCACAATATGAAAATCCTTACCAAAAAAAACCCCATTAAAAACATATAACCAGTGGCCTGCCTTCATGATATTTCCTACATATACTGACTTTACTCTGAAATCTAATTATACCATTTTTCAATTCAATTGTATTATTGGAAGTTGATCGTATGATGTGCCAATGAACTCACAAATTCATTTTATGAAATCAAATGTTTGGTTTCAGAACAAAGTAGTGAGAATTAGCTTGCCATTTTATAATGTGCAGTTTTTGATTGTAGCTTTTTCATAATTACAAGATGGTTTTAGCTTATTTGATTTTCTCTTTCTTTTCATCTTTAAATCCAGATGGAGGCCAAAGTAAAGGGGACACTAAATTACAGAGGAAAACCCAGTGATATCCTATTCAGCAAGGGAGCTAAAGTGGTTCTGTTTTGCTGATGGAGACTGACTAGTTGGGAACGTGATTACGCAGAAACAGAGCTGCTGTTTCTGTCAGTGTTTACATATTCTGATCCCAAGCACTGTGGTGAGGAGGAAGAGAAGAAGAAGAAGAAGAAGAAAACAATACTTGATCAAAGAGAGAAGACAAAGGAGGAAAGTGTTCTTGTAAAACCAATTAATAGTTTGCTCTCTTCTAAGGAACTCCCGAATTCTTTTATCCATTCTGAGTGTCTCAGAAAGGGCTAGGCACATAGGTTCAGTTGTCAAACCTACAGCAGCATAAACCTTTTTTGGGCTGATATTTGATAGAGGATATGTGAAAGGAAACCATCCATAATCCAAGGGGTACCATATATCATTTTGACAAACTGCAGGTTCCGGAGAAGTCTACGGTATCGAACACCTAGGAATATTCAGGTTTGGATAGTGTGAAGTATAGAACAGAAGTAGTGATTTGTGTAGAAACAAAATTGAAAGTATCATTTTCTCAAAAAAAGCCAAGGCTGCTTGCCCACCATTTCTGTTTGAAGAGCCTAAATGTTACAGATATTTTGCTTTGGTAATATTCACCATAGGAAACATCACTGAGCATTCAGAAATTCAAAAGCCCCCTAGGGAGGAAAGGTCAAGGATTTATATTATTTTTTTCCCAGTGTTCAAATATAAAGAACTAAATTAGTTTTCAGTATCTTCTAAAGGAAGACTTTTTTGCCCTTAGGCTTGCTGTAATAGTTCAGAGTTGCCTTATTTTTCAAATATATATATATATATGTGCGTGTGTATATACACACACACACCCATCCATAAATCTCTAGTATTCATCCTCTGTTAATATATTCTTGTCTATGGCTCTTCTTGTAGCTCTGAAAAGTCGTACACTGTATTGATCCCCACCAAATAAAAATTACATGTAGTTTGCTTTTGTGCAAGATTTGCTTTTATCAGTACTGTTTAAAGCTTTCTCCAAAGAGCGGTTAAGGTGCCTTCTATCTAAGTCTGAAGTTCATATCTCCAGCATTCTTAAGACATACATAGCTGGAAGATCCAACATTTTGAACCATTGTTACAACTTCTAGGCTGATTTTCATTTTGATAGCAATATATTAGGTTTTTGGGAAACAAGTTTAAAATACTGTCTTGTGTTGCACTCATAGTTTGTACAAGGAGGAGTATTTTGGTAAAATAATATTGAAAACAAATATAATAGCATAACGTATTATGCTATAAAAGCTTCTGTGATCTACTCTAGACACTATAGACTCTAATTTAAAGTATTTTTTTCATTTAAATCTGATATGTCCTCAGGTTTTCAGGCTTAATATAGAATTGGGCATTTTTTCAAAGTTTCTGTGGGGTATGTACATACAGGACAGCATATAATAGCTTGTGATTTCTATGAAACATCAGCTGCAATAATTTGCACTGCTGAAGAAGGAAGTCAGATTTACAGCAGACAGGCATCTTGTCTATGAAGCAGTGAGAGTAGCTGCATACAAGTTTCATAGAAATATGCAGCTTTGTTTCTACCTCAATTATGCATATACTCTCGTTGTACAGAGTGAATACATCTGCTGTTTTCTACTAGATGCGTTTTTAGTCACTAGGTTTACAGAGGTTTTTCTCCTTTTGTTTAGAAAGCCAAATAGCTTATCATATTCATTTAGACTTCTCTTTAATTGTTTATGTAAAAAGATACGTATATTTAAATAATATATACTTAAATACAGTAACTGAATGTTGGGTTGAGCCCCGTAGTAAAGAACTTTGCACAGAATTGTGAAATAAAAAAATTAAGCTCAATTAACTCTTGCATTTTACTTCAGTACAAGCCTTCCTGAGGGTTTGGTACAACAAGCCACAAAGTTAATTTAATCGTACTTAGTTAAAAATTGTTTTAGCTGATATATTCTCAAAAGCCTTAGCATCTCCCAAAATATTACTTGGTTTATTTCCCTTTCTTATCCAGTTTGTCACTCTGAGAAAAAGGTAAGAACTTCCCCATTCACACAACATGTCTGTTTTCCATGCATAACCAGACAAAATATTCTGTTTATTGAGGGTTTTCATCTGCAGTGTTAATTGCCCTATTCTGACAACCAAGAGGATCTGCTGCAAATTGCATACCAGTATATCTTTTAAAATTATGGCTGTAGTAAAAGGGATAATGTTTACTATGACATAAAAGTCAAGGCTTGAAGTAAAGGGATGTGTGTGCAAAATCTCATTGGAAAAAGACCCTGTAAAAAAGAGCTTACTTCTATTTAAATATGGAATTTGGTTCATGGAGCCTTGCCTTCCAGATTATAGTGTAAAAACTAATTCTTAAGGGGGAAATAATAATTCCCCTCCTTCCATTTTCTTATAATATAAACTAGAAGAAAGTATGATAGATCTGGAGATGCAGCCAGACCATTATTGGTAGAACCTTCACTTTTTCTTCTAGAATTAATGTATTAAAAACAGAATAACACTATTGGAAGTATAAATATAGGTCTTCTATATTTTTAAAGCGACATATTTGTTCTGGTGATAAGAACACTGTCACATCATAGAACATATAGTAATAGCATAACTAACGTGCTCCCTCTCCTCCAGTATATCTCGTGTGTATTCTAGAGGTTTAGAATGATTAATAAATTGATGAGTCAGACAAGATGACAATTCTGGGGGGGGGGGGGGGGGGGGGGGGGGGGTCTTCCAAAGCACAATTAACTGAACATATGAGAAATCAGATCAGTGTTTACAGTTGGCCAACTAGAAATGTCTGGTGACATTGTAGAACCAGTGAGGCAGCAATGAATGCTAATTGTTCCCTAATTACTCATTAAAATAAGAAATCTAGGCCAAGATTGAACATTATTTTCAGTACTTTTAAAAAGATCATAGACTCATGAGCTGGTCAAAATGGATGAAGAGACTAGAGACAGTATTAGCATTCCAATAAACAGTTTTTAATGTGTTGCATTTTTGCAGAATAATTTTTTAAGCCAATTTTTATTTTAAAATGTTTTTGTATTAGCCCTCAGCCAACCCTCGGTATTCACAAGCAATAACAGTCAATGCTGTCATTCTGGGCAGTTGAGCTGATTTGGAGGATTTTAACCTGAAAGGGCAAACCTGTTCTGAGCCTCAAATACAAGCAATAATTTTCAAATTGTGGTTTTGCAATTTCTTAAAATTATGCCTTCTGTTATGTGTGTGTATCACTATGGAGTCACAGTAGCCATTGCAAGTTTATCTAGGATTTGTGGAGAAAGGATCAAGACATTGAACTACTATATGATACAAAGCTTGAGATGTCCGAGCGAAATGTTGCTCTTCTCTACCCAAAGATAATAGTTGATGGTTTAAATCATTCCTTTTTTTGCTCAGCCTTTTTATACTGTCCTTCTCTCCAAGAAGAGTGATAAGAATCAAAATCCTAGGTGAAGTGCTGTGGGTTTGACACCTGTTTCTATGAAAGTAGATGTGGCTTTTACTGTATCCTATAGGCTGTGAGTGGAGCAGACAACCAACATATCCTCCCTGCAGTTCTGATCTGACTCTTTCAGTCTCCACATTGCCTCTCAAATTGATCCAAAGCGATTGAAAGTAAACATTCTGCAACTCCCAAGCTACCATCAGTTATACTGAACCATAACCATCTGCTGGATTACTTTCTTAGGACTCCCGTTTTATCATGTTTGCTGCTACATACATGAAAATAACTTTTGGCTATATTTATAAGTAAATTTAAAGCTAGTTTACAGGTTGATTTTAAAGTTGTTTGCTCACAGTAAGATAAGATATTTTGGTGTTTTTTTTTTAGAGTGCATTGGCAAAAAACCCCGTTATTCATCTTTTTATTAAAGTATTGCAGGAAGAAAATAAAATCTCTACTAAGCTTTGAAAAGTTTTCACTCCAGTCTCTTCCTGTGTTGGAGGTCACTGTAGAGTTGCTCTTTTCTGTTTTCTAAAACCTAACACAGAGGTAAATAGAATAGGCAAACAATTGGTCAGCCAATGTTTTATGCAATTATAATTTTATGGCAATGTTTAAATTGTTTTATATAATTTGATTCCAACCCTGGATGGTATTACCCCTCTAACTTACTTGATTCAGGCCTTTGTCCTTTGGTTAAGTGCCTTTTCTTTTTGTTCCCTTGTTTCCCCATAGAATATACTCAGAGGTCCTAAAGTGCTAGGAGGTATTTGGAAGAACCTTGAACTTGCCAATATGACTTTATGCTGTTAAAATGATTTCCCCCCTCTGTGATTAGTGTTGAACGTGTGTAATGTTATAGCTGCTGTACGTTCATTCTTCATTGTTTGCTTTCAAGTGCAGCAGTATTCCCAAGAGCCCTGATGTTCCATTTGTTTCCTAAAGCATTTATGTTTACTTATGAAGGTGAACTTTGACATGGGGTATAGTAACTCGGTGTTTCAGAGCAACTCTAAGGAAGTGTTTAGCAAGAAACCAACAGAGCCATTGCCACTGGAATTTGAGGGTGTAAATTTATAAAATGGTGCTAGTGAATACTCTTAAAATTTGGCATATTCCTTACAAAAGATAATGTAATTTGGAATAAAATTTACCAAGATTAGAGGAAAATTTTGTATGAAAATCTGAAGAATTAACATCAGACAAATAAGTTAACAAATGATAGTTTGCATTGGTCATGCTAAAAAAATTTTTTTCCCTGTGTCACTATCTCTGCCTGGAATATCTGCTTTAGATCACTAAGTAGCTCTCTGATGACAGTAACCATAATAACAATGACTAAATCTTTTAAACAAATGAAAGTTTTAATTTTTCATGCACCAAACACAGTGAGTGCTTCCTTCTATTGCTCAGATACACATGGTAAAATCTGTATTGACATTAGTCACTGAAAAATCTTGTTATACTTTGGCAAAGTTGTTGAACTGAAAATTAGCAAAACAGTTTCATACAAAAAAATCTTAAAAGTCATTTAATTGCAATATTTTTCACACCTGGTACTATAAATTAACAAACTGTGAGATAAAGAACCCAGCCTCCAAGCAGAATAAGTAACTGTCATTTTGAAGATTGTTAAATACTTGGGTTACACTCATCTAGATTATCTTTAATGTTATAGGCAATTTAACAGGTTTTTATCTTGAAAACAAAGCTAGGTTGCATTCTGCTTGAAATCAATTCTGAAGAGATGGTTAGGCCCACTGAATACTGCTGTATCTTAAACAACCATCTGTTCAGAGAAATATGGCTCAACATACCTGGGAGAGATGTGTATAATTCCAGTACAAATAAGCAAGGGAACTGCTTTATTTCCACCCAAGACTGTTTGTCCCTCATGAAGTATAACTGCATTCATATTAGTTGAGAAGAAATTACTTGTCTTGCAGTGTCTAGTTGGAAGCCACTGGCATGATTTAACATTGAAGTGTAATAATGTCAAAGACAGCATTCCTTTTGCTTTAAACACAGCTTCATCCATTGAAAGAGATTAGCAAATGTCCCTTTTCCTGTGGGTGGAGGTAAAATGGAATCAGTAGAATTGTTCATAATACTATTGCCTTGTTGTATCTACTTCTCGGAACACTGTTGCTCCATTTATTCCTTTGTAGCACCTATCAATGTTTGGTAATTAAGAAAAGTTAAGGTTGTTGAAACTTAGCAAAGGAACCAGTTGAACCAACCTGTTTTAGAAAATTGAAAATCGGTGAATTTTATCCAGATTAAAGCGTGCAGTGGAATTGGCAGAAACAAACTTTCATGTTCTATCCACCCATAAGATCCTCCACAGAAACAGATAAAATGACTGTGTTGAATGTGGTTGGCTATGGCATGAAAAGTTTCAGAACTAAAACCTAGAGCAGGGGTCTTTCATGAGCAGAAGTTTGTTTCCCCCAGTCCTGAGGCAGTTGTCAAAATCAGGATCCAACCATATGTTTAAACAAAGTGTTGGAAAGTTCAGAGGTTTTGTGGACTATTTTCACATTTTAGCAGACCACACATACTGAGTCCTTCCATATTTAAAAGATTTTCATGCAAAAAAAAAAGATAATTTGTGCAACGCTGAAGATTGTGCTGGGAATAATTAGAAATTTAAAGGCTGCTCTTGGATCTCGAATAGGCTTTTAAAGCCAACTGCAGGCTTAAAACTCCTCCATAGCTTTTAAATGGCTAATCAGGAGTGCCTGTGCCCTGTGTTTTGCCCACCTTTGCTATGGCTGTTGTTTCCCCCGGCTGAATTGTGTTCTTTTGCTGTAGCAATAAATCAGGGCTTTCTAGGTTCATCTTACAACAGATTTTTATATCATGAAAGCACTCTTTGTAGAACAGAGAATGTCTTTGTTCCATATAAAATAGCACCTCAGACACTTTCCGTTGTCATTTTAATCCGTTAATCTATCAGTTGCTACTGACACAGTATACAAAATGTTACTGTATTTGGTCACTTTACTCAGTACCAAGACTTTCTTTTACTTTGTTTTGTGTGCTGATGTTTAACAGTAAAAAAAATAAGTGGATGTGTTCTTTCTCAACATAAAAATCAGCTGGGTGAAACTAGGAAATTTATAAGTGGTGTGGTATGGGGATTAGCACGCAAAACTCATAAGCAATTAGTGTTCAGCATTAGGGGGAGTTGTATTCTCATTGCTTTTCTTCCCTGTAATGCCTTAGTTTAATTTTGTAGCAAAATAAACTATGCATATAGCCAGAATTCACATTCAGTACAATGTATATTTTCCCTTGCTAATATAACATCTACCCAAAGAAACATGCTATCGCTTTTGAAGTGTGTACACTATAGAAATATTTTTGTAACATGGAAATCAAACTCTAGATAAAACTACATTAAAAGCAGAAACATGTTAACTAGTTCCACATTATTATCCTGAAAGATAATAATGGCTCTAAGAAGGTTTCTTAAAATCTGAAGGTGTTATGCCTTCATTCTCATAATCAAATACTGATATGAAATTGGTAACTGTGGAAATTAAACACTGGGCTATTACCATCACAGATTTAAATTACTAAATTTGAAAGAGAATGCATACCTTTACTTTATGCAAGAATATGTCAGACACTTTGGTTTCTCTCTAAGCAGAACCTTCTTTAAATGTAAGCCAAGTTGGTATCAACACATCTTTCTGTTCTCATCTTGCACTTTGGTGTTGGACCTTTTGTGAATTGGAGAATCTAGAAGACTGATATGGCAATGGCTGTAATTTTTTTGCACATGTTCTCTGTGTTGGGGATAGAAGTATAAATTGTTTTAAAGTATTTGGACTGCTAAGTAGCTAAGAGGTAATTACATTAATCATGACATAAGCTTAATCTTCACCTCAAACTGCTGGGCAGTATTGTTAGCATTATCAATGAGCTCACTCACTCTCTTCTTTTTAACCACATTTGGTACTTGATACATGCCATGATTAAAATATTAAGTGTTAATATTTTATAATCTAGAGAATAGACGCTTGCTATAGTTGGGCAATTGTGTGGTTAAAGTGAGGAGTATTGAATTTTTAAAAAAATTTCAGAACACAAGAATAAGATATTTCTCCTAAGGAATTCTGTCAACAGTAGAGCTTCCATGTTTTAAAAGCTCCCCTTTTTATTTGTAGTATAAGTCATCATTCTGAATACAGTACTTGTAGTTACTCTCTCCTTATTTAATACTCAATAGAAAGATCAAGGAGATTCTACAAGGTTAGTTGCACAGAATTGAAACATGAATACTGGAGATTTTTTGTGTCTCCATTAGTGAGAGTAGGGATGCTCTTTGGCAAACACATCTGAAGCAGTAATTTTCTTCTATATTCAGCTCGATACCTTTCTTACTGATACCCAAGTATTTCCAGAACCTGGTGTCAGCCAAACATATGGCTTCACGGGTGGACGAGTTCTCTCCTCAGAGATCTTCAATTTGAGTTATTAACAAACTCAGATGACTTCTCCTAGTGAGGGGGGCCTGAATAGTCAAGCACAGAGCTACTTAGTGACTGGTGCCAACTGCTTTTCATTTTTAGGGAGATGTGTTCTACTGATATGAAGGGATGCTAGATTTTAAAGAAAGGATATAATCTCTTCTTCCTCTCTCAAACTGAATCTGAACACAATATTTGAATTAACTTTTTTGTAATAATCTCAGGACCTGAAAGATTGTAGCATAGTGTGTCTTAAATGATGTACTGTACCAGCCATGAATTTTGTAAATATCCCTGTCGCCCTCCTTTTTGTATTTCTTTTTAGAGTTTGTGAGGCTCCTCACCACAAGAGCTGGTGCCTGCTAACTTTCCATATAAAACTGGATGCGCAGAAAAGGAAAAGTTGCTGCCACAAAAGCCTGCACCAGGTCTAAACGTATATTCAGGTGTTTTTTTAAAATACAGTTTCACTGGGAGGCAAATACTTTACCTTCTAAGATATCTTATCACAGTTTGGAAGAGTAAATAACATGAATTTGTTTCCAAAACTCCTTGCTTGACAGGTCAGGAAGATAGTGAAGTAACTTCATTATTCAATCATTCCTGCCTCCTAATTTTGCTCCTCCAAACGGTGCAGAGTTGTGGTGTTTTGGGGGGCAACAGACTTCCTTTGAAAATCCATCTGTAGATATCTAGCAGGTCAAAAGTGGGAGCCTTGTTCAACTAAGTGTAAATGTACCTGTCCAAAAGCATGACAGGGCCTTCATGAGTGTTTTTATTTTGTATGTGTCATGTGTCTGTGTTGTATTAAATAAAGAGGAATGTACATATAAACCAATGCATTTGTGTACTTCATTAAAATTGATACTACCTCCCCCCCCCACACACACACTCACTTTATTGAATTCACCAGCTTGCTAACAAATCTAAGCAGAGATTAAAACCCCAATTTAATAGGGGTTACAAATCATGTTGATCTAGTAAAGATAAATGTTTCCCCAGATATTCAGTCTAGTAATGTTATTTCCTATTATATTATATGTTCCTATTCACCTTATTGAATCACTTATCTTTGAATTAGTTTGCACAGTGGCCTTCTCCCCCCCCCCCCCAATAATTAGCCTGTTGTTGCTTGATACTTGTTAATTAATGTCTGCTGTTTCAAATTATTGTTTTTGCTTTTGTTTTTAATTGTACTTTGCCAGTGCTTGGCCCCATGTAAGCCGCCCCGAGTCCCTTTGGAGAGATGGAGGCAGAGTAGAAAAATAAAGTCCTTCTTCTTCTTCTAATGTCCGATTCTGGGGGATGGTGCTCATCTCCATTTCTAAGCCAAAGAGCCGGTGATGTCCATAGACTCCTCCAAGATAATGTGTCCGGCATGACTGCGTTACTTTCCCACAGAAGCAGTAGCTATTGATCTACACACATTTGCATGTTTTCAAACTGCTAGGTTGGCAGAAGCTTGGGCTAACAGTAGGAGCTCACCCACTGCCGACCTTTCGGTCCGCAAGTTCAGCAGCTCTGTGGTTAAAATGAAACTTGTAGCATCACAAAACGATATCCTATTTAGGTGACTAAATTTAAGGGTAGATCAAAATTTTTAAAAATGAGTAAGGATGTGTGAAATAGTCAAAAACAAGTTAGGGACTTTAAAAATATAGAAAGAGTGGGAAGCTAAATAGTTCTCTCTTCACAGAAGAGACAATATAAAGAAGATAGATAGATAGATAGATAGATAGATAGATAGATAGATAGATAGATAGATAGATACACACTCCTTGCTTGAAATTGGTATCTTTAAAGCAGGGCTGAGAAAAATACATTTCCACCATGTTTTGCCAGCTCTGGGTCCAAGGAGGCAGTTTGTGAAACCCAAAACATGGCAGTTTTCAAAGAGGCGGCCTGTTAGCTCCTTGTAGCAAAGGACAAGTGGTTTTTCTTTCCACGTGTTTCCAGGGAGAGCTTATCATGGCAGACAGTCTTTGCTATCTCTCATGAACCCCAACCACCCCGCAGGCCGCCTCCTCCTCGAACAGAGCCGACGCTTCTTGTTTGTGTAGGGTGCTGTGATTGGCCTACGTGACCGTGATGACACTTCCGCTTAAAGAAACGTCACAGCATTACTGAGTAACCCGACGGATAAAATACTTGAAAGGGGTTGGGTCAGATGACGAAAGCGTGTGACGCTAACCTACAAGTAAAACATTGGCTAGAAGGAAAAGCCGAGAAGCCCCAGTGGCCTAATGGATAAGGCATTGGCCTCCTAAGCCAGGGATTGTGGGTTCGAGTCCCATCTGGGGTGGCCTTCCTTTTCTTTTCCTTCCGGCTTCAAAGCACATTTTCCTGTACTATTACTGCACGATTTTCCCACCGCTTTCGGAGTCAAAAGCACCGTGCTTTCCTGTAAACAAAATAATTAAGGATGCAGCGAACCCTTAAGAGGCCACCCTACACTGCAGATTTCATGCCGGTTGGGATCACAAACAAGATCTTTAGCCTTCCCTGCCCAAAAGGGGCCGGTGCCTCACCACACTAAGCACCCATGCATGACTCCACAGCATTGAGCCATAAGCCACTGAAGCGGTTTCAAACTGTATTAATTCTACAGTGTTAGATGCAACCATGGTTGGTCAAAAAAAAGTCACCCTTTTGTGGAATTGTTAGTTTTGTTGCTTGATCGAACTGAGCAATGCCGACCTTTCAATCGATTCGCTCGATCGCTCCTGAAAAATTATGCTTCGGTACTCCGTAGATCGCCCTGAAATTAGGCGCGAGACCAAGTCTGATTCCAGCTCTGCAGATCTGGGAGTAAGAGCCGTTGCTTATTGGTCGTTAAGGGAAAAGCCGAGTTCCTATTGGTTGACGCTGTTGCGGCCGAGATCCCGAGGGCTGGAAGCGAACAGGCGGATCGAAAGGGCCGTTGCTTATTGGCCGTTACGGGAAAGAGCCGCGTTCTTATTGGCTGGCGCTGTTTGAGGCTGGCGTTCGGAAGGTGTGGGAGCGAGCAAGCAGAGGGCCGTTGTTTATTGAAAGGGCGGTTGTTTATTGGCCGTTACGGGAAAGAGCTGAGTTCTTATTGGCTGGCGCTGCTGCGGCTGGCGTTCTGAAGGGGTGCGAGCAAAGAGAGAAGCAGGAAGAAAAGGCCGTTCTTATTGGCCATCACGAGAAGGAGCTGTGTTTCTATTGGCTGGCGCTGCAGCGGCTGGCGTTCTGAAGGTCGGGTGCGAGCAAAGAGAGAGGCAGGTAGAAAAGACCGTTCTTATTGGCTCGTACGGGAAAGAGCTGTGTTCTTATTGGCTGGCGCTGCTGCGGTTGGCGTTCTGAAGGTTGGGCGCGAGCAAAGACAGAGAGGCAGGTGGAAAAAGCCGTTTTTTATTGGCCGTTATGGGAAAGAGCTGTGTTCCTATTGGCTGGCGCTGCTGCGGCTGGCGTTCTGAAGGTTGGGAGCGAGCAAAGAGAGGGCCGTTGCTTATTGGCCGTAACGAGAAAGAGCTGCGTTCTTATTGGCTGGTGTTCTGAAGGTTGGGCGCGAGCAAAGAGAGGTGGGTAGAAACGGTGGTTGCTTATTGGCCGTTACGGGAAAGCGCTGCGTTCTTATTGGCAGGCGCTGCTGCAGCAGGGGTCCCGGAAGCTCGAAGCGGGCGAAGGCGGATGGCGGCGCTGGGATCTCCGCTCCGCACTTTCCGTGGCCTGGCGCGCGAGTTCCGGTTGGCGCAAGGAAGGCCCGGGCTCTCCTTCCGGGACGCCGCTGCGTATCGGTATCTGAGGGAGGCCTTCCGCGCCCACCGGGTACTGCTCATGTTTTGTGTTTATTTCCTTTGTATTGTCTGGGAGCTACAGGCGAGGGGGAAGTGGGGAGTCTGGGTTTTAAAGTTATATCTTTTTATAAACGTAACAAATTTTAGGGAATTCTCCCAAAATAGCAGAACATCCAAAAATACCAACAGGATACTTCATTGATCAGTGAGCTCACTTCAAGTAGAAAGGTGAAGTGTTGTGTGGCTGCAAAAGAATTTTTGAGCTCAGCAGGCAAAAATGCAGAGTTCAATCTTTAAAGTTACCAAAAAGGTTTATTTACAAAATAAGAACTACAAAATAACGAAAGAATTGGGTTTAAGCTTCTCTCTGACTCTATAACTTCTAAGTTCCAAAACAAGAGGAAAAGCCTTCAAACACACACAGTAGAGCAGGGGTCCTCAATCTATGACCCGGGAAATAAATATGCATTGAGTTGTGGTTCATGTTTGTCTTGAGAATTCGATTCCAAACCTCACCCACTTGGCAACTTCTCAATTCTTTAAAATTCTAGTGATCTCTTGCATAATTGTAGCGGATACTTACCTTTCAAAAAGATGTTTTTGCATGGAGGATGACTCATAATAAAGTAAAAGGATCCAAAGCAAGAAATCATAAAGTAGCCACTAAAAATAGGCACTATAAAACCAAAATTTATACACATCTGGAGCACGCTTCGAGACAGTGAAATGTCTCCTAGGGGAGATGGTTGGCAGGGTATAAAAATAAAATTATTATAATATTATTATAATAAATATGCATGTTTTTAGAGCCTCATGCAGTAAGATCCAAAATTGTATATAGAGATCTAACTTTGACACAAAATTAACACAGCTAGGATATTCTACCAGAAATCCTGGAATGCTAAAACCTGTAAAATCAGGACAGTAAACAAAGAGCAACAATGAAAAAGCAGTGGAGTTCCAGACAAGAATCAATCAGGGCCAACAAAGGATTCCTCCAGGCAGCAATCAGCAGGCTTCGAAGCTGCAAGGCCATTATAAACCTCACTTGCCTAGTGTGGGGTTGAATTCCAACAATAAAAACATGGGATGCAACATTCAGATTTCAAACTATGATCATATTATACCCGTGCCTTTGCCCAAGGCACTGGTTTTAGTCCATTTTCAGACCACAGTCAAAATTGGTTTTTGAAATGTAGAAATTTGCTGTGACTCAAGTGACCACTGATTCCCAACCGTTGATCCTCCAGGTATTTTGGACTTCAGCACTCACAATTCCTAACTAGAAAGATGGCTAAGATTTCTGGGGGCTGAAGTCCAAAACACATGGAGGACCAACAATTGGAACCACTGGCATAAACCATTACAGATTTCAAAGACCCAAATTTTAACATTCAGGACCAGAATATTTTATGGCTGTGTGTAGATGATGGTTGCTCTGTCAGATCTCTGCTGCCCCTTCATCATAAGGTAGAATGTGCTTATACAACAGGTATGGGGAAACTTCGGCCCTCCAGGTTGAAGTTTGGAGGGCCATATTTTGCCGTTGCCTGCTATACAATCTGACATGACTTGATGGTGATCTTTCACTGAACATCTGCCCAGTCTCTTATGCTTGTATTCTGCTTTTACTTCTAGGTAACCAGTGAAAAATTGTGCCGAGCCCAGCACGACCTCCATTTCCAGGCTGCCACCTATCTCTGTCTTCTCCGTAGTGTCAGGGAGCACTTAACACTACACAAAGAATATCATGGAAAAGGAGATCGGACGGCAGAACAAGTGGCTGGACTTGTTGGCCTTAAACTACCACAGCAGCCTGGAGGGAAAGGATGGGAGTGACCATTATAAAACTTCTAAATCTTACTTCTCAAAAATTGATAATTGATATTTTTCAGCCCTGTTTATTTAAATAAAATGTTTGCATGCAATACAGGATTTCCAACTAGATATTTATGTTACCATAGTTTAAAATATAATTAGAATAATTGCTTGCAAAAAGTTACCTACTCAGTGTTTGTTTTTAACTTGATAGCATCATCATAGTCATGGAATAATGCAGACAATTAGACAAGTCTCTCATTAGTACTGTATTATCTGTCCCAGCAGGATCTTTCCAAACCCCTTGAGTAATAAATAACCAAAGTCACACTGACCTCAGTTAGTGCTGAATAGAACTATATTTATTTAGAAATAAATATGCATATACCTGTGATTCTTGTCTTGAGAATTAGATTCCAAACCTCACCCGCTTGGCAACTTCTCAATTCTTTAAAATGACAGTGATCTCTTGCATAATTGTAGGGATACTTACCTTTTAAAAAGACATTTTTGCGTGCAGGATGACTCATAATAAAGTAAAAGGATTCAAAACAAGAAATCATAACGTAGTCACTGAAAATAAGCAATATAAAACCAGAATTTATACACTTCTGGAACCCACTTCGAGACAGTGAGAGCCTCATGTAGTAAGGTCCAAAATTGTATATAGAAATCTAGCTTTGACACAAAATCAACACAGCTGGATATTCTACCAGAAATCTTGGAGTGCTATTGATAGCATTTGGTCAACAATACCAGGCTAGTTTAATTAATTATTTTTCAATAGCTCCATTAATTTATTTCAATCATATGTTTGGTATTTATTCTTTTTGTTGAAGCTGCTTGATTGCACTCTCTGTTTTTCACATCAATAACAGTGATCACGAAGTAAAAACTAGTGGAGAATTGAAAGCTTACTAATTTTAACATTGTCGTGGCATCAAGAGGTACATTGTAGCACCGAGTGATACCTCCCACATAGTTTACAGACTAGAGCAGAGCTTTCCAAACTCTGCATCATGACACTTTAATATGCTGGCTGCAGTATGTTGGTGTGCTACGCAAATGTAAGAAATTACAGAAATCTTAAAAATGTGTGTTATTAACTTACAAATCATATATATTTTAAAATTATAAATGAAAGGTTTTCCTGAGAAATGTTGTGTCCCCATACAGTTCATTACTAAAATACATGTATTTGTCCATATGTCTCATAAGGAGTTGGTTTAACTTCTGGTTTGCTAGTAAACTCAGTGACTGTATAATGAAATGATGCATGCCAAAAAAAGTATATCACCAACATGCATTAAAGCAACAGTGGATCTCCTCAACTTCCTCATTAAGTGAAGATACTGAGTATCCCAAAAGAAGGCACAGCTGGCATCCACAAAGATCCAATTCCTGGGACATGACCCAAAAAATGGGATCTGTATCCTGGCTGCCAAGAGGGTAAAAGCATTTACCCACCTCCCAACTGTGACTGCCCCAAAACAGATACATTCTTTCTTGGGACTGAATGGCAAATTTAATTTATTGAGTTTCTGAGGTCAGGACGCCACCAATACCTCCTAGTTCTGGTCTGTAAATTCTCAGGAAGCCTAGAAGCCTTTCCCTGTGGTGCCAACAAGACCCGAGAATTGGCAAAGGCATTATTAGAATAGATCCTTCCCCGATGGGGGCTCCCGCGTGAACTAGACAGTGACCAAGGACCCCACTTTACTTCAAAGATTCTCCAGAAGGTACTTACAATCTCAGGCATCAACTGGAAGCTCCATTCTCCATATCATCCTCAGGCCAGTGGGATGGCAAAACGGATGAATCAGTCCATCAAACTGAATTTAATGAACATCACTCAGAAGACTTCCCTTAAGTGGCCCCACGCATTCCTACTTGCACTGGTGACAATCCACCTGACTCCAAGGGGACCCTTGAAACTGAGTCTGTTTGACCAGGTTTTGGGCAGACCCTGGCCTCCGGTGACCCAGCTGAATGTCCTGAGCAGGGAGGTGGAGCAAGAAGATTAAAACTTACTGATATTTACTTTTTGGCTGTCTCATGCGCTTGTGTTTATTGATCCTACAAGAGTCAATAATTAATTAATTAATGTTCAGGCTCTGACTATTTGAAAATCTGCATCTTTGAATACAGCACGAGCACTGTGGTCTGCGGTCTGCAGAGGAGTCCCTGCTCTCTGTCCCATCCCTGTCTCAAGCATGGTTGGTGGGAACGATAAAGGGGAACTTCCCCTGCCTCTGGAACTCCCTCCTTAACTAAAAATGACCCCCTCTATTTTCCTTTAAAAAGCTTTAAAAACTCACCTATGGCCTCTAGCTTATAGAGAGGAGGAGGACTAACAAATCTTTATATAAACCCTCACCTAGGAACCCCTGGTGGTGCAATGGGTTAAACCCTTGTGTCGGCAGGACTGAAGACCGACAGGTTGCAGATTCAAATCTGGGGAGATGAGCTCCCTCTGTCAACTCCAGCTCCCCATGCAGGGACATGAGAGAAGCCTCCCACAAAGATGATAAAACACCCAGGTGTCTCCTGAGTAACATCCTTGCAGATGGCCAATTCTCCCACACCAGAAGCGACTTGCAGTTTCTCAAGTCGCTCCTGACACACACACACACACACACATACAAAACCCCTCCGAAGTTGTATACCATCTTAGTTTAAATATTTTTCATCTAATTTTAAGTTTTTAAGAACTTGTTTGTGATATATTATGTTGTTTGTTTAAGTTGTTATTTGTATAATTTTTATTGAGATTGTTTTACCCACTAGTTTACTTGCTATTAGTTGTTATTGGCACTGTGTTATTTTGCTGGAAACCACCCTGAATCCCCTTAGGGAGATAAGGTGGGTTATAAATAAAGTATTGATATATTATTATTGATAAGCCGGAGGCTTACCGGACCCTAGCCTGCCCATTTGCATTAGCACTTGCCTTGTTCATGGTAGGATGGGACAAAGGGTTCCTATCGATAAAAACTGGAAAAAGAGAGGGTTGGAACATGAAGCATGGTGTGAAATTGCCTGATTGTCCCTTAAGGAAGTGTGCCTGACAATGATTGAGTGGCACCAAGAAGGTGGCACAGCACTGTGAAACTATGAAAGCAAATGTACTGTCACTGCTCAGGGTTTGTCCATTTTGGTGGCTCCACTGGAGTTTCAGTTTTCTGTATTTTTTTCCCTACATCTTCTGAGTTTTTCAGAATGAAACTTTCTGAGAGCCAGAAACGCCTGATTACTTTGCTGGCCGTGTCTCTAAAGCTGCACCTTTTCAGAGATTGGAGAGACAATCGTATATAAATAAAAATGTAATGTTCGTTTGTGGGATTAACAGAACTCAAAAACCACTGGACGAATTGACACCAAATTTGGACACAAGACACCTAACAACCCAATGTATGTCCTTCACTTAAAAAATATGATTTTGTCATTTGGGAGTTGTAGTTGCTGGGATTTATAGTTCACCTACAATCAAAGAACATTCTGAACCCCACCAACGATGGAATTGAACCAAACTTGGCACACAGTTCTCCCATGACCAACAGAAAATCCTGGAAGGGTTTGGTGGGCAGTGTCATTTGGTTTAGGAGTTGTAGTTCACCTACATCCAGAGATCATTGTGGACTCAAACAATGATGGATCTGGACAAAACTCTACACAAATACTCAATATGCCCAAATGTGAACACTGGTGGAGTTTGGGGAAAATAGAATCTTGACATTTGGGAGTTGTAGTTGCTGGGATTTGTAGTTCACCTACAATCACAGAGCATTCTGAACCCCACCAACGATAGAATTGGGCCAAACCTCCCACACAGAACGCCCATGTGGGCCACAGCAACGTGTGGTAGGGGACGGCTAGTATCTTATAAAATAACTTTCAGCCTATAAGGTGATGAAGTGCAGATGAAAGAAATTAATTTCATGTTTAGATTCAGATCACATCTCCCATATATCTCATTATATATCTATATGCAAATACAGGTATTCCAAAACCTGAAAGGACTAAAAATCCAAAAGCATTTCTGATAAGGGGGGGGGGGGTCAACCTGTGTGTAATAACAGCAACAAGAGTGTTAAATAAATAAATTTTATTACCTGCTTCTCCTGATGGCTCAAAGCAGGATACAACAAAGTCTAAACATGAACATAAACTACAAACCATAAAATAGATAAGATTAAAAAAAAATATAAATGCACAAAGATGGTTGGTGAACTTGACCAATTTAGCAACAATAGGCATGCCGTGGTTGATTAAAGTCATTGGTGATATTTCTTAAAGAATGAACCAGCTAATGTCTTGTCAATATGTAATTTTGATCATTGGAAAGGTTCGATTATGAAAAGAAGATAAATTGCATTGATGTTAGAAAGGTATGAATAACTATCCTTATGGATACATAAATTTCTTTTTTTGTTCATTTAAAAAACGAATAAAAGCACACAAAACCGAGCTGTGCTTGGCAAGATCTACCTGTTTTCACCTTGCCACACCAACCTTGACAAAACCTGGACAGCAAAGTGTTTCCACGTGATTTTTCTGCAGGCAAAGTGACACATACATTGTGTTGTCGGAGATTTCCATGGCCTGAATCACTGGGTTGCTGCTGTGAGTTTTCCGGGCTGTATGGCCATGTTTGAGAAGTATTCTCTCCTGATGTTTTGACCTCATCTATTGCAGGCATCCCCAGAGGTTGTGAGGTCTGTTGGAAACTAGGCAAATGAGGTTTATATATCTGGCTACCAGGTTTTGGTTTTTTTTAAACAAATATCTAAAAGGACATTAAGCAAAGAATAATACTCAAAAAGCAGGGGAATTCCAGACAAGAATCAGTCAGGTCAAAGTATTGTCGAAGGCTTTCATGGCCGGAATCACTGGGTTCTTGTAGGTTTTTTCGGGCTATATGGCCATGGTCTAGAGGCATTCTCTCCTGACGTTTACCTCTGAGGATGCTTGCCATAGATGCAGGCGAAACATCAGGAGAGATTGCCTCTAGACCATGGCCATATAGCCCGAAAAAACCTACAACAACCCAATTAGATAAAAAAAAAATAGATATCTATAACAACGACAAAATACAAGTTGCAAACTGTTATCCAAACTGAGACTTTATTTGGACTGTATTTTGAAGACAGTTCTCAAGGACTATGAGATAACCAAGTAGCACTCAGATTTGCAATTTGTTTGTGTGGTTTATATGCAGTGTACTTACACAGTTTATGTTAACATAGTTCTGTTTGGATAACAGTCTGCAAGCTGTATTTTGTCAAGAATCAATCAGGGCCAGCTAACACCTCCCAACAAAAGATCCCCCCAGGCAGCAATCAGCCAGGCTTCGAAGCTACAAGGCCATTAAATGCTAATCAAGCTGGCCAATTGCAACATTCACATTTGCCTAGAATCAGAGAATCATAGAATCAAGGAAGAGACCTCGTGGGCCATCCAGTCCAACCCACTGCCAAGAAGCAGGAATATTGCATTCAAATCATCCCTGACAGATGGACATCCAGCCTCTGTTTAAAAGCTTCCAATGAAGGAGCCTCCACCACACTCCGGGGCAGAGAGTTCCACTGCTGAACGGCTCTCACAGTCAGGAAGTTCTTCCTCATGTTCAGATGGAATCTCCTCTCTTGTAGTTTGAAGCCATTGTTCCGCGTCCTAGTCTTCAAGGAAGCAGAAAACAAGCCCTGTGGCTTCCTCTCACATATTTATACATGGCTATCAACAGTTTCCAACAAACCCCTCAACCTCTGAGGGTGCCTGCCATAGATGTGGGCGAAACGTCAGGAGAGAATGCTTCTGGGACATGGCCATACAGCCCGGAAAACTCACAGCAACCCCATGACAAATACATGCTTCCGCCATTGTAATTGTCAGCAGCATCGGAAGGCTTGGCCGGTGTCCCAAAGCGATTAATTCTTCTGCTCCGTCCAGAAATGGCCGACTTGACGACGTTCGCCCAATGCAAAACGGATACGTCACGCACCCAAAGCGGGCAGGAGCACGCCCTCCAATCAGAACCAGCGCCGGTACGAGAAGGCCTCATCCAATCAGCGAAGGCGGAGCGTATGACGTCGCAGGCGCGTGCGGGCGCGTTCGACGCACGGATGTCCGTTAGTGCCGAGGCGGCGCTTGCTTGAAGCGGGCCGGCGCGCGGCGGGGACTCGCGGCGGCTCTGAGGGGGCTTCCCGCTTGTGTTTTCGGCGAGGGCGCCATTTTAACGGCCTCGTCCTCCTCTTGAGAACAAGAGAGAGAGCGAGAGGGCCCTTTCCCGGCCTGAGGAGACAGACGCGGCCGCGGCGTCGGCCCGACATCGCCTAGGCCGCGGTGGGCGGGGCTTAGTTCGGAGTCGGCCGGCCCTCTCGGGCCCTGCGCGCTTTCGGGATGTCGGCCCAGGCCCAGATGCGCGCGATGCTCGACCAGCTGATGGGCACCTCCCGGGACGGTAAGGAGTGGCGCTGGTTCCTCAGGCTCCGCGGCGATGGCGGATGGCGGGGGCAGGGCACGAACAAGCCGCGAAGGCCTCGGCCGGGATTGGCTGCGTCGCCCTCTTGGCTCGAGGCGGGGCTACGCGGCTGCCACTCACCAGTCTCACAGAATCTCAGAGTTAGAAGAGACCCCCCAAAAGCCATCCAGCCCAACCCCCCCATCAAAGCACTCCCGACAGATGGCCACCCAAGCTCTACTTAAAAACCTTTGGAAAGGGAGACTCCACAGCTCTCCGAGGGAGCATCTTCCACTATATAATAATAATAATATACTTTATTTGTATCCCGCCCAATCTCCCCTGATGGGGAAAAGAGTGGCAGCAAGCCTGAGTCAGTAGGCAAAGCGAGCGATTTGGTGAAGGGAAAGTGCCTCTCCTGAAGTCACCCCCTGCTAGGGAAGAAGCCACAGCACACTGTAGAATTAATGAGTTTGACGCCACATTAACTGCTATGGAATCCTGGGAGTTGCAGTTGGCAAGGCCTCAGCATTTAGTCAAAGAAAGGTCAAGACCGTTCAAAAAACTCCCAACTTCCATGATTCCACTGGATTGACTTGTGACAGTTAAACTGCATTGACTTTACACAAACAGATGTAACAATCAGATAACAAGATTATAACAAGCAGCTAGCGCAGGTGTGCATGGGCCAACTTGGGCCCTCCAGGTGTTTTGGACTTCAACTCCCACAATTCCTAACAGTCTCAGGGCCTTTCCTTTCCCCCCTCAGCCGCTTAAACTGTTAGAAATTGTAGGAGTTGAAAGCCAGGACACCCCTGGAGGGCCCAAATTTGCCCATGCCTGCCTGATCAAGACCATGCAAAAAAAATACCAACTTCCATGATTTCACTGGATTGACGCATGACAATTAAACTGCATTGACAGATGCAGATTTTTCTGGAGACGCCTTACAAGCTAACAGGTGCTATAACAAAGGGTGCCCCTACACTGTAGAATCAGTACAGTTTGACACCACATTAACTGCCATGTGTCAATCCAGTGGAATAATGGAAGTTGTATTTTGGTGAGGCATCACCACGTTATAAAGGTCTCGCAAAAAGAAAAAGAAAAACCATCCTATAACTTCCATAGCATGGAGCAGTGTCAGTTAAAGTGGCATCAAACTGTTAATTCTACAGTGTAGTTGTGCCATTAGTTAACATTCAGATGTGGAACTAACTGTTCTGCAGTTCATCTTGACTTATGACCGAAACAGCAGTTCACCTTAATCTCACTGGAAACAGAAAAAGTATTGATTTAATTTCAGCCATTGAAGCAATGAACGCCCAACTTCTGGTCCTCCAGGTGTTTTGGACTACAAGTCCCAACAGCCTCAGCCATTTTTGGCCAGTGGTCAGAGATTATGAATGCTGACGTCCAAAACACCTAAAGGACCATAGTTTGGGAGTCACTGCACTAAACAACTGTTTCTTTAAATGGCTGACTGGCTGGGAATCTGACCCAAACCATCATTTCAAGACTGTAGAAGTAATGTTGAGATGTGTAGATTCATTCTTGTATTGGGTTTGTTTCCTTATTAGAAAATTAGTTTTGCTCTTTTAATTTTTCTTTGATAACAAGTTAATTGATTGGTATAAAATAAGCTTTCACAAGGGCAACTATTGCAAGTTATATTATAGTACAGCTGCAACAGGTAAGCATATGTTTTGTAACTTATATGTATTTTTTTTAATAGAATCCAGCAGTTTTATGTATTGGTCAGCATTATGGTTCACATTAAAACATTTATTACAGAATTTTTCTGAAAATAATTATGAATATAATATTGAGTGATGAAAACACTGGTATATGTATGTATGTATGATACTGAGCTAGCCTTAAGAGTAAGTCATTGGCTCCCTAGGCAGCGTGGTGAATCAGTTAAGTGGTTTTCATTACTATTTAACCCAAATCTTCTCCTTAGGTTAATATATTTTTATCATTGGGAAATGATCTGTTTTATAAGGATGTTGTAATTGAATTACTTATATATGAACCCTTTGCTAGTTTATTCACGTTTGCATAGCAGCCCATTATAACGGATAAAATTCATGTTATTCAGTGTAAACTGTGAATCCTTTCTATTAATGTGGCTGTTTAGCTCATTAATAATAATAACTTTATTTTTATACCCCGCGACCATTTCTCTGAAGGGATTTGGGGCGGCTTACAAGGGACAAGCCCAAAAATACAAATTAAAACACAAATAAATATAATGAAAAACAAACTAAAATCAACAACATCAGAAAAACATTACAATCACAATACACATTTTAAAACAGCATCATAGCTGAAAGATTAAGTGCTGAATGCGGAGGGATCCGGGAATGTGCAATTGTTCCTAATTCTTTCTGTTCGTATGTTTTTGCTGTTTTATTATTATTCTTTTATATATATATATATATATATATATATATATATATATATATGTTTACATTGTCTTTGTTTTTGTTCTGTTGTCTATTTTTATTATGAAAGCTCCTGGAATTATTATTATCTTGAAGTATTCTGAAATTTCAAACTGTATGTGAGATTAGGAATTAGAGCTAACTTATGTCACTTACCTTCTGGTAGTCTCTATGTTTACACATAACGATGACCCAGAATTGTTGTGAATTCAGGTTTATTGTTTTGGAGCAGTGTGAGTTGTGCATGCTATCTAACAATTCCTACTTAACACTTCACAGTAATAGTAGCTAGAAATACAGGACATAGTAAAAGTAATTAATGCAGCAGTCAGACTACATACAAGATCTCAGGTAAAACATCGAAATAATTTGTTGACGGAAAGCCAAGCAAAAAGCTTTAAATGTAAAACATATCAAACACTCTGGGAATCTTTCTTTTTTTACTATAGGTGAGTCAGTATCATTATAAAAATATCTTTCTCATTGATATCAATTTCATCTTGAAATGATCAGTCATTTGTGAGCAGAAAAGCCTCAGTGTTCTAGATTCTAAATGATAAAATTGTGTCAAAGCATCATAACAGCACTTTTAAGTTGTGCCAAGAAACAACATCAGGCCAGTGGAGCTAGTTCAAAATTGGTGAAATTTTTGTTTTCTGAAACAAATGCTTGGGAGCTATCTTTTACTTGATGGAATTTGTTTCTGAATAGTCTACAAATTGTTAAAGTACTATAGTCCCAGTTAGGAGACTTTGGACAATGGCCAGAGGGATAGTCTGCGAATGGTTGTGTTGATGGATACAAAATCTTTGGGTATAGAATGCTGATTGAACCTAAGCTCATGTAGTTCATTGCTGACCTCTCATGTAGTTCATTGCTAACCCCAGTCAAACATTTATTGTTTCCCCCTTTAAATGCAGTCCAGTAAAAAAATAAAATATAGTTAGATGTCTTCATATACTTTACAGCCTCTGTATTTGCTGGACCATTTCCTTGGTCTTCCATTGCAACATTATGATATTATTGGTCAAGAAGTCCTTCATTTCAATAAGGGTAGCTATTATTCACAGTTTGTGTGTTCACAAACTGTGAACACACACTGTGAACACACTGCATATACGGGGGGTTGTATAGGATTTTATTTAACTTATTTTTTTTTCTGGAAATGTGTCACTTCAGATGACTTGAGTAACATTTTTTAAAATATAAATTGTGAAATCCCAGTTAAAAAAATAGCATAAATGCTATTATGCAGATTATATATTCCTCAAGCATCACTTTCTAAATCCTTCTTTTGGAAGAATAGTAGAGCCGCATGGTGCTCTGCTACCTATCACAGAAAGACAATCTAGGAAGCAGGTGGGGAAAGTGATCTCCATATCACATACTTTTACAGCGCAATTTTTTTCCTTAAAGGTTTTTTTTTTTTTTTTTTTTTTGGTCGTGTCAGGAGTGACCTGAGAAACTGCAAGTTGCTTCTGGTGTGAGAGTATTGGCCGTCTGCAAGGACGTTGCCCAGGGACGCCTGGATGATTTGATGTTTTATCATCCTTGTGGGAGGCCTCTCTCATGTCCTCGCATGAGGAGCTGGAGCTGATAGAGGGAGCTCATCTGCCTCTCCCCGGATTCGAACCTGCGACCTGTCGGTCTTCGGTCTTGCCGGCGGCTCCTTTCCTTAACGTGATGTTCTATCAAAGAAGAAACAAAAATCTCTAAGAAAAATAACCCTAAAGCCCCCAACAACAAAATGCCTGAGAATAGAAAATAGAACCTGGTTTTAATTTAGTTTTTAGCTGTTTGGGATGCTAGCTGTCCATCTTGGGAGCAGGAATGAAAATTTGTTTCTGTGTCATCTATAATTGCCAATCTCTGCTCTAGAAGTATCCCATATTTACAGCAACATAATCTGTTGGCAGTATTTGAGTCTGATCTTGTTGCTCACCAATTTCAATTCTAGATTCATGTTGAAACCCAGATTGAAGCGTCTGCATAAATAGTTACAGTATATATGCTTGTCTGGAGTTGGGCAAGAACCTTGTTTCTTGGAAAATCTTCAAGCACTGCAGTGCAAACTGGAGCTTATTTTATGGCAAAAGTCTCCAAAGTCTTTTATCAAGACATTTTGTCCTAATGGTTTGAGGGATTATATTTTTGAAAATTGTTAGTTTCCCTTTCCAATAAAAATGCTCAAGATGTTATATACCAGCCTTGCGAACTGATTCAGCATTTGGTAAAGGCATTCCGATTGTGGAATCACAGACACTTTTAAGTCAGCAATTGGGTTTATATAATCTTCAGTTTACCTGAGAACACCTATTTCCTACACATTGGGACCTGAGGACTAGATTCTAATCCAGGATGCAAACAGAAGGAACCATCCCTACAGGTTCCCATGTTTTTTTCCCTAAAGTATTACCACCTGTTTTTTTTCCCCGTTCCTTTTTCAACAATACAGGAGAGGCTGCACTTTTAAAGTGCTGAACTGAAAATTGTTGTTCTTATCTCTGTTTAAAGTAGTGATTAAACTTGTGGCTTCAACCAACCCTTTCAGTATCACTGAGCCAAGGAAAGGTTATTATAGGAACAGGTCTAAAATAAGATCTGGGATTCCTAATTTATCATAGCAAAAAGTACCTCACTGTAGTACCAAGTAGGAGAGCCATGGAAGCAGTTGACACAGAACAGATAGGAACCTCTACTGGCTGGAGGTTCTCATGTCCCTGTTATGCACATTGTTTCTGAAGATTAACCCAGGAATTTTAAAAAGGCAGCCTTTCATGATAATGGGAATGAGGCTTCACAATTCAGCCTCATTGTGGTTTCAGAAGTTCCCACAGTTTTGACAAACTCTTTGTAGAACATTGGCAGTAAATATAAGGCTTCACAGAACATCCAATATTGCCTCTTCTGAGATCAGAACTGACCTGCTGTGTACTTTCATAAAGGCAGTGAAATGCCAGCTGAGAGAATGCCATCCCAGAATAACATGAAGCAATCCACACTTAGCCAGTTTTATGTATAGTGCACTTATACAAACTAGAGACACAGGGTAGTTTAAAAGCAGATGTTTTGTGTTGTCTTGTTGCTTCTTATGCTGATCTGTGAGACTTTCTGACATGAGCTTTTCAGAAGAAATTTATTACATGCAAATGGAATATGCTTGTCAGGTGTGGAAAAGCATTGATAGCCTATCAAGAAAGACTGAACAATTAGTTATGGGCAATCCCTTTTCACTCCTGTGAAGATCTCCTTAGAACATAAAGGCATTTGGAAATCTTGTGGGAATGATCTTTGCTTAATTGTTAAAATGTTGATTGTTGCTTTTAATTAGTACAACACTGTTCTCATAAAAAGACCAGAGAGCAATTTTTTCCAGGACAATTTCATTGAGTTTGCAAATTTTGATAATGTAATATTTTGTAGTATTTTTTGTGAAGAAACTGTATTAAATCAGAAAAAAATGGTGCATTAGTCAGCCCTTTTTAGTATGCTGGAAATGAGGGGCTTGTTTGGGGGGCAGGGAAAGCCCTGGTAAATGTCTATATTTAATACACTTGTTTTCCTACATTTATGAAGGTGCATTGAAAACTATATTTACACAAATGCCAGTTGGTTGGCTTTATGAACTTTACAGTGCAATATAGATGTAGGCTTAAACCTGTTTATTCTTTGTGATGTGTCCAGTTACATCATTGTTTTTAATTTATATTCTTTTTAGTGGCTATGGGGAACTGAATAGTCCATGTAAGAAAAGCACAAAGGACATATGTGCCCTCTCAGGTGCTTTTGTGCCTTTCTGTGCTACCAAATATACTTCAAATTTACGACTACCAAATCTTCTATCTCCAGTTTTTGTCTCTCTTCCCATATTGGCTCATACACACATACACACACCCCATATTGTCTGATAACCTCTTCATGAGTATTGATGACAGTTTCTAGGAGTTGCTCCCTGCTTCCTGGGCATTCCTGGAGCTTGTGTCAAGGACCTCTGCATGGTGTAGTGGCTGGTGTCAGAGGGTATTCAAAAGGAGCACTCAGAACAGTGACTGGAAAACAAGTGGTTGTTTTCAGTTGAAAGCATGTTAACATAAATTTAACAATTCCTAAACACACATTTTTTAAAAAAATGCTAGCGAAGGAACTAGACTAAAAGAAAAAAGAAGGGCAAACAAGATTGGAAAATACATAGAATACAAACATGGACTGGACATATGTATTAATCTGTGATCATATATTTGCTTTGTTGGAGTAGCTTAATGAAATTTACATTCATGTGTCACTAAAACTTTTAAGATCTTCTGACTGTCAAACATCAGACGCTATTGTGTTGTTATTGATGTGCCATTATTTGTATATTTTGCTCTCATAGTTTTAAATTGTTATTGCTGTTTTGATATGACTGTCTTTTGCTCTGTTGTGAACCGCGTTGAGTCGCCTACGGGCTGAGAAACTGCGGTATACAAGCAAAGTAAATAAATAAATAAATAAATAAATAAACATTGGACAGTAAATGTGCTGTCTTTCCATCCTTGACATAAATATGTTCTAGCTACATTAAATGCGTGCAGAATGTAGCCATGTTACTCAACATTATGTTCCAGGTTGTAAGAATGCAATCAAAAAGTACATATGTGTCTACAAATACTTACATTTTTTCTTCTGTACAAAATAGAAATATATCAAAACAAAAGGCTATGGCTGTTTTATCTTTGATTGATTTAAATAGACAATATATATATTTTTTCCATTCAATCATTTCATAATTTAAGGTAGAATTAATTTAAATAAATTATACAAAATGAAATACAATTTAAAATGGAATAAAGTATGCTGGGTGTGGTAGATAGCAAGATGAGTGCATGTTTATGTGTGCGAACATGTAAGTATATGGAAATAACCTCCCCCCTCCAGCATTTTATCTTGCCCTTAATGGTGTGATAATATTGTATATACCCTAATATCTTTAGTATTAGTGTGGTATTTGTAGTAGCAGTATTAGCAGGATAACAGTGGATCGATCTTAAAAGAATGAGATGGTTAAAATGTGTATTGTCAATCTCCCGTTAAGTTGTGATTGCATATCTTGAAATACAGAGTGTCCACAGTTTGTTTTGACAGTGAAAAATATATGCGCTGATAAAAAAATGATCATAGTATTTAGTTTTGTTTACTGTGGCTTTATTTAATTGAAAACCTTTTTTCTTAATTATTTAGTAAAAATGGAATCCTGATGTTTAATATTATGATAGCCTCCACTAGATTATGAATTATTGGCGTATGAATCTGTTTAGCATTTATGAAGAGTTGCTTTTCCAAAATTTAAAGAGATGAAATGTAAGCATGTTCTTTCTCATTGTGGTTTTCCGCCACAGGAGATGACATTATACAGTTATTTCCATCTCTGTTAGGTAGTAGATTATCTGGAAATATGGTTTGGGCCAGACTTCTTATCAAAACATAAGCTGCTGTTTCTGGAGATGAACTTAGTTTGTGATAATGTATATTCATTCCAGCTACTGTAAGAATAAACCTTTCTGAGGGCATATAGAACAGTAAAAACTGATTCCCATTTTATCCTTAACATGTTTAATATCTTGCTAATTTTGAGTGATGATGAAGGAGCTAGAATATCTACTGAATCTAAAATTGTCTTTTAAATATAAGAGCACAACACTATATTAAGTTTGTTTATAATTTTACAAGACTCTTGGAGAGTTAATTTTTATGTAGTAACTTGCATTTTGAAATGTTACAACTGATGAATAAGTTAAAAAACCAAAAGCTATCAGCAAAGCTGGGAAATCATTTGGATTCCAAGCATCAGAATACATTTGAGACTCAACATCAGATTTTTAGATTCTTGAGTAAACTGAAGGAAAGAGGATGGGATGAACAATCCAAAAAGTTGATTCTTAGTAATTAAAATATTTTTCAAGCCATACTATAGGGAACACTGTTTCATTTAGGAAACTCTCCCCTGAATAACAGGCTAGCACATTGCTGTCAGACACAGAATTAGTTCAGGGTTTCCATACTCATAACATTTTACATGTTTTTCTAGATGCTTTAATGAAAATGCTGGCAGAGTTTATTATATACAAACTGAACAATCTGGCCCCTTGTTTTATTTATAAAGGTTCAATGTATCTATGCCTGCCTACTTCATTCTGCAAGGGAGTGTCAGAAAGGCCCCGCATTCGCCGAGCCGTGAGTTATTGCTAACTTTTCAGATGTGTTAATTAATGTGGAACCAGCAATTTGTGTCTTTAAAAACAAAGAAAAAAGAGGAAAATGGTGGGGAAATGCCCCAGTTCCTCAAATATTCAGCAGTAGCAGGCATGACTTTTAAAGGCAACTCTAAATTTTCAATAGCTTAAATCTATTAAATCTAGAGATCTAGCTCCTGAAAACCTATTGTTGAACTACTATGAAGCTGTTCTAGTTTGCTAATTATTAGTCTCCTGATAGACATTGATTTCTGAAATATGCCGTTTAAGTGGAGTGGAGCCCATCTGAAAATGTTACACAATGTTCTGTGTAGGCCAGATAGTTAACATTTGGAATTACACAATGGAGTGATTAGATCAAGCATTTGGAATATAGAGAACACTGTACATACTTCAATTGCCTGTTTCATTTTTATTGGAATTAGATAGTGACTGCATTTGTAATCACAGATATCTATCCTCTGGAATCAGTGAGGCTGGGATAAAGTTACAAATATTGCCTTTTCCCAGTGACTCACCTCTACTTCAGTAATTCACCAGTAGGTTTTCATTTTGCATAATTACAATTTAATAGTCAAGTTCTTTTTTTAAAAAAAAACAAAACCTTGAATAACATGTATTACTGCTGTTGTATCTTTAGACCGAAAAATAGTTTTGCAGCGGCCTCCTTTTTCAGTCTGACGTAGTAATTATCAACTTTTCCTTTTCCTGAAGGGAATTACATCCATGCAATAAATCAGTAGCTAGGTGTTGGGTTTCCTAATGTTTCCAACCTTGTTCACAGATGTGATTGATTAGACTTGCAATTGGACTTCAATGTGTGGTAAGCAGGCTGATGCTTTTGTGTTTATAGTAGTCTCTATTAATGCAGATGCGGTGTGCTCAGCTTATGGAGTTTCAGCTCTTATATACTACTGTTTTTAGGCATTTTTATTCCAGTGTTCCAGGTTTAGAAAAACACTTCACTCTAAAGCACTAATGCCGTGAATGAAATCTTGAAGAAATGGTGGCCGACATTCAGTAAATCCTCAAGACATGTTTTATAGATGCTTGTGAGTCTGTTCATGCTAATGGCAAGTGTGGTCCATATTAATATCAGTAAAATCAATGATATTTGTACATGTTTTCATAAAATAGTATTAACTTTTTTACTTTGTGACATTATTTTATTTTCATGTGATATATGAAATAATTACCACATAATACCCATTATTTAGATTAAAAATCAGATTAGCTCTTCAGATTCTGATTTGTACATTTCTTTTTGTGTGGAATAGAGAAAGGTCATTTGAACAGAAGTAAAGCTATGCTATGTATTTCTCTAATCGGAAATGTATGTTTCTGTGTTACAGGAGATACTACCCGTCAGCGAATCAAATTCAGTGATGACAGAGTGTGCAAAAGTCATCTTCTCAACTGCTGTCCTCATGATGTCCTCTCTGGAACCGTGCGTAAATTATATTATTCTTTGGCAGTGTTTTTCCTTTGCAGCAAAAATGGTCTAAAATGTTGAAAAAAATGTATGATCCAGAAAAATGTCTTGCCTTTGTAGGGGTAGTGTGATCAGACCATGAGTTTCTGATTAAGTTATGTTCACAGTTTTATGAGTTATTATGAGTGTCCGAATTAAAATATTATATGAATGAAGTTCTCTGATTTTTTTGTCAGTTAAAATGGCTGGAGAAGAAATATAGTAGAGAGAATATTTTACACATTCCAGAAAATGTGTACTAAAATCCAGATGGAGATGACATTATGTTCCTTTCTCACCCCGCAGGGGACTCAGGGCGGATTCCAATGTGCATAAACATGGCAAACATTCAGTGCCATAGACACACAACATATACAGATAGACACACAGAGGCCATTTAACATTCCAGCTCCATGAGGGTATTCTGGCCACCAGGGGAGCTGTCGCTTTACCATCCATTTGTGACACCGATTGAGTACTTCCTCATTCTTTGCATGCTTGCTGGAGATTTTTATGGCATTGTAAATTAGTTAAATTAGCCTCCCCACATAAGCGGTACCTAAATTTCCTACTTGACAGATGCAGCTGTCTTTCGGGCTGCAAAGGTCGACAGTGAGCTACACGATGTATTGTCAAAGGCTTTCATGGCTGGAATCACTGGGTTGTTGTAGGTTTTTTCGGGCTATATGGCCATGTTCTAGAGGCATTTTCTCCTGACGTTTCGCCTGCATCTATGGCAAGCATCCTCAGAGGACCTCACAACCTCTGAGGATGCTTGCCTTAGATGCAGGCGAAACATCAGGGGAGAATGCCTCTAGAACATGGCCATATAGCCCGAAAAACCTACAACAACCCAGCTACACAATGGTCAGAAGCTCACTCTGACCCAGGCTGACTTCGAACTCATGACCTTTCGGTCATGAGTGATCTAATGCAGCTGACTCCCAGCCAGCTGCGCCACAGTCCCAGTGCAACTGAACCAGTAAAAGAAAGGCCGGGGGGGGGGGGGGGGGGGGAATAAAAGGAGAAATAGAAACACAGTTTTTTACCCACTACCATACTGGCAATCTCGAGGGATTTGGATTTATTGGAGGATACAACCTCAGAGTTCCTGATTGCAAATATATGATTACCTTACCTGGCATTCAGCACATTATTTTCAACAATTTGTATGTACAATAATTAACTCTGGACTCTGATTGAAAGAAGATGGTCTTTCACTATTTAAATGAGAGGCATTGGTTTTGGTGCTCAAAATGAGGGTGGCATAGTCTATTTTCTAGGATGTTCTTTATTTTCTGGAAAGCAATCCAGGAGCTAAACCTATGTCATACCATAAAATAATGAGTTTCAAATATAACAAAGTTGATATGTAGTTGTGGAGCATGTTAGACAGGAACAAGGTTTTGATAAAAGGTCTCTGGTGCCTAAAGTGCCCCAAAGAGGACCAAAACTATCACAGATTGCCTCCCTGCCCCCCCCCCCACCTCAATACCCTTTAAAGAGTTTTTTTTTAATGGGGAGGTGCACCATGAGGGTAAAGCTGTACAAGGCCCAATGAGGGATAAGTGCAGCCCCCTAGCCCCAAACAGTTGCCCGCTTCTGGTGTTTTGGAATTGTAGAGGATGACGTTCAAAACCTCTGGAATGCCAGTTGTTCTAGAACCCAGATCTGTTCTGAAGGCTACCAGTTCACCAGCTGTCACTTAAACTATTTTGTGCCTTTTGAAATGTTCTTCTTTACAGCAGTTTGACAAGGTTAGTATTCTTAAACAAGATCTCAGAAATCTTCTCCAGATTTTTTAGTTCCACTTGAATCTTTGGGTGAAATAATCTTAATAGTATGCATTGTTGAGCCTTTTCTTTACTTGTATTGTGGGTTCTATTCTGATTTCCATTATCCACATCACAGTTGATTGACTGGAGTTCAAACAAAAAATTTTAAAAGAAAACTAGAAGTCCTTAAGACGTTACAGAAGAAGCTCTTTTGACTCTGGCCTATTTCTGGCTTTTAAAAATATTTTTCCTTTCGTATGGATGGCTAGGATGGTTTTAAATGGTGTATTTTAATATTTTGATAAATGTTTTTAATGTTTATGTATGTATGTATATAATAATTTGTGTCCCAGCATTGAATGCTTGCCGTATATATCCTGTGCTCCGCCCTGAGTCCCCTTCGGGGTGAGAAGGGTGGAATATAAATGTTTTACATAAATAACTAAATAAATTTTCCAGTGAGAAGGAAATCAATTGCATTAGTTCCAGAACCAGCATAGTTCCATCTATCCTTCCCCTTCTAGGGCTGAGTGTGGAAAACGGATAAGCAAATAAAAATGGATCACACGATTAGCAACCTCATAAACCACTGTTACAAACTGATTTTGAATCCATCCCAATGATTTTAATCTATAATCTATATTCCAATATATTCCTTAAAGCATTGAAGTGATGCTTATCACCAAAAACTGATTTGTAAGCCTTTTGGTACTATGTTGGAGAGTGGTCCCTGGTCAAGTGATCCCTGGTCAAAAAGAGGCTGAGAACCACTGCTTTAGCAAAATATGGAAAATGTGATATTGTGGTATTCCTTTACATTCCTCATGGCTATGCTCAATCCAGTTTCATCACATCAACAATTTTTCACAGTAAAGCCTCTTCATTTACCTTTGCATTGGCTTCTGATTGGTACTGCTTTTGCAGCTGCCTCAAGACTAGAAGGAATTTAAAGATTATTAGTTTCTCAAGGATCCACATGCCTCTTGGTCAAACTCCACTGCTCAAAGGTGTGAAGTATTCCAATGAGTGGATTTTTAAATTGCTGCCTGATATGATACCTATCATAGCTGAGGTGTTTGAGCCCATAGGCAAACCCATCTTTAGGGTATACTACACTTTTTAAAAAACAGAAATCAATTTTGCCAAGACGGTACAACTTTGTGAAGGATATTTATTTTGAATCAATGCTGTCACCAACTTTTGTTTCATACTCTTCCTTAGAGAGCATTGATAGCAGTGGAGGGTATATACATTTAGATTTTTATTTTTTTTAAAGGAAAAGTGGCATTTGGTGTGTTTCACAGGAAGTGCAGAAGAAAATATTCAGTGTCGTGTTGTTTCTCACAGCTTATAATTAATAGCATCACTCTCTGAACTCTATAATTCGGACTGTATTCTTCATGAGAACTTGAAAGCAAGGCAGAATTTTGGCAAAAGGAATCTAGGCAATCTACTTGCTACATAGACATCATGCTTTGAAGAAGAGGAAAGCAATTTATGTTTTGGTTTTGAATATGCAAAGGTTATATATTATCTCATGAGAAGTTTCCCTCAAGCACTGTTTATGTATCAGTAGTCATGTTAGGAAATAGCTATCCATTCTAGTTCTTATATTTTGAATATTTCCTGAGAATGAATAAAACATTTCCTTGATATTTTCAGTCAGATGTACCTCTTTATCTGTAATCAGTCATTTACAGAACAGCCCACACATTTTAATGTTTTTACCAATTTCCCAAAAACAGAAAGCTCTGAATAACAGATTAAACTCTGAATGACAAATTAAGGAATGGTTGAGACTAAGAAATCAAGAGTTCACATGTTTTGATATATAACACAGCTTCCCTTAATACCTCTTCCCTTAATATTATTTAAACAGTCCATCTGTCCACCCTTGCCCCCAGTTTGCATTGTTCATGGCATACTAAAAACCATTTTAAATTGCTTTTATTTGTGATATACTTTCTAAACTACAGAGTGTATTTGGAATCATTTTAGTCTGGCTTCAGGCCTGGTTATGGGATAGAGATAGTCTCTATAGGAAGCTAGAGAGGGCTAGTGTTTCTTCTGAACTACTCAATGACTTTCAGTGCCATCTGCCATGATATTATTAGCCACTTCTCTGGGATGAGACTTGGAGAAACTGTTGTATGAGGCTCAGTTCTTTGAAAAGTTTAGAAGAACATGCTAGAAGATACTTATTTGCTCCAGAGGCCATTAGCCTCTGGTATTGTCTGTGTTCCACCTGCTATTTTGCATATAGATGTAATTGGGGAGAGCCACCTGGGCTCAATTCTATCAGTATGCCAAAGGTGCTGAACTCTGCCTAACTTTTTCATCTGTTACAAAGACAATTATTTTGATTCTAAATTAGTGTCTTATACAGAAATGAAGTGGATGACAAAAGACAGAGATCAAAAGACAGAGATACTTTTGATCATTCCAATGGCACATCAGAGAAAAAGAATTCAGCCTGTGCTGGATTGGATTACCCTCCACTTGAAAAGGCTGGCTTATAATTTTGATGTACTTCTGACTCAGCCTTGAACTTTGATGTCCCATTTCAGTAGTGGGCAGGAATGTATTTGCACGACTTTATTCCCCTTGATAGAGAAGACGCATGACTTCTTTACATCTTGTTTGGACTATAGTAATGCCTTATTGCCTCCCAAAAGGGTCAGAGATTCAGCTGCCTGGATTTTAAGGTGTTTTTGATGGGAGGGGGAAACCTTTTTTGTATTCCCACATTCCTTGGAGGGTATGTTTGGTGGGGATGCCAAAGAGGACTTTTCATTATCTATACCAAGCCTCTTGAATTTTCGTAAAGAAATTAATAGATTCTGTGTGTGTGTGGAGTATTAAATATACTGCCAGTGCATCACTGGATGCCTGGAATACACTAGAATTTGTAGACACGCTGTTCTTAAAGTTTGTAGACATTTCAAGAAAACCTGGGTTTGATCACTTGTTCTTAAAAATCTGTCACACTCTAATCATTTCAAATGTGTTGTTTTAAATCATTCACTAATTGTTTGACAGTATTGGAGCAGAATGTGACTATTAGATATATTCACTCGTTTTGTTTTGTTTTGCCTCTCTCTTTCAGAGGATGGACCTTGGAGAATGTCTGAAAGTTCATGATTTGGCATTAAGAGCAGATTATGAAATTGCATCAAAAGAACAAGACTTCTTTTTTGAGCTTGATGTATGTTTTTGTTTGAACTATCCATACTACATAAAGGCTAGGAAAGAAACAGCAGTGAGGCAATCAGACTAGTGCACTGTACATTTTTTTAATCTTAGGTTTTTGAAATTACTACTCTTTTCAGAACTGATCAGTACATGCAGTGTAAATTTATTTTAATACTGGATTTTCCAATCTAGACATTGGTTACAATGGGGTAGATCGTAATATTTCTGTCTTCACACCCGCCATATAATTTCTGTTTTAAAAAGTACATTTTGTGGAAGAATTATTACAAAGGATTCCGCATCTCTACCTTTAGTGAGTCTGAAATACTTAACGCTTTTCTTAAGAGGTTTTCATTCATATGAGATATAATAGACATAATGCTGTGGGAAATGCTGTTACTTGATCATGGATTTATTAGCATCTCATGTATAAAAGTTATGGAGAATCTAACTTTCAGCATTATGTTTCTAATTTAACATGAACACCAAGTCTGTGTTGCTCATTGCTGTAATGATCACCTTATACATTTGACCATAATAGAATTATATGGGGAAACTAAACCACAATTTTTGATCATGAATTTGAAATTTCAAAGAAAGAAAGCTGAGGTGGAAACAGAACAGAATGTGGATTTCACACAAATCAGAATAATATCCCATCCAAGTTTGAAAAATAGCATGGTTGTTGTCTTTTATTACCCCTCCAGCTAGCTGGACTATTATGTATAGTACATACAATAATGGATATGCTTTTTTTAAACTCCTTTTTCCTTCAGTTTAATACAGATGTTTGTGTTAAATACCTAAATGTATATTTGTTAGATTGCCCTTATTTCTGTGTATTCTGAGTGGTCTTCACTTCAAGAAAAAGTAAATAGTGAATTATTTAGATTTTTAAAAAATAAAATAAAAAATAGATCCCTTTTTAATTATCTTAGTATTTAACCAGCAGTCAGTGAATGACATGTGCCATATGAAGATGTGATTATTTCCATTGATTATATTTTTGTTTGATGCCTTAGGCAATGGATCATCTGCAGTCATTCATTGCTGACTGTGACAGAAGAACTGAAGTGGCAAAGAAAAGACTGGCAGAAACACAAGAAGAGATCAGTGCTGAAGTTGCAGCCAAAGTAGGCATTTAAAATCCTCTTCTGAAGGATGTTCCTTGGATAAATTTTGGTTCACCTTTTAAAATATTGATTGGTGATATCTAACTCATTTGTTTAATCATTTTGACAGGCTTCTGCTCCCACTTTGCAAATTAGGGAAGGTAGCATGCTCAATTTTAAGGAGAAAGTGTCTGATTGAGGAGGAATGTGAACCCAAATGTCTGTGAGCTGTGTGCAGTTCATAACATGTATTGATTTTAGTAATTACTTTTTTTTTTCTCTGAACTGCAAAGTTTCTTGAACCATAATGAAAATAAATGCATAGGCTCTAGAGGGAATACATAGAAAAATAGAGGAAAAGCAGTGAGCACAATATGAAAGAGCTAATTTAAAAGCTGTACACAATTACATTTTCCTGCCTTTCAGAAAAATAATTTGAAAGGGGCAGAATGACATAAGTTTATGCATGTAACGTGACCCACCCTGAAATCTGAATCATTTTAGGTTTTAGTCCTGTTCACACTTAACAGTGATTTAGTAGCATTTAATCCGGCAGGACCCATTAACTAAGAAGACTCACGTGGGATTGTACTGACAATTATTAAGGAAATATTACACACAAAGAATGGCCAATTGTCATGCGAGAAAAAACTGCACTGACCTATAACACAATATGTGTGTTTGTGTTTTAAAGAAAGACTAGGCCAGGGCTACTTACACTTTCCCCACTTGCTACCCCTTTCTGGCTGAGAATTTTTTTTTTTGTGATCCCCTGATATATTGGCATATAAAAGAGATGTAAAAATCAAACATTTATTTGGCATTTGGAAGGTTTGATAAACAGGCTGATTTTCCTTTTTATGAAGTGCAGCTGAAGCGTTTTCTGCACAGTCCACAGTAAACACAGCATGCTCTGCTAACAGATTCTTGTCAGTGGGTGGCGTTCAGTTGTACTTGTACTGTTGCCATTTTTTTGTGACCCCAACATTGAGCTAAGAGAACCCCATTTGGGTCCGAGACCTACAGTTTAAGAAGCAGTAGACTAGACAAACACCATTGATCAATTTGAAATAATAGGTTATTATTTTTTAATATAAGTGAAATTATCTGCAAGTTACAACTTGGGAAATGAGATGCTTTTAAACATTTTGTGTATGGAGAGCATATTGAGGGAAGGGGGGCTTCTAATCAGAGATTTTCAGGCATCCTATAATTACACACTTGTTCACCAAAATGGAACTTCTCTACACATTAGGGAGTATTGACATGCATAATTATACCCTATCCCCACCCACATCCTAGAAAAAAGGAGTGGGGAGAGCAGGCAGCTCAGTAACGATTAAGTATTCCCGGAGACCATAGAATGCTGATTGGTTATTGTGGGAAATCCTAGAAAACCTGGAGATAAGGGAGATGGGGTAAGAGGGCATGGAAGACTGGAACGTGAAAAGAGCATTACGCAGATTTGGAACATTTTCTTGCAAACCCCATTTTACTTTAGTTTTACCAGTTACTAATTCTTCACAGGCGGAACGGGTCCATGAATTGAATGAGGAAATTGGGAAGCTGCTTGCCAAAGTAGAACAACTTGGAGCTGATGGAAATGTGGAAGAATCTCAGAAAGTAATGGATGAAGTGGAGAAAGCAAGGGCAAAGAAAAGAGAAGCAGAGGTAAATCCAAGTTTGTATTTTTAGCAATTGGTTTCAGTTGCTCTTTGGAAACTAGGGTTAAAGCAATGGTCCCAAAGGACTTTATTTGTGAAGGATTACTGAGAGTAAAGGCTTGGAATGTGTACTGGGGATTGTAGGTGTAGTTGACCAGATTATTATCAGAAAGGTACATGCTGTTGATATGTCTCTAGCTAATGAAGAACATTTTATACCCAATTAGAATGTGGTATTATATTTGAGATGTACTTTCCAGGAGGTATACAGGAACTCCATGCCTGCTTCCAGCTTCCAGCAGCAGAAACTTCGAGTCTGTGAAGTGTGCTCAGCTTATCTTGGTCTCCATGATAATGACAGGCGACTAGCTGATCATTTCGGAGGAAAATTGCACTTGGGTTTTATTGAAATAAGAGAGAAGCTTGAAGAACTCAGGGTAAGATCATGCCTCTTTTTTCAGGCTATATTCGTGATAATCTTCACAGATCAGTAATATAGATTTATAATAGTTAATATTATATTTAAAATGTAAATGAATATGGTTGGAAATAAGAAATATTATGAACTTACTGCTTCACTGAATTTTGAGTAACTTTCTTTAATTTTGTGTACTTGAGAACTTGATTAAAGTTTATGGTTAGAAAACCCAGTGGTACAGATACAAACTTTTTTCTGAAAATCATGATGTACTACCATTGTAACATGAAGAGAGTATCCAGTTTTGCCGTTCTCACAGTGAAATGGTTCCTCTATATTGTGACTTCATTGTCTTCAATTCATTAAATTCATATTTATTTGCAAAATCTGTTTTATCAATATATTTGTGAGTCTTGTTGAACAGATAAAAATGTCTGCTGGTGGTTATCTTAACCCTTCTTTCACCTTAAATGGAAGAGCATATACTTTCATTTGAGGTTTCTTGGGCTGTTAGTTATGTAATCAAGTGAAATTTGATCTGTGTATGTTGAACACTTACCAGACCAGATCAAACTTTAATTTTTTGATTATCCTTTGATATTACTTCAGAGTTAGCTACATGTTGTTGTTGTTCATTCGTTCAGTCGTCTCCGACTCTTCGTGACCTCATGGACCAGCCCACGCCAGAGCTCCCTGTCGGCCGTTACCACCCCCAGCTCCCTCAAGGTCAGTCCAGTCACTTCAAGGATGCCATCCATCCATCTTGCCCTTGGTCGGCCCCTCTTCCTTTTGCCTTCCACTTTCCCCAGCATAATTGTCTTCTCTAGGCTTTCCTGTCTCCTCATGATGTGGCCAAAGTACTTCAACTTTGTCTCTAGTAGTTAGCTACATGCGTACCTCTTTTTCCTCTGTAGTAGTGACATTGCTGTAAGGTTACATGGTCTTGAATCCTGGGGAATGTATCCCATGCCAGAGGGAGGGCTGGGACTCAGGCACGTATGGACATGCATTCTTACATACATCCACATGTGCTTTTCAAACCTCTACCTTGCTTCCATTGTATTCTAATAGTTATTTCAGTTGTACTTACAAATGTATGCCCCTGCACTGTATTCCTGCTGCAGTTAAGCAGTTTACTTTTATGTTTACAGTTCATTTTGTTTGCTATATTTAAAGTTTCTTCTATATAAATCCCTTTTTGTATTAAGAAATTGTCCTTCATTTCACCTTCAGGCCCCTTATTTGTAACAGACGTACTTCTAAACAGCTGTCATTTCTCACTCCATCCTCACATCTTTGTCATAGTAAGTTCAAATGGAGAGCTCCTCTCCAAATTAAAATGTGTGCCTCTCTTTGCTTCCTGGTGGCTGCTGGAACAGCAATTCTGGAAGTATTGATGAGAGCAAGCAACCATATTTATCTATATATTTATTTACTATATTTATATCCCGCCCTTCTTACCCTAGCAGGAGGACTCGGAGCAGCTCACAAAAGGCAGCAATTTGATGCCGTACATATACATAAATATAATAAAAATAAGCATATGCATTAAAACTCAAAAAAACAAAAACAAAAAAAACGCACTACAACAATTATTAAAATCATGTTATCCAGAATCAAATCCAAGGCCATTCCATTAGTCATTTCACAATTCTGTATACTCATATCGCACTAACTTGTGAGCCAAAAGCTTGGTCCCATAACCAGGTTTTAACTTTCTTCCTGAAGGTCAGGAGGGAGGGGGCTGCCCTAATTTTGCTGGGGAGGGAGTTCTATAGCTGAGGGCCACCACTGAGAAGGCCCTGTCTCTCAGAGTGTCCTGACAGCACCTGCTATATCACCTTGTTTGCGACAGTGTGGCAGCTTCTCTCAGGGCTCTGTGCCTCTTAGAGCAGCCTTCTTGAACTTGTACAGTGGAACAGAAGAGAAAGGCTCATGGTGATCTACGTGGGCAGTGCAGCAAAATATATGCCAATCAGGGACAGTAGGACATGCTTGAATGTAGTACTGTTGAATTATTTATAGAGTATCAGCATTCCTAGTGATGTAGGTGCTAACCTTTTTTGTGTTTTTTGGTCACTGGCAGTACCTGTACTGCAAGTTTTTCAACAGCAAGGACTTTCATTGTAGCAGCTGGGCAGTGTGCTGAGGCTGTCTTCATATTCTGTATCTGTTTCATATGGTGTGGACATTATATGAACATTTTTCATATAACAATCCATTAGGGCATCTCTCTAAATAATTTTGCATATTAACACCACTTTTGGAACTGGAGTAAATATTTTCAGTATTGCATCTTACTTGGTAAATTGTATGGCTTGTTTTTTAGCAGATGGGGAGTAATTGATCTAAATAGTATTCGTAGATACTTATTTCTGATAGTATGCTTCCTTTGGATTTTTTAAAACATTAAAAAATTACTGTATCTTTTAGAGAATTGTGGCTGATAAGCAAGAAAAACGAAATCAGGAACGTCTAAAACGAAGAGAAGAAAGGGAGAGAGAAGAAAGAGAGAAGTTAAGAAGGTAGGAAAATTACTTTACTGGGCCAGAACATATTCGCACTTCAAGCCACTTCTGTAAAATTTCTGAATATTTAAAAAATGGTGTCACAAATTCAAGACTGGTATCTAAAATAATAAATTATGAAAATTGTATGGAGGAAGATAAATTGTATGCAAATTAAATGTGTGTGCAATGATTTCAACATAATTTTTATGCTTTTTATTTAGTGTATAGCTATAGTTTTTTGTTTTCATTAGCAGTGAAAAATAGAATAGATAGCATGCAAGGTCTTTTTTGATGCATTATCTTTAGATTTGATCTGTATTGTGTTGTTTGCAATTAACTGCATATTTAGATGCAAAATACTTAAACAAGTTTACTCCCAAATAATATATTATGTAAACTGATTTTCCAACATCTTGGTTTATTCTTGCTTTTAGATCTCGATCCCATAGCAAGAATCCAAAAAGGTAGGAATCATATTTTTGTGGAATTTTTTATAAGTTTCAGTCAGACAAATGCTGAACAAAGAGAACTGTTTTGATCCATAATGAATACAGGGTTGATTCCTGAAATGGGGTAAAGCTTCCATTGCTAATTCTTGCAGAGATTTTTATAATCTCATAGTACGAGGTAAAGGTCCTGTGGTCCCCCAGGTGTTGACCCCAGGTGTCCCAAGAACAGTTGGAATTATGGGAGTTGGAATTAGGTAACATGTATGGCAACATAGAGAGAAACCCTGGGGGAGCACAGCTGTACCTGATGCATGTGTTTCCCTCAAGTCACTCAGGTTCTTCCTCTGAAATATAGCCTATAGCAGGGGTCCACAAACTTTTTAAACAGAGGGCCAGATCACAGTCCCTCAAACTGTTAGAGGGTCAGATTATAATTTGAAAAAAACATGAATTCCTATGCACATTGCACATATCTTATTTGTAGTGCAAATAACACTTTAAAACAATACAATAATTAAAATGAAGAACAATTTTAATAAATATAAGCTTATTAGTATTTCAGTGGGAAGTGTGGGCCTGCTTTTGGCTGATGAAATAGGATTGTTGTTGTGTGCTTTCAAGTCGTTTCAGACTTAGGCTGACCCTGAGTGATGGCCGGGTAGATGACCTTGGAGGGCCTTAGTTTGAGGACCCCTGGCCTATAGCATCTAGTATTCATGACAGTTTCCCTTCCAAGGACTAAGCAGGATTGACCCTTCTTAGCTTCCAGAATTGGGGAATCTGGTGTCCTTATAGTATTTAGGCCACTGTCTTATATATGCCTTGTATATATCTCAGCATTAATTCCAGCGTGTCCAGGGATTTCCACTTTTCTGCAACATATTAAGTAATTCTGAGATTAATTGATAGATCTTTTAGTTGGGAAAAGGCATGATATGTTTGCTATAGAAATGAAGCCTTATGAGCCCTCTTCTGACTTCAAGGCTCAATGTGACTTTGGGTCACATTGTTACTGAACAATGTCAGACTTAAGAATGCTTGGATTGGTTGTTTCCAGTTCAGTGAGATAGATAGATAGATATTACTTAAGTTTTGGGGACTTTTACCCAAAGCCACAAAAATGACAAATGTATATGTCCTGGCATTAATACAGACTATCGTTGTCACTTTGTAAGGGGCATATAGGACAAGAAGGAATTGCTCTTTACTTTTCTTAATAGCTGCTAAGATTTTTAGGTTTCCACTTGCAAGGAGTTTTTAGATATCTTAGTGCATTCAATTAAGTGTCAGATGAAAATATTGGAAGGGTTGATTTCACCCACTGTACACCTCCTTTCAGGTCTAGATCCCGAGATCGCCGCAGGCATCGATCTCGCTCCTCCTCACGCGAACGTAAGAAAAGGACTCGCTCCAGGTCCCGCGAGAAACGCCACCGCCATCGGTCACGCTCCACCAGCCGCAGCAGGAGCCGCAGCCACCAGAGGAGCAGGCATAGCTCCAGGGATAGGAGCAAAGAACGCAGTGCTAAAAAGAGGTAAATTGGGGGTTCGCAAAATCAGTGCTTAGTACATAAGACATCTTTGATATTGCTTGCTTGATGGAGAAAAAGATGGCTCGTGTCAGTCAATTCTCATTTGACATTAAAGAGTATGTTGTCAGAGGAGATACAAATCTTTTGATGCAGCACATTTAAGATGATCTAACCCACAACTTGAATTATTTCTTGCTCATGTCCTGGTCATCAGTTGCTGTTAGTACTGTACCTTTTTACAGGCCTTCTATGTTTCACCTCTTTTACTCTGTCAAATTCATTTACTAATTTCTAATTTCTCAGATGATGTGTTCTGCTTATTTCTCTAGCCCACGAAGTATCCATCTCATTTCTTTTTTTTACTTTCAAAAGCAGATCAGAGATGTACCTTACTCTAAATACAACCTATATAGGAATCCCTTAGGCTCCCAGCGGGTTAAACCACTGAGATTCTGAACTTGCTGACCGGTTTGAATCCAGAGAGCAGGGTGAGCTCATGCTGTTAGCCCCAGCTTCTGCCAACCTAGCAGTTTGAAAACATGCAAATATGGGAAGGTAACAGCCCTCCATGCAGTCATCCTGTCCACATGACCTTGGAGGTGTCTACGGATCACACTTGCTCTTTGGCTTAGAAATGGAAATGAACACCACCACCTAGAGTTGGATACAACTAGACTTAATGTCAGGGGAAACCTTTATTTTACTAGGGAATCCCAGGCCCTGTCTGGCCATTGTGAGAATCCCACTAGGGCTACACTCCCTTCCCCATGACATTGCTGCTTTTTTAGGGTGTTTCTCTGTTTTGAAGGGTAGAAATGCTTTCTCCGAGTCTTGAGGTACTAGTTGTAAATACTTTATGCTTTGAGGCTGTCATTTTTATTCCATTCTCCTACCTTTAAAAAAAGTGTAAGTGGCCTATTTCTCCAGTGTCTGCTGCATTCAGGGTTATTTATTTGTAATACCCATGCCATTCTAGTTCTATGGTTTAATTGATCTAGTGCACTGATAGGATTCTAGCCAAATAAAGCTTTTCCCTTCATTTTCTTTTACTGTTCCAACGTATGTCTCCCTGCATGGGCTTCACGTATTTACCCATGCTCGGAATTCCTTATCAAAACAATCCATTTTTATTTAACTCATTTTCTCTATTATTAGCATTTGGATTTTAATGTACAAAACCAGTATGCCAAGTCAAGGGTCATTTTTACACCAGGGGTTCTCAAATGTTTTCAGCCACAGATCGCTTTTTTTTTCTTGTGGAGCCCACATAAATGTTTATATGTTATATTATATATAATGTACATATATCAGGCATGGGCAAAATTTTGGCCAACATAAATTTAACAGTATTTCAGTGGACGACTCCAGGAGCCATCCAGTCCAACCCCCTCTACAATGCAGGAGAAGCACAATCAAAGCATCCCCAACAGATGGCCACCCAGCCTTTGTAGTAGTAGTAGTAGTAGTAGTAATAATAATAATAATAATAATAGGAGCCACACTTTGAGAACCGCTGGTTTACGTTATAACAGCGCAAGATTTAAAAAAGAATGGAATATTGTGATTCTGTCCGATTTATAACTGTTGAAATATCACGTAGATTAGTGGCACAATACTTTTTAATTGTATGCAGGGAACTTTTTTGCTTCTGTAAAGGTACACTATCAAGGTATTATGTGGTGAAATATGGTAATTCAGGTATACTGATGTTTAAATGTATGCTTCTTTGGTTCTTATTCTGAAAATGGTGTGTTATCTGTTTGTATTGCCACATGATCAGGGAGCCTCGTCTCTAGAATTAATGAGTCAACCATTAAATGAAGTTAAATAGCATACCTCTGTGATCATTTTAGGTCCTCAAAAGAAAGGTCTTCCAGAGATCAAGAACGACCAAGAGACCATAACAGAACATCACGTGACAAAGAACGGAGCCCCAGAGAAAAGTCGCCCAGAGACCGAGACTGCAAAGATCGGAAGCGTCCCTACGAAAGCGCCAACGGCCGGTCAGAAGACAGAAAAAGCTCGGAGGAGCGTGAAGCGGGGGAGATATAACTGGCTGTACATTCACTTGATTCTTTAGCTTCCTATGGAGTTGCATACTGTGGTTTAGTTTACAATTATTCAAAGGGACACCAGTGAGCAGTTCCACACACTGATCCAACTCTAGGGTAGATGATGTACAGTGTATAAAAATGGTTATAATGAAGTCTGCATTGACCCCTTTGATTGAAGACAACTAAAAGCAGTGTTCTTCTGTTTCCTCCCCTCCAACAAACTTGTAAAACATATTTTCAAAGATTTCACACAAACAAAAAGAAAAACAATTTTATGTACTAAGATGTAGATCTCAGTGTTTTATTCTCCTTTTTCAATACAAGTTATAGTGAACAAACTATATTGTGCTCTTTTTGCCTTGAATGCTTTCAAACCTTTATAAGCTCCTCTGATTTTGCTCCTGTCCTCTCAGCAGCAGCAGCACCGAGTGGTTTTTAAGAGGGAGGGGGGCCCACGCTTTTATTATCCCTGTAAGATTGTGTTCTCCGTTGCTTCTTGAGAGCCTCAGATATTTGGCAGTATGTTTAGGTTCGGGACATGTGCTGAAGAATACGGAAACATGTTTTTTTTTAACAGTGCCTCTTTAGATTTGGAAATTGAACAGCTATTGCATTTCATCCTTTTTTAATTTCTATTGAAACTTTGAAATCAAAGCCAGTCCCATATCTTTTGTACCATTTGATTGGTATGTGTTCAGTATACTTGTTTTTTTTCCATAAGACTTTTCCTGCTTTTTCTTGTGGGGTGTAAACTGCACATCCTTAACTGTACAACAACAACCAATAATAATAAAGATAAAAATTAACCATTTTGTCCAGTGAAATAGCCGTGTGTTCCCCATGCCTTCCTCAGAACTAAACTCATCTTGTTTTAATATCCATGCTTTCTGCCGCATTAGTTGTGTCTGGCAGTAATTTATATATTTTATATATATATATATATATATATATATATATATATATATATATATATATATATATAGGGAAGTAATGTGTTAAGTGCACATATATACCAAATAGACCCCCTTTATGAAACACAAGACTAGGCTATCTAGTGGGTGGGATGCTGTGTTCTCAAATAATATGCTGTGTCCAGGTTGGTTTATCAAGTGCTCTGCTATGGCTGACTTCACTGATTGAATTAGTCTGCAGTGTCTTTCATGTTCCTTGATTTGTGTTGTTAGGCCCTTTGTCTTTACTCTTGTGGCTTGTTCTTGGTTTTGCAGCCCTTCTGATGTCCAGAAATGCTGGACCACTCTTAACCAGCATGTCAGATTACACAGAGAAGCCACTGAAATCCAAAAGCATATGGAAAATTTCAACAGAAAGGAAAAAACCATGAAAATGAACAAAATCTGGCTACCAGTGTTTAAAAACTCAAGAATCAGGCGAGTAAATAAAGAGCAACACTCAAAACCAGGGGAATTCCAGACAGGAAACAATGAGGGCTAGCTAACACCTCCCAACAAAGGATTCCCCCAGGCAGGAAGCAGCCAGGCTTTGAAACTGCAAGGCTATTCAGTACTAATCAAGGTAGCCAATTACAACATTCTCGCTTGCCTCAAACAGACAAGTGTACTTTCGCTCACCGTGGACATTCCACAGATAAATAAACCCCACTTACCTAGTTTTCAACAGACCTCACAACCTCTAAGAATGCCTGCCATAGATGTGGGTGAAACATCAGGAGAGAATGCTTCTGGAACATGGCCATACAGCCCGGAAAACTCATAGCAACCCAAAGTTAATAATAATGTCTAGTTCCTGAGGGTAATACACATTGCCTTAGTTTTTGTTCACTCAGGCAGATTTAGCTTTAGTATCTTAAGACTCAGATTGATTTGCAGTTAAAACAAGCCAGTTCTGTGAAGTTTATTGTACATGAAAGATATTGGCATCCGTAGTATTCGTATACATTAGCATCCTTCACATTCTCTTTACGAATATATAGCGTCTGAATCGGAATTGGGACTGGACTGCCCTGAGATTCTTTGGAATAGAATTTTAACTCAGTAACTTGTGCAGTTGAGACAATGCTTTTCCTTAGGGCCAAGCGAGTGCTTCACATCCCTTAGTTCAGCAGCAGCGAGACCCAGTAAAAAGCCATTGGTACTTGGATATTTTGTGTTTCATTCAAATTTTAAAAAATAGACAAATAGGGTGCATTGTTGAATAATGAGTTGCGAGTATCCCATCCATAATGTGCTCTGATACACACGCAGAGAGATCTCAAAGCATACAGCACATATTCTCACTACTAAAGTGTAAGGCACTGTCCTGATAATTGAGTTTTTAATACCGATAGCTAGATTCAAAATTCAAGAATACACACAAACATGCAGGTTGCCCCAAGTTAAAAACAAGATAGGGTCTGTAGGTTTTTTTTCTTAAGTTGAATTTGTTTGGAAGTCAGAACAGGTACGTTTTTTCAGTGTAGCTCCAGCCAAAGAAATATATTAGTTTTAGAGAACAGAGGGGAAGGTTAACACCCCTGTGGTGTTTGTTTTGCAGTCGTAATGTAAAATAAACCATGTGTAGTTCACGTTTGGTTAGCCCACACACTGCCTTGCCAGAGAAAGAAAATATGCCACACAGGTGAACAGTAAATAGTTTACTCTTCATAGTTCAGAACAACATATTTACAATGTGATCAGTTGCATCAACTCACATCATGTCCTTTGATGAGAGATTTGAAATAGTCTTTCTTTGTCCAAGTTGAATAAACTTCAGCAGCTCATGAAGCAAGAGCACACTCCAAACTCTCTCTCTCTTCTAAGCACTTACATAGCCCCAGCCTGAACAAAAATGTAACAGTAACCAAAAGACCCAGGCTTGGCCAATCTGCTTCATGCATCTTATTTTACAGTGACACACACAGAAAGATTCCTTGCTTGCTCCAACAGATTTCAGCTCACTTTCTGTCCCTGCGATAATTGGATTTCAAAAAATGTGGCTTGTTGTGGAAACAAGGATTGGTGCTAAAGCTTCAGTGGAGACAACTTTTCTCCATAATAATTCTTTCAGGAGTGAATTTCCCTTCAGAGGGCAGATTTCTCACACCTAGTAATACAGAGCAACAACTCAGGATTTGTTTGTTTTTGTTACTGTGTCAGGAGCTACTTGAGAAACTGCAAGTCACTTCTGTTGTGAGAGAATTGGCCGTCTGCAAGGACATTGCCCAGGGAACACACAGATGTTTTACCATCCTTGTGGGAGGCTTCTCTCATGTCCCCATATGGGGAACTGGAGTTGACAGAGGGAGCTCATCCACACTCTCCCTGGATTCAAACCTGCTACCTATCGATGTTCAGTCCTGCAGGCACAAAGGTTTAACCCATTGCACCACTGGGGGCTCCAACACTTACTATTTACTTACTTAGGTGATCCCTCGTAGCTTGAGGATGATTGTCTTCCAGATGTGTCTTGGCGGTGGTTCTGTAGGTGGCTGTGGAGCCCTATTCTTAATGTGCATGTTCTCCCGCAGTGAGGACATCGGTTTCCAGACGGAAGGCAGTCCTGGTCAGGGTTGGCTTGACGTGCCTTCCTCTTGGCATGTTTCTCCCTTTCACCCTCAATTCATCCCTTTTCAAATTCTACAGCACTGCTGGTCACAGCTGACCTCCAGTTAGAGCGCTCAAGGGCTTCCCGGTGTCTATGCCACAGCTTTTGAGGTTGGCTTTAAGCCCATCTTTAAATCCCTTTTCTTGCCCACCAACATTCCGTTTCCCATTCTTGAGTTCAGAGTAGACGGTGGGAGACGGTGATCGGGCATTTGGACAATGTGGCCTGTCCAGCAGAGTTGACGGCGGAGGAGCATTGCTTCAATGCTGGTGGTCTTTGCTTCTTCCAGCAGCCTGACATTTGTCCACCTGTCTTCCCAAGAGATTTGCAGGGTGGGTTGTTTTTTTTTTGGGCTATATGGCCATGTTTTAGAGCAGTGGTTCTCAACCTGTGGGTCCCCAAATGTTTTGGCCTTCAATTCCCAGAAATTCTAACAGCTGGTAAACTGGCTGGGATTTCTGGGAGCTGTAGGCCGAAACACCTGGGGACCCACAGGTTGAGAACCACCGTTCTAGAGGCATTCTCTCCTGACGTTTTGCCTGCATCTATGGCAAGCATCTTCAGAGGTTATGAGGACCTCACAACCTCTGAGGATGCTTGCCATAGATGCAGGCGAAACGTCAGGAGAGAATGCCTCTAGAACATGGCCATATTAGGCTGAAAAACCTGCAACAACCAAGTGTATTTATAAATATGTGAGAGGAAGCCACAGGGAGGAGGAAGCAAGCTTGTTTTCTGCTTCCTTGGAGACTAGGACGCAATGGAACAATGGCTTCAAACTACAAGAGAGGAGATTCCATCTGAACATGAGGAAGAACTTCCTGACTGTGAGAGCTGTTCAGCAGTGGAACTCTCTGCCCTGGAGTGTGGTGGAGGCTCCTTCTTTGTAGGCTTTTAAACAGGCTGGATGGCCATCTGTCAGGGGTGATTTGAATGCAGTATTCCTGTTTCTTGGCAGGGGGTTGGACTGGATGGCCCATGAGGTCTCTTTGATTCTATGATTCTAAGTGATTCCAGCCATGAAAGCCTTCGACAATACGATTTGTAGGATTTTTTTAGAGGCAGTGCTGATGGAATCGTTCCAGGAGTTGCATATGACGTCTGTAGACCACGTTTCACAGTCGTATAGAAGGGTTGGGAGAACAATGGCTTTATACTCAGTTCTTGTGGGTTTTTTCAGGCTATATGGCCATGTTCTAGAGGCATTTCTCCTGACGTTTCGCCTGCATCTATGGCAAGCATCCTCAGAGGTGAGGTCTCTCACCTCTGAGGACGCTTGCCATAGATGCAGGCGAAACGCCAGGAGAAATGCCTCTAAAACATGGCCATATAGCCCGAAAAAACCCACAAGAACTGAGTGATTCCAGCCATGAAAGCCTTTGACAATACAATGGGTTTATAATCAAGCACCTTGGTCTCCCTACGGATGTCCCGGCCCTCATTCCAACAACTCAGGTATAGGAACTAGTCTCTCCATTCTCAGCTTCCAGTGTAATCCCTACTGCAGATAATTGAGCAACTAGATCCACAAGAGGCTTGAAATAGTGCCTATTTGATTCCCAAAGAATATGGCAGATCACCCATCACAGGAACGCCTCCTAATCTGTTACTCTGGGTTGTAGGTTTTTCGGGCTATATATATGTCCTTGCTTTAGAAGCATTCCCTCCTGATGTTTCGCCTGAAGCTGTGTCAACCACCCAAGCCACCCCCAGGGTCCAAGGAGATCATTCACAACCTCCTTCCAGGGCAACTCTTTCTTCCTTGCAACCAGGGCAGAGGGGGGGGTCGGGCAGATCATGGCACCCGAGCATCCCGCTAAGTAGGCGGGTCACTCTGGGGACGACCTGTACCCGCTCAAAAATTCCTCTCACATTTGCAGTGAGGACCCGGGCGTCACCCCGGATCGTTATTTTCCTTACTCATAAGTTTAAGGCATGAAGCGTCTCCTCCAAAGCAGGGAAGGGACTTCTTCGCCACTACGTTTTAGGTTAGAACGAATCCACCGTTTGGTTCTTACAAAACAGTCGATTTTTTAAAAATACGAGCGTTTGTTTTCTTACTCGGGCTTTGTTATGTTAATAAACAAGCCAAATAGAGCGGAGAGATACGGAAAACACCATATACTCTCCCTCTGGCGTGATATGCAAATATAATATCTGCCGCGAAGGTTCATGGGGACTAGCTACCCACTAAGGCGGGGGGATGAGAGAGAGAGAGAAAGTGTCGCGCGAGACCGGAAGTAGTTCGCTCTCACATCCGGGCTTCGGTCGCAGCGACTTATCTCCGGGCCTAGCGACAACATGGCGGACCTATCTTTGGATGAGCTGATACGGAAACGCAACGTTAACGTCAACATGAAAGGAAGGTAAGCCGTGGGATGTAAGACGCGGCCCCGTTCTCCACCGAGGAGCCACGCCAGCCCTTCCCGCCCAGTTGGCGGCCAAACGGAGCCTAGCTTCGGGAGCTCCTGGCCCTGGGTTCCCTTCCGGGCTCTGATTGGCCCAGCGCCTTGTCAATCCTCACCCATTGGGGTGTTTTGCTCTATGGAGCCGTCCCGAGGGGGCGGGAATAGGAGGTTGGGAGTGTGGAAGGAGCAGGGGCTGCCTCTGCCTGGCTCCAGGTTGGGGAACTCCTCAGATATCCAAACCTGCCCCTGAATAATCATAATCCAGACCCATTGAGCTTTCTTCAGGGGCAAGGGCAGGTCTCACCCGCCCATTCAGGGCCCAGCCATGGGCTTCTCCTGTGCTCCCATCTCCTCCTCATCTTCCAATATTGTTGGCCCTCCACACCCATGGATCCTGCATTTACGGGTTCCACTCTCCGTGGCAGGAAAATGAATACCCTCTCCAAAAATATTAATTCATTAATCTTCCCACTTTTATATGCTATTTTGTTAAGCCATTGTATATAGCAGGCATGGGCCAACTTGGGGCCTCCAGGTGTTTTGGACTGCGACTCCCACCATTCCTAACAGCCTCAGGCCCTTTCCTTTTCCCCCTCAGCCGCTTAAGCGGCTGAGGGGGAAAAGGAAAGGGCCTGAGGCTGTTAGGAATGGTGGGAGTTGAAGTCCAAAACACCTGGAGGCCCCAAGTTGGCCCATGCCTGCTATATGCTAAGGCTCACGCATCCATAGACATTTTGGTATTAATGGAAGACCTAGAACCAAGTGCCATTGGAAGCCAAGGGCCATTGTATTGATTTCCACTGTTTGTCCCAATCATAGAGTTGGAAGAGACCTTGTGGGCCATCCAGTCCAGCCCCCCTGCCAAAAAGCAGGAAAATTACATTCAAAGTACCCCTGACAGATGGCCATCCAGCCTCTGCTTGTTGTTTATTCGTTCAGTTGCTTCCAACTCTATGTGACCTCATGGACCAGCCCACTCCAGAGCTCTCTGTCGGCCATCACCACCCCCAGCTCCTTGAGAGTCAAGACAGTCACTTCAAGGATACAATCCATCCATCTTGCCCTTGGTTGGCCCCTCTTCCTTTTTCCTTCCATTTTCCCCAGCATAGTTGTCTTCTCTAAGCTGTCCTGTCTTCTCATGATGTGGTCAAAGTACTTCATCTTTGCTTCTAATGTCCTTCCCTCCAATGAACAGTCGGGCTTTATTTCCTGAAATATGGACTGGTTGGATCCAAAAGCACTCTCAGAATTTTCCTCCCAACACCACAGCCTCTGCTTAAAAGCCTACAAAGAAGGAACCTCCACCACACCACTGCTGAACGGCTCTCACAGTCAGGAAGTTCTTCCTAATGTTCAGGTGGAATCTCCTTTCCTGTAGTTTGAAGCCGTTGTTCTGCGTGCTAGTCTCCAGGGCAGCAGAAAACAGGCTTGCTCCCTCCTCCCTATGACTTCCCCTCACATATTTATACATGGCCATCATCTTTCCTCTCAGCCTTCCTTTTTGGTATGAAAGTGGCCTCCAAAAGATCTTGCCATTCCCAGAGATGTTATCCTACACATCTTTGCAATATATGGAAAATGCCAGATCTGTCAGATGCAATGTTTGAACTGTAATAGGCCTCCAGCATTGGACCTGACTATTGCCTAAATGAATTGATACCAGATGGGATTTTAATCTATTGAATGTTTAATTGTGTTTTTTGTTAGTCGCTAATTATGTTGATGTCGGTTTTTATAATTTATTATTAGATATGACTATGTTTATGATGGTACTGTCTACTTTTATTGTATGTGTGTTTTGGCTTTTTATATGATATTCACCACTTTGAGTCCCAAGCTGGGAGAAAAGCAGGACAGAAATAAATTAATAATAATAATAATAATAATAATAATAATAATAATAATGACATGGTGTAGTTCCCTCCCTTTAAATACCACAGACCAGTGAATCCCAACCTTTTTTTTAACCAGGGACCATTCCCCCACATTTTTACCAAAAGGGACTGGTTAGCTCTGCAGAAAGAAGCAGAGATAAAATAAATAAAATAAAGAGGAAGGAGGTTCGCGAACCGGATTTTTGTTCTTGTGGCCCACTGCTGGTCCATGGCCCACAACCCACAGGTTGAGAACCACTGCCATAGACTCTCAGTTAACAGGCACCCATGGAGATTGGTAGATGCCAGATCAGTATAGTTTCTGGTTGTTGGAGTACTACTGTTCAAATAGACTTCATTAATATTATACACCATATTATACCATGGCATACACTCTGTATTGACTTGATATGAATATTGAAAAACAATAAGGAAAAGCAAACATAATTTTAACACTAATTTACTGTATTATAAAAACAGGATTTAAAATATTTAAAGTATTTAAATTTTGGATTTTTTTGACAGTTGCTTAAGCATTCCAGTTGTGTTCCGGTTAACTGAGAGCATACTGTTATTGCTGCCTGAAGAGACTTCTGCAGTTGGTTGTGCAGATGAGCGAGCCCTACTTCTTCCATTTGTCCATCATTCACAATTCTTCATTATTTCCAGAATTTTCCTGAAATTGTACCCTCACTAATCTACTTCCCCCATGGACACTTTAATTTTGAGTATCCTGTTCTCCTATAATCCTGGCGTGACATATGGTCAGTTATTTAACTATGTTGCCAGGCGAATTATTGTTATTTGGGTATCCTAATAAGATCAGATTGAGAAAGGATGTTCTTAATATTGGAAGCATTCCACCAGGATGTATGTCCAGTTTTCTTAAGCACTTCCTTCTAAGATTTAATGAAATATGAGCCTGAGCAAATACTATTCTGTACAAGCGAGCTATTAGATGCCTTACCTTCACCAACGTTATGCAATTGCTCTGAAAGCTTATTTCAGTAATATCCCAGCAGTGCATTTCATGACAAAACATTAAGATAACAATCAATCTTTGACTTACTTCTTGTGCAGACTAGAGCACCCAATGCCATATCTTTGCCCAGTGCCAGAATTACTGTTTTATGGTTTGACTCAAAACAGAAGCAACAAAATTCCTATGTAGAAGCAACAGATGTCTGTACTTCTCAATGAATGTGCTCATCCTGTAAAGAGCCATCTCAGACAAAAGGATTTCTGCACCATCCAAAAAAGCATATCTACACACAAAAGGGGCACCTTGTTCATGAAGATGTGCCTACCTGAATTCTGGCCCATGCGTGTCATAAAACTCTCTTGGTCAAGTTCCCCAGCAACTGGCATTACATACTTTCTGGTACAGAGGTAACACAGTACCACATGACTGGTAGCCTGCAATGTGCCTATTCACCATAGTCTCATCCAATGTACTGTAAAGCTGTCTGATTTTGTGGGTATCACTACATTTTTGGCAATGAATTCTATAATTCTATAACCATGCGCAGTGTGAACAGGTAGTTCTGTTCAAATTCTCCTATTTAGTTCCATTTGATGGCCATGTTTTCTAAGGAAGAAATAAAAAAATTTCACATCAAGCTTTATTTTATATGCTTCTATGATGTCTCCTTTTCTGATATAAAGAAATTTTACTTCAGCCATGTTTTATCATTTTTGTCTGCCTACTTTACACCCTAAGAAAAGTTTGCTAGACATATGTATTTATGTGAGGACTTAAGGGTCCAGCCTATCTTTGAAACTGCATCTCCTCCTGTGAACCGGCGTAGGCTCTGAGATCTGCTGTGGAGGCCCTTCTCTTGGTCCCACCATCGTCTCAAGTACAGTTGGTGGGGACGAGAGAGAAGGTCTGTAATGCCCTCCCTAGAGAGATTAGGTTAGCCCCCATTCTCCAAACCTTTCGATCTAGATGGGCCTTTCACCTTGAATAGTCTACAGTGGTTGCATGTGAAGACTGATTGTTCACTCCTGCACTTTACCCATAGGATTATTGCATTTTATAAATTTTACAATTTATCATGTTATGTTATGTTTGATGTCTTGCGGTTGTAATTTTATGTTGTTATTGTTTTAATACTTATGTATTGTTTATTTTATGTGCAGCACTCTGGAATGCTTTTGTGAGCCACCCCAAGTCTCTTCGGGGAGATGATGGTGGGGTATAAATAAAATTTATTATTCTTATTTATTATGAAGTGCCCATTATATCTCTGGAATTTTATGTCACATTTTTGAGTTGACCAGCTTCCTTTTATTTTAATACATGACACAGTTTTCATAGACAAAGATGTAACATAGAAATTTTTATTTTGAATTTTGGAAGTCAGGAGAGGCAAACTGTGCTAACAATTGCTTTTGTCCCAGGTTTCCTTGATTACTTTCAATTTATCCCTTTTCTTTTATCAACTCTGGCTTTCTTGTGGCAGGGCTTTAACATTCCTACATCATTGTCCTAGTATCCTAGAGCTGTGCTACTTAATTGTTTTTAACTCGTTGAAATGTTGTGGATAATACTTGCTCTTTCTGCTCCAGACTGAACACCAGGCCAATTTTTGGAGGCATCAGATCTCGAATTGGAGTCCAACAAACTTTTCTAAGCAGACCAGCACCAAGTGTTGGTTTCCAACGGACATTTGATGCACGTCAAAAGATTGGCCTTACAGATGCCCGACATAAGATTGGGGTGAAAGATGCCAGAGAAAAACTGCTCCAGAAGGATGCAAGGTTCAAAATCAAAGGGAAAGTGCAGGATGCTCGGGAGATGCTGAATTCCCGGAAGCAGCAAAGCGTTGAGAACGTGCCCAAAGTTGTTGATGCCAGAGAGAAGATTAGTTTGAAAAGGAGCACTCCAACTATAGCTACTATGAACACTCTTGTGGAAACAGTGACCCCTGCCATGAAGATCACAAAAACAATCCAAGTAGGTTATGTTGGTTAACACCTTTTTGTTTTTGTTTTATTGTTTTTTAGCTTCCTGATACTAGCACTTTGTGGTAGGAGCTGCTAGAAGGATCCCTTTATTGTTTCAAAAGATATTATTAGGAAAGTGTATTACAGTATGGTTGTGATGAAAGAAATCATTGCCTTTGGTTTTGGATTTGTTTTATTCCACAATTTGAATATAAATCACAGGATGAAGTGTGTGTTCATTAATATTATCTGGCTAAGATATGTCTTTGAAAGATGTAGTCTTCTGATTTTTCAGTCAAATATAAGGGAATTTTGATGCTCTTCCAAACCAAAATATAGAGTTCACTATTCTCTGTGGTTTTCAGGTATCACCGACAGGCTCTTGGAATATATCCCCCATGGATACAGATTGGGCCATACTGTAGTATACAGAGCTGAGTGCATCTGTGTAAATGCACCAAAACACACAGGCCAAGTTCACACTTTTCAGTCCTGCCCAAACACACCAAATCAAGCCAGTCTTGCCCTCCTCTGCCATAATTTCTATTAAACTCTATACATGGATGGCAACTTTCTGAAAAGGAGAGCTTCTGATCATAAATGCTTCCTTCCAGTTTTGAACCCTGGAAAACGGATTCAAATAATTCTTAAAGTCTCTGGCTGTGGTGAAAAGGTGTTGCTAAATATTGTATTGTAAGCGCTATCAGCCCTACTCAGCATACCAGATGTGTAGAATGGTGAGAATTTATGGTTCAGTAGCCCAAGGGATGCACTTCTCTCCCTGTACAATGAACGGAGGAGTTTCCTGCCCTCAGGAAATGGCTCTTCATGGGTAGAGAGTGACAGGAAAGTTATAGAAGTCAGATAAGTGTGCCTCCAGTCCAGGGTTTACTCTATACAATTTTTAGTGCTATGTCTGTTGCAGTTGCATTTTTCCTTTCCAGTCACATTTCTAGGAAGACTAGTTGTGTCATTTTGTATAGCATTTTATTGAGATATATAGATTTCCAGTAGTGACTAAGTCCTCAGGAGTTCATTAAATGCTCCATAATATAATGCTCCATTTGTTATTAGGAGCATTGAATAAAGACAGTCCAAATTATCCTAATATACGAATTAAGACTAAAGGTTTGCACATTTTGAAGTCAATGATCTGTCTTTCTTCCAATCCCAATCACAGCAGAAAGCTGCAACTCCATCACACGTTCACCCTGCAGGAATGAAGGTCAACATAGTGAATAATCACACACAAAAACAGGTATGTGTTGTTTGGTAGCAAGGCAAGAAATGCTGAGATGTTCTAAAATCTTTCTAATATTCAAACATGTGATTCTTTTTGGCAAGCATTAACATGAATTAACATGAGGCATTTAATGCTTTTGTTTGAGAACAAGATGCAGTGCACATCCATTCATAGGAACTGCATGACTGCCTGTTTCACTGCTGAAGATATTGGTGAAAGTGAGGGAAACAGTTGAATAGTGAATGCCACAACAGTGAAGCAGGCAGTCTTCCAACAGTACTAAAGGTTATCAGTAGATGGGTACAAACCAAATGAAAGTGCCCTTTTCCCCACAGTATTTGACATTATGATGTCACACCAACAATGTATGACTTCATATGACATCACTAACAAAAAAAAGTCAAATCATCCACTTATCACTTACTAATCACTTACTGTGTTTGTATGTAGTGCCTGTATGACATGGAAGAGGATGAAGAAGCTGTGTCTCCCCTTCCTAGCAAACAAATGAAAATCACCACCACAAACAGCTTTCTGCACAGTGCGGTAAGAATTTGCTTTGGTGGGCTTCCCCAATCCAAGAGGGCACGCGCAGGCAGAGAGACACATGCTCTGTTCTCAGGCTGGATGGACATGTTGCCCTCATCTTTATGAACTTTATATATCTTTTCAGTTGTGTAGTAGTTATCCCTCTGTATTTCAATACAGATATGTTGGAAGCAAATACAGTATTTACAATAATTTATTTATGTATTTACCATATTTATACTCAGCCCTTCTCAATCCTGAAGGAGACTCAAGATTATAATTATTTCTCTACTGGTTCCAGGCAGAAATCTTTTCCTAGGGCGTCCATCTCCTTTCTTGGGCAAATCAGTAATTGAGATCTTCTCACTGATTCTAAATTTTCTAGATTTATTTGAGTTACAAATATGTAGGGTTCGGCAAGGATGGACCAAAAAAGCAAGTGGAAAAGAAAGCAGATCTGGACGTCTTTCCAGTCTAGTCTGAAAAACCCACATCACCATGTTTCTAGAATTGTCATTATTTGAAAATGTACAACTTCCTTTTTAATTTTTATCATCACGGAGGACCATCAGGCTGTTACTGTGAAGAAGGGCACTTCTGTTTCAAACTTGATGCCTGCTGTGTTGGATCATATTGCCTTGTTTGGAACAGAGTAAGTGTAGATCAGCTGCAAATTGATACCTGCTGCACTGTTACCCTATCTCCAGAGAGTCAGAAAGAATGCCATATTTGCCTGCTTGAACCCATGTGCACTATTGACCATGTTTAGAGACCTATCTGGTATTTTGAGGACCTAGTGATTTGTTTCACCCCAGCACCTTACTGGATTGATGTTAGTACAGTTTATTTTTATAGCTGCATTTTATTGCATCTTTCAAAGGGGTTGGGGTGTTATATGATATTTTATGTGATCTGTTTACATGTTTTTGCTATTGTGCTGAGTGCTTTTGTAAGCCGCCCCAAGTCCCCTTGGGGTGATGGTGACAGCTACAAATAAAGTATTATTATTATTATTATTATTATTATTATTATTATTAATCACAGGTTGTGGGTACAGGTTTAGTGCATTATCGTCTTTTCTATGAGTGCTTCATTTTATGACATGAGCATACTGTATTGTTCTATCTACTTCTGATTTTGTATCCTGCTTTTTCACATAATGTAGCCAAAGTAGCTACGACATAAGAAAAACAACACAAATCTATATTAATAGAATAGTGCTAAAATGCTGCATTACAGTAGCTTTCCAGTAATAACATTGGTGACCCTTACTCCTGGTTTGTGCAAAACAAGTGTCACATTCAAAAACAGCATAGACAACTTACTGCAGAATAGTGCTACTGGACCTAATAGGATTAATGTGCTAGAAATAGCTGTAGGTTGAGCCCATGTCTTCCACCTTTATGGAAGTTGTTTTATTTTCTTGATTCTCTTTCCCTTCCCTTGTTTGCCATAAACCTTTAAATGCTCCATTACATTGTATGCAGAGGCCCAGGCATGGTCTGGGTTGTGCCATTATGGTGTCCAGTGACATTCTGTTGTCAAAACACCAATGGAAATGGGAATTTGGTATATTGTTCAACATCTGACAGGGAGGATAGAAAGAACCATAAAAATTCTTTCTAATGTGCTATTAAGACACAGACGTGTTTTTCCTAAAATTATTTTACAGTTTTTTGATCGCCATCTTATACCTAATTTGTTTTTCCTGAAAGTAAATTTCATTGAAAACACTGGGACTCATTTTTAGGAATAGATGTACCAGCTTGCACTGTTTGTTATTTTGGTTTTATTTTCTTAATTTTTGAACATGCTTTAGTCACATCTGATTTCAGTTTCATGATCATCATGGTATTAATTTTATAGCTAAACTACAACTTAGTTTAGTTAGCCTGTAATTCTAGGTTTAGCTGTTGATTGGTACATCAGTAGGGCCCTCTGGTGGTGCAGTGGGTTAAACCACTGAGCTGCTGAACTTACTGACCAAAAGGTTGGTGGTTCAAATCCAGGGAAGCGGGGGTGAGTTCCCGCTGTTAGGGCCAGCTTCTGCCAACATAGCAGTTTGAAAACATGCAAATATGAGTAGATCAATAGGTACCGCTTCTGCACTCCATGCAGTCATGCTGGCCGCATGACCTTGGAGGTGTCTACGGACAACACTGGCTCTTCGGCTTAGAAATGGAGATGAGCCACACCTCCCAGACTCAGACAAAACTAGACTTAATGTCAGGGAAAACCTTTACCTTTTTACTGGTACATCAGTGAGAAGACCTTAGGGTCCATATATTTTCCTTGTATTCCTGTCTTACTCTATTTTGTAGCCTTTTGCAATCATTCTTTGTCATCCTTATTTAAATGATAAAAAGGGAGCTGATAAGCTTGCAAATTTTGTACTGTGTTTAGAAGCTTAGTTTTCTAATTTGTAATTCTGCACCAGAAGTTGGTAAAGTTGAACACTCCATACATTGTTGGATTATCGCACTCATCAGCCCAAACTCATAGCTAGTTGTGAGGAATCTAACTGCATTTAGTCCACCCCATTCTGTAATTCTCCTTTAATTTTGATTGACATTCATGAGCAGAAATCCTCTTTGTCTTGGGTAGTAGATACTTTTTTATTTATCAGTCAACTTGTTAAGCTGTCATGGTTTTCCATTTTATTGTTGTAAATGTTCCAGATGCGTTATCTCAAAACCCCAAAACACTCCCTGCCCACATGCCTAAAGCCTTAAACAAAACAGCCTCAAATTTATGCTCTTGTCCTACAGAAGGGTTCTGGGTTTTTTTTTTCAAATAAAGCAGAGGTTTTGATACTTTGATTCATTTTTCTTTCTGCATTGCTATAGAACTAAATTTACCTTATACGAGTTTGTCTGTTTTTTGCTTTTTCTGAAATCCTTTACTTTTGAAGCTGTTATTTTGCTTCGAATGGCTTGGCATCAATTGTCCTCAGCAAAAGTGTATTTCTACATGTTATTGTTCTCTTCCCTACCCATTTCTTCTTCAGTATTTCCAAAATATTGTGCAAATAGCTTATCTTTGTAATTGCTGCCTTCATGATTTTTCCTTTTTTTTAGTAGTTACACCAGTAAATTTATCACTTCACTTTTATTTCAAATTACCTAGATTTCCTTGTCCCTCAGAATGTGATTTGGACAGTGTCAGTGGTCTAAGGCCCCTTCTACACTGCCATATAATCCAGATTATCAAAGTAGATAATCCACATTATCTGATTTGAACTGGATTATACGAGTCTACACTGCCATATAATCCAGTTCAAAACAGATAATCTGGATTTTATCTGGCAGTGTAGATACACAGTGGAATTTAAAACTGGATTATATTTGTTGCATTGGTGTCAGTGGGCCTTACCCTAATTTCAACCAAGTCTAGATCCAACCATGGATTGGATAATTACTTGATATCTTCTGTGAGGTGTACTGTTCTCTACTGTACCTTAATGATAGGGTAACTCTTCTGATTAGAATGCTCTGTTCTAATTTAATTTGGTAAAAACATAAGAATTAGACATGTTTTTATGCAAAATATGGAATGCTTTAGCTTTCATAATACTTTAAAGTGCAAGTTCCTCTGAGCTAGATAACAGTTGATCCTTTTAAAGGAAATTCCAAAGAAAGTTATTTGGTGCATGCTAGACTGTATTAATTGACTTACGCAGCCAAGGAATGAGCAGCCACACATTTTTTTCGATATCACACTTGCTGTATTCTGTAGTTAAACCTTTTTGAAAAGGGTAATTGTGTTGATTGCTTGCTGTTGTTTTAAGGGAGAGAAGTTGGTTCTTGTTGTAGCACTCGCAACAGTCAGGGATTTCTGCTTTTTTCTTACCTAGACTGGACTCAGTGGCAATAAATTCTCTCTATCAAAGACTGTCCCCCTCACAAAAGTGGTCCAGAATGACACCTATACGGCGCCCCCAGCTCCACCTTCCCCCATCCGGACAAAAGGCCTCACAAACATGTCTCGGACCTTGGTGACAAAGGAAGAACCCCCGAAAGAACCGGCTCCTGTTGAGGTGAGTCAGACACAAAAGATGGTCTCCTATTTAGTCTTTCTCTCACCAAAAGTTAGAGAAGTAATAAAATCTAAAATCCCTTTTGTGTTCATAATATCATTGTAGTAATTAACAGATTAGTAGATTTCTTGTAAAGTTAACTTTGAAAGTTAGATTATGATGAATCTCACTATTTTGTCTGTTCCCCATCTCCTCCCAATATCCTCTTTATTTCATATTTTAATTTCCATGGGTCATATCTATTGTCATGGTTAGACTCTTGTGCTAGCTGAATGCTGACCTGAAGGTTGGCGGTTTGAAATCCATGAGATAGGGTGAGCTCCCGTTTGTCAGTTCCATCTTCCCATGTGGGGACACGAGAGAAGGCTCCTCACACATCTGGGCGCCCCCTGGGCAGTGTGCAGATGGCCAATTCTCTCACACCAGAAGTGACTTGCAGTTTCTCAAGTTGCTTCTGACACAATAAAAAAAAACTATTCCAACTAACTGCACATGTATTTTCTTCTTGACAGCCGGTCTTCAGCCCATTAGAAGGTACTAAAATGACTGTGAATAATTTGCATCCTCGAGTCACTGAAGAGGACATTGTTGTGAGTATTGTATATGATTATAATCCAAAACTAGCAAGTTTCTTCTTCTGGAGTATGCAAGATAATTTATGTACTTTTCATGGAGCACTTGAGGAGATTTTAACTAATAGTCGCATTAAAGAGCTGTGCTCCAGATAACTTTGAACAATTAAATTGTTTATATGAATAATATAAGCCATTGACTGGCTTTACACCTTTCACTTCAAGGTCCATATTGGTCTAACCACCGTTCCTGGAACATTTTCCTTCAACAGGCTGTATGAAAAGACATGGCATGTCTTGCATTAGATGTAGGCATTCAAACTAAATGTCATGTGTAAATGTTATGTGTGCTTGGAAGGTAGCCTATTTATATTATTGTGATTCAACAATACGAGGATATTTCAGAGGAAATATTAGCCTTGATTGGCAATGGGCTGCATATTATGTTGCAAAGTGTCTGCTTCTGGTGTTCCCAAAAGTATGGTAGAATACTCTACCAGGAGCATGACCATCTTAACTATTGCCCTTTGATTAATATATGCAGTGTGACCATATGGTTCTTATTCTTTAGACCTATAATCTGGACACTTTTACCTCTTCTGATGTAATTTTAAGAAAGATAATACTTTATGATTATAAAAGCTGTACAAAGGCGCCCACTTATAGGATGGAAACTGCTTCTGGACATCACATTCTATGATCTCTTCCTCTATGGCAGGCAAAGAGGATGTTTGACTTACCATCAAACATCCTTCCTTAGCAGCGTGTTTGACTTCCTTAGCAGCGTGATAAGTTCTTGCTGCTAAGGAAGGAGCAGGCTTAGGGTTCCATCATTCACATCTTTTCTTACTTTTCTTCTAATTCTCTTGTCTGTCCCCGACCCCAAAAGTATCAAGCATAAGAAGGATAATAGATTGATTGTAGAAACTGGATGAGGGTATGTCTCTCACTGGTGGTCCCAATGTACGAGGGTGGATCAAAAGGTTTTGCCTCTTGTGTCATAAAAACATTTAGCTTCAGATTCATGGTACTGATCAGTCAATTGGAAGAAGAAAAGACTATTTTATTTATTTATTTACAGTATTTATATTCTGTCCTTCTCACCCCGCAGGGGACTCAAGGCGGATTACAATGTACATATACATGGCAAACATTCAATGCCATAGATACACAACATATATAGACAGACACTCAGAGGCTATTAACATTCCAGCTTCTGGCCACCAGGGGAGCTATTGCTTCCTCATTCTTTGCATATTTCCTGGAGATTTTTATGGCCTCGTAAATCAGTTAAATTAGCCTCCCCACAAAGTGGTACCTAATTTTCCTACTTGACAGATGCAACTGTCTTTCGGGCTGCAAAGGTCAACAACAAGCTACACAATTTTGGTCGGGAGTTCACTCTGACCAGGGCTGGCTTCGAACTCATGACTTTTCGGTCAGTAGTGATCTTAATCTTAATGCAGTTGACTCCCAGCCAGCTGCGCCACAATCCCGGTACTATATCAGTAGAGTACGGTTTCTTCTATCATAGCATGCATAGATAGTCCGGTCGCTGTGAAAGAAATAAAAGTTAGAGCGATGGAGGCATTACTTTTTGCCCCACCCTTGTATATGTGTATATGTTGTAGTCCCAACATATATGTGATTTAAACTATGTTATGCCCCACCTCAAGCCAAAAGGAGAGGCAGGTAATAACTCAAAATTATTATTATTATTATTATTATTATTATTATTATTATTATTATATTTAATGTTTAATCAACATGGTCCTGGCTGCCATAAAATATTGCAGAAGTAGCCCTTGAAAATATCTTTTTCTATATTTCACATGAGCCAGCATGATCTAGGCATGTGAGTCTTGAACTAGATCTCTGAAAAATCGGGGTTCAAATCCCTGTTTAGCTATGGAAACCCACTCAGTGACCTCAGGGGAAGTCAATTTTTTCGCATTAATTGGCAAACTCCCTCTGAACAAATCTTGCAGAGAAAACCCCATGATAGCATTTCCCTAAGTTGGAAATTACTTGAAAGCATAGTGTGATTGTTTCACATGCTGTGATTTTCTAAAGATGTGATCATAATCCAGATGTAATCAAAAACCTTGTTTTTTGCTAAGGAATTGTTCTGTGTGTGTGGTGCCCTGAAACGAGCCCGTCTGGTGCACCCTGGGATGGCTGAAGTGGTGTTTGTGAAGAAGGAAGATGCCATCACCGCTTATAAGAAGTATAACAACAGATGCCTAGACGGTGAGTGTGCGCCCCATATAAAAGATAGTAGGGCTTCCCCCCCCCCTTTATTGCAGAAATCACATGTATTGCAGAAGTATCTTCTATCTCTAGGAAACCAAAGTGGTATTTATGACTGCTGAGAGAAACTGGGACCAGTTCCCAGAAGCTGTTGTTGTTGCAGGGGGTTGGCATATTGCCATAGAGATAGTACAGAATGAAAGGGAGAGAGACAGTTCAAGGATGCAGATGTTGACTTGCTATGTTTCACCAGGTAGGAATATAGATAATTAGTGAGAATGACCTTCCCTGAGAAATAACAAAAATTTGGTGTTTCAGAATTTGTATAACTAGTTGGGGTGTTTCTGTTGTCCATAACAGTTAAGAAAATAAGAAAATATTGGGTTGAGTCTGTGCAAGTCTATCTAGCTCTACATTTTCTTCACCATTTGGGTGTGGGGAGCCTGCTAGTTCTGTTTTCTTTCTTGTGTTCTCCAACAGTTGATATACAGAGGCATACTGCAGCTTTGGATAGATGAAGGGTTCTCTCTCCTTTAAATTTTGGGAGCTTTTATTTATTTATTTTTTCAGAAGAGAGGCCTCTACTACCTGCCAGGCCTTTCCCCAAATGGGATCAGTAGTGTCACACTTTGGAGAAGGAAAGTCATCAAGGGAGCAGGGAAATAAAGTATAAAAGGGCCATTATTTCTTGCTCTTGAATTAGATCGCTTTCACCTCCTGTCAAATTTGTAGCTTTGGGTTCACATTATAATGGTAGTAGCTGAATTCCTAGAATCATAGAGTTGGAAGAGACCAAGGGTCATCTAGTCCAAGCCCTGCCATGCAGGAACACCCAGTCAAAGCACTCCCAACAGTTGTCCACCCAGCCTAAGTTTTTTTTAATTGAATTACTTCTAACCATCATTATTAAGTTTATAGGGAAAAATTTGAAGAGTTTACAGTAACTTTGTTTGAAATTGCTCAGGTTACCTTATCTGTACCACATTCACACAGTGGTTCATTTCTTGTGTTCTTCCTCATCAGGGCAGCCAATGAAGTGTAATCTTCATATGAATGGAAATATTATCACATCAGACCAACCTATCTTGCTGTAAGTACTTCCTGGTGTCCTTTAACAAAACTCTGTTGTGATGTTTGGCTTTGTGGCAAGGGATCACAGAAATCTTGCACCCTAGAAATACATATCATTGTGTGTCGAAATGAAAATAAAAGCACTGCTAAATCCTATTAAGTTTTCATAGAATCATAGGGCCCCAAAATGATCTAGTCCAATTTCCTGCCACACAAGAATACAGAGCTACACAGAGATGGAAATAATAATAATAATAATAATAATAATAATAATAATAATAATAATAATAATAATATCTTTATTTATATCCCGCCACCATCTCTTGGAGTGGCTTACATGGGGCCAAGCCCGAACAACAAATTACAATACAAAAATACAAATTGCAATGAAATAAACAACATAACAATAAAGTATAAAGCATCAAAACATCTAAACAATATACACAAAACATAGAAACCAAACATAATAACAGAGAGCGGGCCGCATGTACATAAAATGATTTAAAAACTCAGGGTGAGATAAAGGGGCAGAACTCATAGACAGAGAAATAAACAAACTATCGTACGGGGGGAGAGAACTCCTGGGGCAAGAACATTCACCATCTGTTTAAAAACCTCCAGTGAAGGAGAATCCATCACATTCTGAGGCATTACATTCCACTGTCAGGAAATTTGTCAGGAAATTCTCCATAATATTTAGGTGGGATCTCCTGCAATTTGGTGAATGTCCTAACTTGCAGAGCACTAGTGAAAAAAGCTTTGCTTCATCTCCTACATAATCTTCCTTCAGATATGAGATGGTTATTCTTGATATTCTCTGCCATGCAGCCCTTTAGCCATTCCTTGTAGGGCTTGGTTTCCAGACTTGATTATCCTCCTCTGGACATGTTTCAGCTTGTCAACCTTCACCTTGAACTTAGTGCCAGAGCTGAGCATAGTATTCCAGGTGAGGTCTGATCATAACAGAATAGAGTGATAGTTATCTCAGTCTAGACACTATACCTTGCAACCTTGAATTCTGTTGCCTCTTTTGGCCATTGCATTACACTCATGTTTAGCCTGTGGTCAATTAAGACACCTAGAACTTTTTTGCATGTAATATTTTCATGCCATGTGTCATGCATCCAATATTTGTTCACAAATGTAGTACTTTACATTTCTTCCTGTTGAAATTCAGTTCATTAGTTTTGGTTCAGTTCCTCAATTCTCAAGTATTACTGAAATCAAAGGCTACTACATCACGAAAGTCACATTATGTGAGGGTTTATGTATTAAATACTAATCTAATCATAAGGGAGCAGTATCTAAAAATGTACAGCTGGCTGATTGAACAGTCCTACAAAACAGAAATCTCTTGGAAGCAGATCTAGGTATACAAAGGTTTGATTGAAGGGGTTGTATTTATTGATCTCCAATTTTGCTTTTAGCAACTATAAGTGACAGCACTTCCTGCGATTGTAATTCCTTTCACTTCTTGGCATGGTTCAGAATACAAATTAAAATCCGTAGAGGTTTTTTTTTTTTTTTTGTATCCAGAGGCAAGGTGTTTTTTTTTTGTATCCAGAGGCAATAAGCACACAAATGGTTATAATACTATAAAGATATTTATTAAAGAAGCAGGCATGATAACAGAAGCATAGGAAAGAAACATGAATAAAACAAGTTTTTCCTCAATCTGTTTCTGGGAACCCCTTGAACTAGCAATGAGGACAACTCCAGTTTTGGCCATTTATGTAGCAGTGTCTGGACTAAGCCTATATGTGGCTCAACATGAAGCTGATCTGTATAAGTTCTTATACCTTTCTCAAGCCTAATTAATCACTGTTGTTTTCCATCAGCCAGCTGGACTAAAGTATCCTCCCCCATTCTGTCCCAATGAGTTCTTGATCATGAAAGAAACCCTAATTTTCTCTTAAAGGAGACTTCATTCCTTTAAGGCAGTGTTTCTCAAACTCTGCTCCTCTGGGTGTTTTGGACTTCAGCTCCCACAATTCCTAACAGCTCGTAAGCTGGCTGGGATTTCTGGGAGTTGAAGTCCAAAACACCTGGAGGAGCAGAATTTGGGAAATACTGCTTTAGAGCAATGGTTCTCAATCGTTGGTCCCCCCAGGTGTTTTGGATTTCAACTCCCAGAAAATCCAGCTAGCTTACCCGCTGTTAGGAATTGTGGAAGTTAAAGTCCAAAATACCTGGAGGACCAAAAGTTGACAAACACTGCTTTAGGGCAAGCCTTTTTTAAGAGGTATAGAAAGAAAAAGGAGCAATTGGCGTAGAACAACGAGGCAACTATGTACATCACCTGGCTTGCTTCATTGAGATAATTGTAATCTTCCACAAGGTTTTCCCTACACTGTCCAAAAAGAGAGGAATGATATTTGTTACAGTATTGGTTCTGTAATGAAACTGAACATTGTTGTCCTCCATAGCCGATTGAGTGACACTCCCTCAGTGAAGAAGGAAGGGGAGCCACGTCGCACAAGCACAGGAGCCTCCTCCAATCCACCGGCTGAAGTGGATCCCGATACCATCCTGAAGGCTCTCTTCAAATCATCTGGGACTTCGACTTCAGTGCAGCCAACAGAGTTTAAAATCAAACTTTGAGAAGTGGCAGGGAAGGAGTGGACTGGAAAACTTTTTGAACGTGGGAAATGGCAGAGATAAATGCGGGAACACAGGTGTTGTGTTTGACCGTGCCGAAACATTTGTTTTTCTACAATTGCTACCTTCCTGTACAGTAGCTTCTCCTTAAATGTGTGTGTTCTGTTTTCATAGTTGAAGTTTCTGTCCACTTATTTCTAACAAGATAATCTTCCCTCCCTCCAGTGAGATATATCGCCAAGCTTAGCCCATGTAACTCCTTTGTTTCACAGCCCCAACCCTTCTACAGTATCCAGCTAGTAAAAGTGTACTTAGCAAAGGGCATGGTGAACATCTATTGGAACTTGCTTCCTTCAAATAAAAAAAAACTTCATAAAACATATTTCATTTTAATGCCTGGAGATGAGGCCAGGTGTGACACTGTATTTTCATACATTTGGTAATAATTTAGTTCTCTTGCGTTTGGGTAATTAGTAGAGGAGAAACAGCAAAAGCTCCATTCACTGCACCAGCAGATGGAAAGGACTGTAAGAAGTGAGAATATATATAAGTACAAGAACATCCTCTTCCTTACCATGGAAATAATTTAATAGTACCCCTAAAGAAGAAATCAACCCTGTCATTGATGCAAATTTCAGTCCAGCTTGTCTTACAGATTCAATTATTCAATGAGAATGTTTGGGTTTTGTTCAGATAGCATTAAAATGTTTCATTTTCTCACATCTGTGATTATGTTCTCCCTAACATTTTACTGAGAATAAGTATGTTAGGGAGGACAGTATTCTAGTTTAGTTTTACAGAAAAGGAGGTGTGCTACAGGCCCTGCAAGGAGTAGTTTCTCATGTTGCAAGCCCTGATAGAATTGGAGACACACCTACACTTCGTTATATTTAGATTTTTGGGAGAGGCAGAGGTATCAAAGCAAAATATAAGCAAAGAAAAGTGCAAAACTAGTGAAACCTGGCCGTTCCCAATTGTCATCTTTTACCCCACAGAAACGGTTACTCTTTCTAGCTGGAATTGGTTCAGTCAAAGGCAGAAAATGATCCTCACCTTGTGCCCTTGAGAAGTTATCATTTGTAATAACAGCACATTTCAATGCTTCACTGTGTTTGGACAAAACTGCCGCTACTCTGCAGCACTATTGCTTGTTTGTCCTCTGTGAAAAGTGGCGAGTGCTATTCATGTCGATACAGAAGAGATTTGTCCTGGAACCGGGAAGGGGGCCGAGAGGAGAAAGAAATTCACTGACATCATTGCTAAGACACAATTCCTTTCTGCAAGCATCGCAGATAATCATTGGGAATGGAAAACTGACCAATATTTTTTGATATTTTATATTAAATCAAGACACAAATACCTATGGACTCCGGGCTGAGGGGTTGAATTTTTATCCTCCCAGCTACAAGATTTAAGCTTTTCTATTAATCTGTGCTGAAATGCTGTGGTTGTAAAAAAGAAAAAAAGACTTGCTTTCTTCTGTTGTAGAACCTGCTGATGGGTGGCTTCTACTTTCCCTTTGCTCTTCAGTCTGTATAGTCTTAGTTTATTCTAGCACCAACACTTGAGATGCGTCATACTTACAATCCTTCAGGATGTGGAAGGAGCTTTTTTTCCCCAATAAAATTTGCAGATCTTGGTTACTAATTTTGGACTGGTCATAATTAAACCTGTACTGGGGAGGTGTGCTTGGAAACGTCAGTTCTTTTGTGCCGAACGGCTTATTCCTTGTTCTGGGGTTTCACTTGCAACTGTGATCAGCTACAAGGGAAGGGAAGGTTGGGGCTGGAGGACTCTTATGTACTACGTTCCATAATAAACATTTGTTATACAGAGACTGCTCGGATCTGCCTTATTGAAAAGAGCAAGATTTGTTTTAAAGTCAGTGAAGTACGTCTATGTTACTTTGGAGATCTTTTATCTGAACCAGCCAAACTTCAAGTTTAGGTCACTGGTCAAAGCTGACAGGTTGGCAAGCTTTCCCATGTGTGGGGAAGTCTTCATGCCCTGAAGCATGTGAGAAGGAAACTGTTCAGATTGGCTTTCAGGTATTGAGCGCTTGAGAGTTTATGGGGGAACAAATATTGTTTGTGTGGTTCAAAACAATTTAAAAGAATACATATCCATACATCCCAAATCACGGTAGGCTCTTAGAAATTGTGGGAGTTGAAGTCCAAAGCACCCGGGGGGCCAAAGTTTGCCCATGTTTGTTGTAGAGCAGTCAAAAGGTAACCAATGAACATGTCCACATTATTTGCTACAAGGTGACATCTGTACTAGATTGACATGATTCAATTGAAATTAGCGTGTTTATCTGGTGGGGTTCCTGTCCCCGGTTTCTCTTCCTTTTTCCTCAAACCTTTTTCCCTTTGCTTTTTCTTCTCTCCCCTTGCCCTCCTTTTTCTTTCTTTCTTCCCCCTTCCTTTTTCTTCTCCTTTCTCTTCTTCCTTCCTTCCTTTCATCTCCACTTTCTCCCTTCTCCAGCTCCGAGGGCCAATTTCACAGCGTCTCTATGACACTCTTCACATCCCATCCCCTTTCTTCCTTTCCCTTCCTCCCACCTTTCCCTTCTTTCCTTCCTTCCTTCCATTCTTCTTCCCCTTCTTTCTTCCCTTCCTTTTCCTTCCTTCCCTTTTCCTTCTTCCCTCTCTTCCCTTCTTTTCCCTCCCTCCCCTTCCATTTCTCCCTTCTTTCACTTCCCCTTCCTTCCATCGTTCCCTCCCCTTTCCTTCCTTCCCCTTCCCTCCTTTTCGTTCCTTCCCTTTTTCTTTCCTACCTTCCCTTTCGTTCTTTTCCCTCCCACTTTTCCTCCCCTTCCCCCCTTTTCCTTCTTCCCTTCTCTTCCCTTTTTCCTTCCTCCCTCCCTTCCCTCCTTTCCTCCCCTTCCTTCCCTCCCATCTCTCCCTTCCCTCCTCTCCTTCCATCACTCCATTCCCTCCTTTTCCTTTCTCCCTTCCCTTTCCTTCTTTCCCTCCCTCCTTTCCTCCCCTTCCTTCTTTCCCTCCCTCCTTTCCTCCCCTTCCTTCCCCTTTATTCCCTTCCCCCCCTTTCCTTCCTTTTCCTTCTTCCCTTCTCTTCCCTTTTCCTTCTTCCCTCCCTTCCCTTCTTTTCTCTCCCTCCTTTCCTCCCCTCCCATCTCTCCCTTCCCTCCTCTCCTCCCATCACTCCATTCCTCCTTCCCTTTCCTTCCTTCCCTCCTTTTCCTTCCTCCCTTCGCTTCTTTCCCTCCCTCCCCCTTTATTCCCTTCCTTCCCATTCCCTCCTTCTTCCCTCCCTTCCCTTCTTTTCTCCCCTTCCTTCCCTCCCATCTCTCCCTCCCCTCCTCTCCTTCCATCACTCCATTCCCTCCTTCCCTTTCCTTCCCTCCTTTTCATTCCTCCCTTCCCTTTCCTTCTTTCCCTCCCTCCTTTCCTCCCCTCTCTCCCTTCCGTCTTTCCTTCCTTTCCTCCTTCTCTCCCTACCCTTCCCTCCGTCCTCCCTTCCCTCTTCCTTCCTTTCCTCCCTTACTTCTCTCCCTATTTCCTTCCTTCCTTTCRCAGTGACATCTCAAAGGGCCCCATCCCCTAGCAACAGCCAATCCTACACTCCCTCCTCTGAAGAGAAAGCTAAAGGCCCTTCAGCATTGTCCTCGCGAGTGTTTGCGGCTCTTCGAGAATCTCCTCCGAATCGCCGGCCCCGCCCCTCTGGGAAACTACCACTCCCAGGATGCTTTGCGGCAAGCGAGGCCACTTCCTGTTCGTGGAGCAAGATGGCGGCGCCGGGAAGGAGGCACGAGAGGAGCGGGAGGGCGGCCGCCCCCTTGGGCTTCGCGGGTGAGGAGGGGTCGGGTCTCTGGGAACCCAGTACGGGGACGGGTATTCGGTAACCCCCTGGCAGGTGAAAGGGGTGTCAAACTGCATTAATTCTACGGTGTAGACTAGTAATGGGCCAACCTGGGCCCTCCAGGTGTTTTGGACTTCAACTCCCAGCATTCCTAACAGCCTCAGGCCCTTTCCTTTTCCCCCTCAGCCGCCCAAGTTGCCCCATGCCTGGCCTAGGCCCCTGGAAACAACTTTCTTTCAACCTAATTCCATGATTTGCAGCAGGGACTGAATGGAAAGCTGGTAAAAAACCACACTTCCCTTCGGTTCCATTCACATTGCACAAGATGGACTACATTTTAATAAAGGCATGAGCTGAATAGCTGAATAGCCCTTCAGGTTGAAAGGGGAGAAAAAGACCTTTTACTGCTACCTTTTGTTACACTTGTATTAAAATCTCAAAGGTTTTGTGTATTTTCATGGGTAGGCCGTGCTAAAATGGATTTTCAGGGAGATACCGCAAATAATACAGGCAGCCCCCAAGTTACAGACAAGATAGGTTCTGTAGGTTTGTACTTGAGCATTATTGAAGTGTAATTCCAGCCAAACACACACACACAAAGCTTTGGATAGCATAGGCTTCTCCTGAGATTAAGTCTAGTTGTGTCCAACTCTGGGGGTTGATGCTCATCTCCATTTCTATGCTGAAGAGCCGACGTTGTCCATAAACACCTCCAAGGTCATGTGGCCAGCATGACTGCATGGAGCACAGAAGCAGTACCTGTTGATCCACTCACATTTGCATGTTTTTGAACTGCTAGGTTGCCAAAAGCTGGGGCTAACAGTGGGAGCTCAGAATACTTCCCCACACTTTTTGTCCCTGTGATCATTAGATTTTGAAAAAAATGCTTGTTGTGGAAACAAGGACTGGTGCTAAAGCTTCAGTGGAGACACCTTTTCCCCATGATAACTCTTCCAGGAGTGGAATTCCCATCCTAGGGCCAGATTTCTCTCACTTTCTGTTGTCTCACCATTCTAAATTGTGAGTCATTTATAAATCAGATGTTTGTAACCCTCCAGGTGCTTGGACTTCAGTTCCCAACAGTTGGCAAGCTGGCTGGGATTTCTGGGCATTGAAATCCAAAACACCTGGAGAACTAAAGTTAGCCCATGCCTGGTCTAGCAGCCAAAGGGGAAAATCTCTTACACATTTGACTCATTAAGCTGAATAGCTTAATGTTTAGCTTTGAAACACCTAGTAACCCAAAATCCACAAAAGAATGGTGGCTTAATGGTCAACTAAAATGCACAAAACCTACCAGATAAGCTTTCAGAATTCCACTGGATTCTTCATCAGCAAAAGATGATAAAAATCACGCAGGAGAAGAAGAAAAAGTGTCAGTATTGGAGTCGCAGGCCTACCTTTTGTATCAGATGTTATTGCTGTTGTTCGGTTGACTTGGAGGGATCTCAATGGCAAGAAAGACCAATCCCCTCTTGACCAAGTTGGGACTGAGAAAAAGGATAGCAAAGTTTAAGCTCCAAGCTGAGTAGTGTAATTAGTAGCTGGTTGTTTTTAAAGTAACAACGTATTTGTTTACAAACTGATTCTTCTTTCTTTTTAGTATTACCAGTTAAGTTCTCTGAAAAGCACCAGTCACCTCACTATCTCTATGTGAAGGAACACAAAGTCAGGGAGGACAAAGATCATAACAGACCTCAAAACAACACCCTTTTTGTTCTGAATGTCCCTCCATATTGTACAGAGGTGAGTATTTGGGAAAGGGAGGGAGAGCTATATGATCATGGAGAGAAGATTGTGGATTATATTGTTGTGTGCCTTCATGTCATTCTGACTTGTAACCATAAGATGATTCTATCATTGAGTTTTCTTGGTGAGGCTTTGTATATAATGGAATCAAAGCATCTACAGACTTTGGTATCCACAGGGAGTCCTGGAACAAAACTCTGACAGATACCAGAGTCCACTGTACACTTATTTCTTAATGATTTCAGCCAGTACACAGTGGATACTGGGAATAAAGAGTTCTGCCTGTATACCTGTGTTATCTTATAGAAATAATATGTTGTACCTTCATAAAGAAGAGGAGACCAAGTATTGAACCAATATAACCTTTGTGCTTTTTCAAAAACTCACATTATTTGTCTTCTTAACTATTGAATTTTAAAATATATTTTTAGCCTTTTAAATCATTTTAGTATTTATACAGTTTAAATTTGTCAGAGCAGTTTTATTGTATACCTCCCTAAGATTTCTAGATAGAGGACAGGAGACATGTGTCTCTATGTATTTACATATTTGTATGTATAAAATTTAGGGCCTATATACTCTAAGGGCACCAGATCCTGTATGATATTGGAAGCTAAGCTCGGTCAGTTCCTAGATGGGAGACTACTATGAATCCCAGGTGCTGTAGGCTGTATTTCAGAAGAAATATTCATATATACAAATTGGGGTATTTTTGTTTATTGCAATAATTATACCCTGTTCTGTAACAAAGAGATTTCATGGCAGCTTTCAACTAACATAAATAGAGGGCAGAACAACATGGACAGACTACATACAAATAACATAATAGAGGACAGGAACCAAGTTCATGGTGCAGGGTATTGTACATTATTCTGAGGAATAGGCACAGATGAGCTCCTTGGGGATGGTTTCAGTCTTTTAAAAGGTTATTTCCTATAGAGCTGAATCATGCTGTGCTTTGGGATTGTTTATTATTGTTGTTGTGAACAATTCACAGTTTATTCTTGCTTCTGTAGGAATGCTTGTCAAGGCTATTCTCTGGCTTCGGCTCAGTACAGTCTGTTGAGCTGTGTGAAAAGCCAACGCTGGGAGAAAAAAAGAAACTACCCAAAACAAAGTTCTTTGGTGCAAAAAAAGCTTTGGTAAGTCATAAATACTGAGCAAGGATGGGAAATACTGAGGTGTTTGCATTTGGGGAGGGGAAAGGGAGCTCTCCTGAAACAGATAGGAGCAATTGCTTTCTTTGTGATTTTTTTATTGTGAACAATTCACAGCTTATTAGTTGCTTGTGTTTCAGGATCTCTGACTAAGACACTGTCACTTTCATATTTCAGAATTGCACAGTCAAGTATAAAACATATTGTCTTCCTCACCCCAAGTGTATTAGCGGACATCATACTTTAATCTTGGGTGCGGAGGAAGAAAATGCTGGTATGGTATACTGGAGACAAGGGGTCACATTCCAGCTCAGCCATTGAACCCCACTGGGTAGTCTTGGGCAAGGCATACTTTCTCAGCCTCAGAGGAAGGCAACATGTAAGCCTTTCTGAACAAATCTTGCTAAAGAAAGCCTATGATAGGGTTGGTTTCGGGCCACGAGTAAGACATGACTGGAAAGCACACAAGAGCAACAACAAGGAGAAAGAGTGTTTAGTGTCTATAGCCTGCACACAATACTTTTGCATTTGCTCCCTTTGGCACGTTTCCAATAGTTACATTAGTATCTCACCCATTGAGGCACATACAGGTGAAAACAAACCCAGCCCGTAATCATGCGCTTCTTGTTTCGCAGGGTTTCCAGGTTGCTTATGTGGTCTTCAAGAGTCCTGCTGGAGTGCAGGCTGCCAAATCCGTATCAACAGATGAGCCCCTAGTGCTATCTTCTAATAAGTATCCTGTGCTAACAGGCATTCAGAGTAAGTTAACTACACTTTCCTAGAGTGTCATTTTTTTCTTCTGTGCCTGGCATACAGGTCTGGAAGGATTTTTTTTACAGTACATAGTACTTATTGAGAAGAGTTGAACAGATGAGGGTCAACAGCCCTGTGAGTGCTGCAGCACACTTAATGATTTTGGAACTGCAGCAGGTTGAGAAGAGGCTCCTCAGTTCCGAGTTCATTAGGATATGAATAGGGAATTTGTGGCCACCCAACTGCTGCTAGACCATAGTTCCTATCATTCCTTATCATTAGCCTTGCTGGCTGAGGCAGCTAGAAACTAATTGAGTGTCTTTGAGAAGGTCACACATTTTTCACATTTGTTTTAGCAGAAATAATAGTAGGGCTGCAACATGATAAAATGCTAATGCTATCCAAATTGGATGCTTATTTCCCAAATAGAGTTGTTTATTGCGTTAATCTTTTCGCCTTCTACAATTCATTCACCCTCTTCTCACCCAAGTGCTTGCTGTCTTTTTCCACCTTGAATCCCTATATTGGAAGAGAGGTGAGATAAAAATAAACATATATACAAATAACATTTTCCCATCAGTGCCATCACCAGTGACACTAGAACACATTTTCCCTAGTCTTTATAGTGTATTGATTGATTACTGGCAGTTTTTTAAAAATATGCAAGAAATAGAATAGAGGGGTAATACTGGGTTTCCAACCACTCCATTTCAGTGGACTTTAAGTCCTATAGCATCGCCACCAGGACCCCCTAATCAGTTGAGAGGTCCCCCATCATGTAGACATATTTCATAGTATTTGTAGATGATGAGGAACTTTTCATGTTTCTAGACCGTGTTTTTATCCTTGGTGCTACTGCTAGGTAATTGTTGACTCTCTCTTTTTTTTTAATCTCAGAGTGGATTGCTGATTATGCAGCTTCAATTGTGAATCCTGTTGAATTGAAAACAGAAGTGGATACTTTCATGCAAGCCTATGACAAAAAAATTGCAAAGGTGTGGCCTTTTGGAGATGTAATTGTGCTCACCAAGACATGCACTTTCCTGGAATGGTCACTTGCCTGTATGGGTTGAGATTAGTAATGGATGGGCCAAAAACCATTGTGGGGGAATGACCAGTGTTGGACTTCGACCTGGAAGGCTAGAGTCGAAATCCCACTATGCCATGTAACTGACTGGAGATCTTGGACTATTGACTATTATATAGGGTTATTGCGAAGATAATTAGGGATGGGGTGAGTTAACTATAACAAAGGAATTCCTTATAGGGGAAGATGGGATATATTGTCAGAAGTATTTACTTGTAAGATTTCCTTCCTTTGATGGTGATAAAGTAGCAGTGATGACTGAAAGGTGGGATGTAAATTAAATAATGCTGTAAAGCTCCACCAGCACATTTATGTTGGACTTTTGAGAGGGCAAAAACTTCACCAGTCAGTCAATTGGAGCAGGAAGTGTATACATCCTTACACAATATCTCAGAAAATTAATGTAGAATTATATAGCAACAGTTACACCAGTTAAAGTCCCCAAGATTCTAGCCAATAATAGAAAAAATGTGCATGCAAATAAGAGTTTTAAAAATATTACTTGTTATATGCCACAATGGAGGCCAGAGTTGTTTTTTTCTCTAGTGTCATTGGAGTAAAACTGGAAACATGATGGTGGGAGCATTGTGTCTGAATTTTTTGGCTGACAGCAAAACCCTAAATCTTGCCAAATGGTTTCTACAGATTTTGGCTCTACCGGAGGCCTTGTTATGGGGGCTTCTTACATCTAAAGGGTTGTAAAGGTCAAGGGAAATTCCTCTCTTGAGTTTCTGAGTTTAAAGGACAGCTATGGGATGTAAGTGAGCAGATTGCGATAGATTTAGAGGAGTGGTATTTCTTTTTGCTCCCCTTCCCATTTCTCCACTTCTATACTGGTGCAGGAGGAAGAGAAAGCTGAGAAGGAAGACGGTGTCCCAGATGAGGAAGGGTGGGTGAAGGTGACACGGAAAGGCCGGAAGCCAGGACTTCCACGGACAGAGGCAGCCAACCTGCGAGCGTTGGAGAGGGAAAAACGCAAGAGAGCCCGCAAGGAGCTGCTCAACTTCTATGCGTGGCAGCATCACGAGACCAAGAGGGAACGTGAGTAGTGGCATCCTCACCTGTAATCTCTCCCAGTGGAATTTGATGGAAAGGAATGACATACGATTTAATAAGGAGTTGCTACCTTCTTCGTGATATATTTTGTTGGGGCAGTGGGCTTATTAACAAAAGACCCTCCTCATAAATACACAGCAGAGTAACTTATTAGCAGCAGCATGACCCAGGACCAGCAGCCCAAAGTGATTAAAAAAACACACAGACAGATGGTATCTCTTACATAGGAGGCTTTTCTTTGTAGTAAAATAATAAAGTTTCACTATTTACAAGAACAAGGTTTCAGCAACACAAATAAAGTCCTTTATACTTCTTTCTTTGCTTCCGTGCTGGGCTTCTTCCACATGCAGATAAACAGCTTCGCTCTGAGAAGGTGCTGTCCCTCATCCCCGCCAAGCGCATTTGCAACAGAGGCGGGGCCGAGAGCAGGGCCTCCCCAGAAGATCTTAAACTTGGAGGTGGGATGTAGAGGGAGATATGTTCGGATAGGTACGCTGGGCCGGAACCGTAAAGGGCTTTATAGGTCAAGACAAGCAGTTTGAATTGTGCTCGGAACTGGACCAGCCCCAGTAGAGCTGACATAACAGGGAGGTGGTATGCTCCCTGTATGACACTCCCACTGAGTAATCTAGCTGCTGCCCATTGGACTAGTTGGAGTTTCCAAACAGTCTTCAAGGGCAACCCCATGCAGAGCGCATTACAGTAATCTAATTAAGTTCTTTGAATTTCTTACTTTGGGCAAAGTGCAGGCCACATGCAAAGCCCACCCCCTTTATTGCCAAGGGCCTTTTCAGTTAAAAAAATGAGAAAGGATGTATGGTAGTATGGATGGGTAAAGCTATACACAATATAGTGCAGTGTATGCGTACTGGACAAAGCCCGCCTTAATTTGAAGAGTGTTGTGTTGTTGCTACTACCATGTTTACTTCTGCATATGTGTCTGTAAACATCAACAAAATCTTTTTATATGTCTGGGGAGTTAACGAGTACAGCTTGAGTAACTCATTAGTTGAGGTGCCTCAAAATGTACTCTGGAAACAAATACATTTTATTGAGGAAGTATAACAGATTGGCCATTTAACAGATCACTAAGTGGATTGCCCTGGAGAAGGGAAGGGAGATGACAAATGATGCTAACATAGATGCTTTAGTTCCCAGCAGAATAGGCAAGGGAGAGTGGCATTCCAGCACACATCAAACATATGACTATAGAGAGATGGTGGGGAAGATAATACCTTTCCTTTCTTATTTATTGTCTTTAGTATAGAATCAACATCATACTTTCTTGGTATAAAGCCCTATAGGGGGAAAGCTGGGCTATTTGGCAGATCCTATCTCCACATATAAGCTAGCCCAGGCTCTGATATCCTCAGGAGAGGTTTGTCTTTCCATCCCACCACCGTCACAAGCACAATTGGTGAGGGCCTTTGCAGTGACTGCCCCTCGATTCTGGAATTCCCTCTACAGAGAGGCCAGAATGGCCACCTCCCTATTTTCCTCAATCAGCAGGCTACAATGCTTTTATTTAGACAAAGCTTTTAGAGAAGGGACTTAGGGGAATGCTGCACTTTTCAGACTGAACTGCTTTTAGTGGATTTAGAGGGGGATAAATAAAAAGAGTAACTCTGGCTTACAGTAAATTCAGAAAGATGGAAAATGAAGACACGTGGGGTGTGAGACGGGTCTGCTGGGGCAGGTCTATCAAAAGTGAGAGTACAAAAGAAAGTGGGGTTTCAGATTATTTGTTACAGATAACGTTGCTTTCTGAAACTATCTGAAGTTCATTGTTTTGGAGGTACAAGAATTTGCACTCAGCTACAAGTTCTACAACAAAGGACAGTAGTGTTACGATAGGCTCTCTTACTTTCACTGCTCCTTTCTGATTTAATGTCTCTTGTATTTCAGATATAGCCCAACTAAGGAAGAAATTTGAAGAGGACAAGCAGAAAATTGCACTAATGCGCGCTCAGCGGAAGTTTCGGCCATACTGAGTTGCAAAGCTGTTCCTAAAAGAATGGTAGCCACAGGAAAAACTGCAGAGAGGGTTTTATATAGTACAGGAAGTCAGATCTGATATCCCCTTTTTCTTCAATATTTCGTGAACTGTGACAGAGCACCGTGGCCTTCAAGAAATGGCCTTCTTGTTTGATAAAGGCATGCAGTGCTGATAGTTCTGAAATTGATATTTGAGTGCATTAATTCTTATTCATCTAGTGCTTTCCTGCCCACAAAGCATGAGCACTTCAAATACAAATTTCAGATGCTGTAAACACATACCTTTGATTGTAAATACATTTTTATATGTTACAACATAATCTTGGTTTATCTGTCTTAACGACAACAACAATAATCTTTATTTTTGTATCCTTCCACCATCTCCCCAAAGGAACTCGGGGCAGCTTACATGGGGAACAAGCCCAGTCAAACAGAGATTAAAATAAAACTCAGTAAAAATACAAAACATTATAAAAAGAAAGCATCAACAACAACCAGTCGCCAAGCATTGTGGCCATATAATAAACTAAGGGGCGAGGCAGGGCTTGTGCAATACAGCTGCAAGGACAGGGATGATAAAATGCAGGAGCCAGATGATAAGTTTGGGCTAGGAGGGCCAAGTCAATTAGTGCAATACACCTACAGGGGCAGGAACAATGCTAATGTGTGAAAGCCAGATATTAAGTTATGGCTAGAAGGGCCAAAATTATCTAGTGAACTGATTAATCAAAGTACATTGGAACATCCACATTTTTAGGTCTTTACAGAAAGTGGAAAGGATGGGTGACAATTGGATCTCCCTGGAGAGGTGAGTTCCAGAGCTGGGGGGCCACCACCGAGAAGGCCCTCTCCCTTGTCGCCACCAACTGCACTTGTGATGAAAGTGGAAGCGAGAGAAGGGCCTCTCCAGAAGATCTTAGAGCTCGCGCAGGTTCATAGGAGAAGATGAAATTGTGAATATAGGCTGGACCCAAACCATTTAGAGCCTTGTAGATAATAACCTGCATCTTGAATTGGGACAAGACACTTATCGGAAGCCAGTGGAGCTGTTTTCACATGGGGGTTGACAACTCCCTGAACTACTTTGCCACTTTCCCACATTTGCATGTGGTTTGCTGGAAAAGGTCCACAAAACTAGTCCTAAGAAGAGCTGCTCTACACAACTCCAAAAAACTATTAAATGATAACCAAAGCTCATAATCGATTATTGGCAAATTAACAAGCAGTTACTCTGGTTTTTTTTATACATATTCCATCACAGTAAAAATGTTTGCTGTACCATATGGAGGGGATGCACAAATAAGTACCAGAAAACAGACTGAGGGCATGTGGCCCCTATACTTCCGATGTCTGCCCGCTCTTACTTTATAGTTCCCCTTAAAGCAGTTCATGATAACTGGAGGAACAGATGTCCCATTATAGAGACACTGAAGACTTGCCGGCTGTGACAGCACCACCTTTTATTTGATACATTAGCTCAAGGTTCATAAACTGAGCTCATAATCACATTTGGGAATTTGAGATACTGGTGGACATCAGTACGATATAACTGGTATGGGTATTTCCCTTCTCACAAGGATGAAGAAACATTCAGAAATTGGATCTGAATTCTAAAAACCAAGCCACTTATTTGAGCATAAATATAGTAGCATAGAATGATAAATACATGTACAACCTTTCTCAGCTAGGATCACCTCTTCCCAGTTAGTTCTGTACTTCCCCACCACCATAGAGATGTGCCAACCTACCATCACTCTCCTTTGCCAAGTGGAATTTAACTTAAACCAACATGAACAGCAAACACTTTCTCTTTATTGCATTAACTGCTAGTCTATGTAGACCCAAATTGCTTGTTTGCAATGGCAGGAACACTACTAGAAGGTATCTATGAATTGCTTAGTACTCTGCTCACCAGTGATCCCTCTTAAAGTAAGATGCAAAGGAAGAATTGCACTCAACTGAGCAATTTAGTAAGGATAAAACAAAACAAAAAAACTTTCCATGGACCAAAACACCAATAGATTTTTCTGTACAACCTCTCACAGTGTTTATTCCTTCTGTTCTGTTCTGGATTATAAATTTGCCTTGAGACTTTCATTTTCGTTTAAAAAGGTGCTGATGATCCCAGCCACGTATTCAGGCTCATTGAGGTGGATAAAGTGATTCCCAGGGACCTTAACAAACTGAAAATGCTAAAGGCAAAAAGGAATACAGTGAGAAAAGTACAGAAGAGAAAAACAACGAGATATCAGATAATAAACCCATCAGTACTATTATATTTAATGGCCACAAAATCACCTACTTAGCTATGTAACTATCTTAGATAGTTAAGTAGTATCTTCCATCCTGTCATCCACAGACGGCAAAAGTCTGTTGTCCTGTTGACTGACATTTCCACCCCTTACCTTTAGTGACCTCCAGTGGGACAACCACAAGCAGGGCCCCTGTTGCAATTCCCCCTTGCACCAGAGAGTGCTTAGTTGTTTCAGGGAATTCTGGACACTACAGAATTTATATTCTGCCACATAGTTAAGTTCTCTTTGTCACAAATTAAGAGATGATGGGAGAAAAATAATCAATAGAATCAAAATAAAATGCAACAGCTCAGAGAATACAATCATAAACTAGATCTAGATTTTTTTTTATTCATTCATTACATCTCACCTTTTCCCCAGCATTACCTACAACCCTGTGAAGCCTATCACAACATGCATAAAACCCACAAAAATGACTTTTTAAAGTAAGAATGAATTCTAAATCTCATATCCAGCTTCTTGCAATTAAAATGGCGGGATTGACCTAGCTCTATCCTTACATTTTTCTTCCCCTTGATATAAATTTACAAAAATAGTACAGGCTACATAATAATACAGTAGTGTCTCACTTATCCAACATAAACAGCCTGGCAGAAAACTGGATAAGCGAAAATGTTGGATAATAAGGAGGGATTAAGGAAAAGCCTACTAAACATCAAATTACGTTATGATTTTACAAATTAAGCATCAAAACATGCTTTATAACAGTGGTTCTCAATCTGTGGTTCCCCTGATGTTTTGGCCTTCAACTCCCAGAAATCCTAACAGCTAGTAAACTGGCTGGGATTTCTGGGGATTGTAGGCCAAAACACCTGGGGACCCACAAGTTGAGAGCCACTGTTTTATAACAAATCGACAGAAAAAGCTGTTCAATACATGGTAACATTATGTAGTAATTACTATATTTACAAATTTAACACCAAAACATCGCAATGTATTGAAACAGATGTGGATTCGGGCAGGAGGCAGACTGAGTTGGATAATACAGAATGTTGGATGAGCGAAGGTTGGATAAGTGAGACCATTCATAATTGTGGTATCCTCGAAACTCCTCTGTTCTTCAAGGCTTCTACTCACCTGTTTGTATGAGGCTCTGTATGCTTCCAAAACTATCGCTATAAGATGAGAATGATTGGATCCAATTCTAAACATCCCATCTTCTGTTCTAGAAAGAAAAATTGAAAGCTTTAGAGGTTTGTGGCTTTGAGTAAGAACAGAAATTATAATTACGTTAAGATGTTTGAGAGGTCAGTTGTGTAGCTCTTGTTACATTCGAGGGAAGCCTATATTTAGTCTTCCAACGGGCATTACCGATGGACACAAGAGATTGGTGGAATATGGGGCCAGATTGTTACTAGGAAACCATAATGATGAGCGATTCAACATTAATTTCATGACCTTTAATATCCTTCTACAATGAAGTAACTATCATTCAGTAACTATCATATCATTCTTGGGACAGACAAGTGAAGTGCAACATATCCTTTCTTTTAAGTCAGAAGAGCAACAAATGTCAAGTACCCTATTTCATTGCATAACAGTTGCACATTTTATCTTTTTTTTTTTTTGCCAAACAATGAGGGTGCAACTATTACACGATGGGAAAAATTGTGCCAGTTTTATGAACCAATACAATCATTTATTATTAAACTGCTGTTAAAAACAAATTGAAAAAATTTATAAGAGGGTCTAAAAAAACACATTTACATATTTCCACTTACTCATTTGCCCACCTTACACCATTTCAGGCACGGCTGGCACTTCATTCACTCACATATGCTCTTATTTGCCTTTCAGGCATGGTGCCTCATGTGGCTGAATGAAGCATCATGCCTGAAAGAAGATTAGTGAGTGAATGAGCTAATAATAATAATAATAATAATAATAATAATAATAATAATACACTTTATTTATATTCTGCCCTTCTCCACTAGGGAACTCAGAGTGGATTACAGCATTTACATATACAGGCAAATATTTCATGCCTTTGCAGTCATATACAATGAAGACACACAAACAAAGGCAAAGGCTTCTTTCATTTCCAGCTTCTGGAAGCAGTGCTCATCTCTGGCTCTGAGGAGATGTTTTTTTCTCTACTTTCAATCTGAGGAACCTGCGTTGTCACTTTCTGGTTGTGTGGTCGGCAAGATTGCTTGGAGTATCTCTGCCTTTTCCCACCAAAGTGGTACCTATTTATCTACTCACGTTTGCATGTTTTTGAACTGATAGGTTGGCAGGAACTGAGCTGACAGTCGGAAGATCACCCCGTCTCGTGGATTCGAACTGCCAACCTTTAGGTCAGCGGTTCAGCCACCCTTCAGGTCAGCAGTTCAGTAGCACAAGGGTTTAACCCATTGCGCCACTGAGGCTCCCAAGTGCCAGTAAAGGTGTTTAGGGCAGAAAGGCACAAGGAAGGGAAGCCTAGCTGCTAGTATACTGTTTACAGAGGGGAAGGCCATCTTCCTCCATACCATGTGCTAGTTGTCTCACCTGCCAAGAGTACACTGGGCTGATAAATCAAGGATGCGAATATTATGAGAGGAACACAAAAATACTAACTTTGTGAATGTTAGTGAAATATGGCATATGTCACTTACAAGATTATCAGTACATCAGCCTGGATTTTTTTCACGTAAGTCACTTGATGTTGGAAAGGTGTAGAAGAGCTGATATGCTATATGTGAAAGATAAAATGGCAGACCAGCAAGTGAAACATGATAAAAACAGTGAATCCATTTTTCTATCTTATGGGAATACTCGTACATCTAACCCAGTGCTTCACAGATTGTGTCTCCTTTGCTTGGTACACTGGCTGGAAAAGTCAGTTAATGCTGACTCTTCTCACTAAGTCCACAGAATGTAGTATTTCAAAGATTTAGCTAGTTCAGTGATTTTAGGAAAGAAGCAAGCAGGGGGTGGAAAATGAGAAAGAAAACATTAAGTGGCTTTGGATAAGTCTATTACAAAATACCATAGATATCTGCTAGGAGAAGTAGTAAAGAATCCACCGCATCCCAGCACACACTATTGCATATATGACAAATGGGAACTGCCAGGTGACCAGCAACACCTGAAGCCACACTGGCTTTCCTCACCCTCTACTGCAAGAGATAAAGGTGGAAAAGAAGGATTTGGCAGAGATGGGAAATTTGTTCAAATTGACCCAACATGGTTCCTCTATCATACATACAGGTGCACGTATTTCAGACTCTTGAACTTCCCCAAACGTCATTTAGTGGTGGTGGTGGGAGGGGGGGGGGAGATGTGTTGAAACATTTGTGATATTTCATAACAAGGGGCAGCCCTCCCTCCACCCACTCCATGCCTGTTAGGGAAGACTCCCAAAAATACAGCAGAGCATCCAAAAATACAAACAAGATACTTATAGTTGAGCATTCAGCTCACAGCAAGCAAAGCGTGAAGTGTTGTGGCTAGAAAATAATTAGAGCTTAGGAAGCAAAGATGCCAAATTCAATCTTTAAAGTTACAAAATGTTTATTTACAAAGATAATAACTACATTTCTTTATAGTAAAGAACTGGGTCGGAGCTACTCTCTAACTCCATCTCAAAAGAGAAGGGAAAATCCACGAGCACTATATCTCTCCTGACACACACAAGCAGAGATAGAGCTCAATACAATAAGATGTAAAAAGCAGAAGTCTGAAACAAAGGCATGCACCTGAAAAGTATCTATTCTACATAACCAATCAGAAAGAGCAGAAAGAGAGAGAAGAGAACAAATCAATATAGAGTGTTTCCTCACTTATTGCAGGTCTTACGTTCCAGGACCACCTGAAATAAGTGAAATTCCGCAAAGTAGGGACACTATACAGTATATGTACAGTATACATACATATATGTATGTCTCCCATCCACCCTCCTTCTGGAAGATGGACACTCTATCTCTCAATTAATCTCTCTCTCTCTCTTTGGAGTGTGTGCCCACTGTTCCTTCCAGGCGGGGGTAAAAAAGAGGAAAAGAGGAGAAAGAAAAAGAGAGAGATTTATCCCCGGCTGACGCTGATCTCGAGCTGGGATTGAAAGCTGTCTGAGCGCTGCTTTCCCTCCACCTCAAGCTCGTGCCCAGCCTGTATTCCAACTGTTATTCAGAAGGCCGGGGATTCCCTCAGCCTGTTTCTAAGCGAACACTGTTCTTCATTGAGGACTGCAGACTTGGGGTTGAATTCTAACACTTTCATCCTGAAAAAGGGCTTTGCAAAAATGAAATGGACTTCTGGTTTTGTTTCAGGAGCCTGATGCAGCCCATTGCAGGGGTAGGAAACTGTCTCCTGGTCTCCCAGTGCCCTGCTCACGCTGACTTCAAATAATAACTTGCCTTCAGGCTGAGAAAGGCGGTATATAAATACAGTAAATAAATAAATACACAAGGATTAAAAAATACACTTACCGAGGTGGCTCTTATGTCTCTGTTATAGACCAAACCTGTTGGAAAAGAGGAATTACATCTCAAATTATGAGAAAACTGACCTGAAGGAAAGTTTGTTTAATAAGGAAATTTTAAATAGTAAACGGGAAACTAGACTAAAAGTTAAAAGCCTAACATCTGGAAGGGAAAAAAAACCCACTTTAGCCAATGTAGCAGATCAACAGATCCAAAGCAAAACTTGGAAAAGTACTTCCTTTGGACTACAATTCCCAGAAACTCCATCCACCAACCAAACCTTTGAGAGTAGTCCATATTTTTTTCTAAGCCTTAGGCAGAGTCAAATCTGACACTGGAATTAATGGAAATCTCAGGCTGGGCTTTTATAAACTTGCTATTCAGGATATTTTAATTACAAGAGGCAGGCTTAAACTTGGGATCTCCTAGATATGAAGTAGATTCCATTGTCAGTTTAGCTCTTGCCTGGCTCAAAACAGACACCTCACTGCAGCAATGTCTTACCTCCTGGCACTTTGGTAGCTCCTCGCTCCAGCAATATCCTCCCACTTTCTTCCGTGAGGTGACTGTTTGCCTCTAGCAACCTAGGAAAGTCAAAAGCAAACAAGACTAGGTTGTTGTAGGTTTTTTCGGGCTATATGGCCATGTTCTAGAGGCATTTTCTCCTGACGTTTCACCTGCATCTGTGGCAAGCATCCGCAGGCCAAGGTCTTTCGGCACTGCATCCAGTGTGCCGATCACTACTGGGGCTACCTTTACTGGTTTGTGCCAGAGTCGTATTATTATTATTATTATTATTATTATTATTATTATTATTATTATTATTATAAAAGGGAGGAGGAATTTGTGATAGACTAGTTTCATGAAGTACAATTTTCAAAACCCTTGTGCCTCCTGCAGAACAGGTGAATATTCAAAACAGCATATCCAACCACTTAGTTTAATGCAACATTCCCAGATAAAACTTGATACACTGGCTATTGAAGCATCCAGGAAGGGCACTCACCTCTGAAGGGCCTCTTCAGAGCTGCGCACTTTGGGAGATTGATGTTGCTTGGCTTCAATATTCAGCTGATTCTCAAGGACTGCCCGGGTGTCAGTTAGACATTTCTCCCATTTCTATAAGGAGAAGACATTATTCGTTTTCTGTTGCCTCTTGGACGCAATACTTTTCACAAAGTCACTATCCAGGATAATTATCCTTTCCTTCCCTGATAAACTGAAAATGCAGCTTTTATCTTTGTTCTGGTTTGGGACAGATCCGCTCAGATTTTTGAGGAGTATCAGTCCCGCCCAGATTTTCTGGTTTGTGCATCAGCCACAACCAATAATAAGGGATTACAACTGCGGCCCCCAAAATCCTGTCAACTACAGTTGCCTTCAACACTTGAGATTACCTGTTCAATTATATTTGCACCACATCACGGAATCACGCAAGGCACCTGGATTGAAAAAACAGACTAGGGCAGGGGTGGTCCAACTATGGGCCTTCCTCTCACCCTTGTTTATACTGATGAGAGTTGGGTTAATAAATGCACAGTTAAGTGTCTATGAATGGAGGAGGAGAAATTGTGTGGTTTTGATAGATTTTGGGTATTGGCAGTGCTTGGGATTTATTTCCCTTTTCATTTGGGAAATATACACAGATTTTAAATGTGTATTGTGCGATTGTTAATGTTTAAGTTACTCTGTGTATGAGATTTGTTTTAATTGCTTTGTATTGCTGTTATTGCTTGTATTGTTGTATTGTGGGCTCGGCCCATGTAAGCCACACCGAGTCCCTTGGGGAGATGGTAGCGGGGTATAAATAAAGTTTTATTATTATTATTATTATTATTATTAAATGTGATATTTTGTTGGAAATTAAAATCATAGTTTCAAAGGAGTGTGTTTTTATTGCGGGTCTCAGGTCTCACCTTGGCCTTATACTCAGAAACCTGATCGAGTTACCCATTTATGATTTCCATCAGTTTGCTTTTCTGAGAAATACATGTTTTCACATGGTTGATTACTTTTCATTATAATGGTGGTCTTTTAGCCTTGTCAATACCTAAACTGGTTTTCCCTCTGCTGTGCAATATGTTTTTAAACCCAGTACAATTTTTTATCTGTGTATTTATTTATTGTGAAATTGTTTTGGAATTTTTTTTATGATTATTGGTTACATGTAATGTCTTGTCTTTTTGGTTTCTGTTTATGTCTGTATTGTGACTTGATTCTGTTGTGAGCTGCCCCAAGTCCTTGTAGAGAGAGGGTGGAATATAAATAAAGATTATGATGATTTATTTATTTATTTACCACATTTTTATCCCGCCCTTTTCTGCCTGCAGGCGACTCAGGGCAGCGTACAGATTGGCAATAATTAAATGCCACAGCATATATACATACATATCAATTAAAAACAGTTAAATCACATAATAAAAATACATATCAAACTATGATTATTATTATTATTATTATTATTATTATTATTATTATTATTCCAGTAAATGTTTTGTTAGGCCATAACTTATGTTAGTCATTTTATGATTCCACCTTCTCCGAGTTTTATTACTATGCCAACAATATCTTCACTCTTTTACACCCAAAACAGATTAACATTGATAAGATAATAATATCATCACATCCGAACTTATTCTAATTGGGAATTCTGGCTGATGGAAACCAGGATCTTCACACCAAAGGAAGTAAGTAACTATGGATGAGAAACAATATTTTCTTCATAAGCTATAAAGTCTTGAACATCATCCTAACCAAAACAGAAAAACCAAGGAATAATTGATTAAGACTATTTGGTTCCATACGAAGAGTTGGAACTGAATAGACTACAGTGCTTAATGCTAAGACACCTTAAGCTCTAAATGTGACAAGGCATCTCTAGGATTGAGAGCCTGGTTTGTATTTCCTAAACATTTCTAGGCCTCTCTCCTAACCTTGACAACAACAGAGTCAACAAACACAAATAAAGCATTTTTATGGGGGGAAATCCTATCCGCTTAGGAAATATAGAATACTAATTTCAGCCTTTTTGTTGTGCACAAGAAATAAATATTTGACATCTCTCCTTAATAATGGTAGGAAAAGATACCTATCCTGGAACAAAAGGAGCATTAACTAGATTAAGTGGTTGGGACAAATGGCCAGAAGTCTACATAGTAAACCGAAGTCCCATGCAAAGTAGTTCACACAAATACCATGCCGTGCAGAGATTGATCTATACTGCTTTGAGTCCCCTTCAGCAGAGATAAAGCAGGGTATAAATATAAATATAATAATAATAGACACTTGGGACGTGTCTGACGTGTGATCCAATTCAACAGCCAGCAGGGTGTCTGCTGTGGACTCATCTTGTTGTGTTTCAAATAATAATAATAGTTATAGCAGTAATAAAAAAAAAGGTAAAGGTTATCCCCTGACATTAAGTCTAGTTGTGTCTGGCTCTGGGGGTTGGTGCTCATCTCCATTTCTAAGTTGAAGAGCCGGCGTTGCCCATAGACACCTCCAAGGTCATGTGGCTGGCATGACTGCATGAAGCACCATTACCTTCCCGCAGGAGTGGTACCTATTGATCTACTCACATTTGCATGTTTTCGAACTGCTAGGTTGGCAGAAGCTGGGGCTGACAGTGGAAGCTCACACCAAGCTTACACCACTGCCCGGATTGAAACCTGTAACCTTTCGGTCAACAAGCTCAGTAGCTCCGTGATTTAACCCACTGCGCCACCGGGATAAATATAATAATAATAAGAAGAAGAACAATAATAATAATACAGCCACTCATATAATATCAGTCCTTGCTGTCAACATGGGGATGAGTAGGTATTGATTGCACTTTAGTCTTATTAGTCTAATGAGTCAGGAGTAGGCTTCAGAATACAACCTGAGCTCTTGGGTTAAAGCCAAGCGACTCCACCAGGATCAACTTGTCCACCATTTCAGGGAAAATATATGAGAACTAAGAAGGAGAAAAAGGTAGAGAAAAAGAGACAAAGTTAGATTCCTTTATTGCAGGCACAAATGTCATTTCATAGAATCACAGAGTCGGAAGAGACCTCATGGGCCATCCAGTCCAACCCCCTTGCCAAGAAGCAGGACAATCACATTCAAAGCAACCCCAACAGATGGCCATCCAGCCTCTGTTTAAAAGCCTCCATAGAAGGAGCCTCCACCACACTTCGGGGCAGAGAGTTTCACTGCTGAACAGCTCTCACAGTTAGGAAGTTCTTCCTCATGTTCAGGTGGAATCTCCTTTCCTATAGTTTGAAGCCATTGTTCTGCATCCTAGTCTACAGGGAAGCAGAAAATAAGCCTGCTCCCTCCTCCCTGTGGCTTCCCCTCACATATTTATACATGGTTATCATGTCTCCTCTCAGCCTTCTCTTCTGCAGGCTAAACATGCTGCTCCTCATAGGGCTTGTTTTCCAGACCCTTGATCATTTTAGTCACCCTCCTCTGGACACATTTCAGCTTGTCAATATCTCTCTGCAATTGTGGTGCCCAGAATTGGCGACAGTATTCCAGATGTGGTCTAACCAAGGCAGAATAGTGGGGTAGTATTACTTCCCTGGATCTAGGCACTATACTCCTATTTATGTAGGCCAAAATCCCATTGGCTTTTTTTGCCGCCGCATGACATTGTTGGGTCATGTTTAACTTGTTGTCCACAAGGACTCCAAGATCTGTTTCACATGAACTGCTTTCAAGACAGGCATCGTCCCCCATTCTATATCTTTGCATTTAATTTTTTCTGCCTAAGTGGGGTATCTTGTATTTGCTCCCGTCTTCTGGGGTACTGGGTATTCCTCCCAATTTGATGTTGTCTGCAAACTTGATGATCATGCCTTCTAACCCTTCATCTAAGTCAATAATAAAGATGTTGAACAGGGCCGGTCCCAGGACGGAACCCTGCTTATGGCATTCACTAGTCACTTCTTTCTAGGATGAAGAGGAAGCATTGGTGAACACCCTCTGGGTTCATTCATTTAACCAATTACAGATCCACCTAACTGTAGTTTTGCCTAGCCCACATTTGACTAGTATGTTTGCCAGAAGGTCATGGGGGAACTTGTCGAAGGCCTTACTGAAATCCAGATATGCTACATCCACATTCCCCGGAACTACCCAGCTTGTAACTCTATCAAAAAAGAGATCGGATTAGTCTGGCATGATTTGTTTTTGATAAGTGATGTCCATCACTTCTGCTTCCTAGATGGACAATTCCTATTCCCTCTTTTATCAGCTTCATAAAGAAATTATATTCCAAGGAGAAAAGACATTCCTAAAACAATACCCTATGAAGAATGATACTTACCACACATGCAACGGTTCCACCTATATAAAGGAAAAGGAAGTGGGTGAACATTTACCCAGAACCAAGACCCCTGCCGGTATAACTAACTCAGATAGTAGTGGTCTCCTTTGTGGACCTATCTTTAGCAATCAGCCCACAGAAGAGAGCCTCAGGTATTGTAATTACAGCTTAGAAAAATCACTTTTCTACAGGATTTCAGCAGCTCTACTCAAAAAAAGTATCTTTCCAAACTGCTTGTAACAGACGGATATTTTTGGGGGATATTAAAAACCTATTTTGATGTTGCTTGTTAAGGTGCCTTGGATTGACTGGCATTTTATGGGTGGAAAGTGGAATTGTAACAAAATAAGCCAATAATACTATAATAGATCTAGCGTAGGGAGAAACGAAGGAAATAAATCAAATCAAATCAAATCAGCCAACAAACCACACACCTCTCCAAAGAGTAGAAACCAATCAAATATGAGATAATAGCATCAGGGTTCTATGTTTTTTCAACTAGATGAACAAATGAGAGAATCATTTTGCACTTGTGGGGAAAAAAATCTGAAATGACTTGAACAAGAAATCAATGGAAATTAATCATTTGCTACAGCATTTAAAAAAAAACATCAAGCAGTTTGAGGGGAAAGGATCACTTACCCAAACTGTGACCGAGCAGGCTAAATCGACTCAATTTCAGTGCTAAAATAGAAAAACGTAAGAGAATTTAATAGTTTTTGTTAAGAGATGATAATACGAGTTTTCATAAGCTGCACTTTTTTTTTCATGTCAGGAGCAACTTGAGAAACTGCAAGTTGCTTCTGGCGTGAATGAATTGGCCGTCTGCAAGGACGTTGCCCAGGGGATGTTTACCATCTTTGTAGGGGGCTTCTCTCATGTCCCTGCATGGGGAGCTGGAGCTGACAGAGGGAGTTCAACCTGCCCTCTCCGGATTCGAACCACAGACCTGTCAATCAGCAATCCTGCTGGCACAAGGGTTTAATCCATATGCAACAAGGCAAGATAACCCAAATGCTGGAGCCCCCAGTGGCACAATGGGTTAACCTTGTGCTAGCAGGACTGCTGACTGAAAATTTGATGGTTCAAAGCCAGAGAGCGAGGTGAGCTCCCATTTGTCAGCTTCAGCTTCTCAGGTGGAAACATGAGAAAAGCTCCCCCACAGAATGATAAAATATCCGGGCGTCTCCTGGGCATCATCCTTGCAGATGATCAATTCTCTCACACCAGAAGCAACTTGCAGTTTCTCAGGTTGCTCCTGACACGAAAAAAACACTGAATGCTAATGTTTACCCGCACAACTCCCAGACCTCCCAGGCAACTTGCTCATTCTGCAAACTATTATTCATGATCTATCCCAGACTTTAGCCTGCCACACCTAAAAGGAAACTCTTCATGTCACTCAAAAAGAAAGTATGACAGGGAACACCATCTCTGGAAAAGAAACTGGTGACTGAAAGGGTGCTTAATGCTCTCTTCAACCCAGTGCTTTCAAACTCAGCTGCTGAAGCACTATAGTGGAAAGGAAGCAGATGGGCGCATGGGAGGTGAGTGACTGAAGCACTGTAGCTGTAAAGAGTGGATGAAACTGTTGTTTGTGTAGTGCAGCAAGACGCACGGAGAGGGAGCCCTAGCTAGACAGTTTACAGCACTCTTGACTATGGAACCACCATTCATCTTCTATAGCAGACAATGATTCCTGGAGCCAATGTCCATGAACTCACTCTACAAAATGAAATTTAGGCCAGAGAGCTGGCTACACAGAAAATAATGCACTAGTCAACATATCCAATGAAGAGGAATGCTAAAAATGGGTAGGCAAGTTATTTATTATTTATTTATTTAAAGCATTTATATTCCGCCCTTCTCACCCCAAAGGGGCACAACATATAAATGGCAAACATTCAATGCCGAAACATACTAGACATACTAGACATACGAAAACATTAAAATTACTTCTCTTGACGTTAAAATCCTCTGTTTAAAACTGTCTCAAACAACCATATTGAATCTGGTTGGCATACTAAGAGTTTCTATTGCTGCCTCATTACATTGGGGAAGGCACAACCCAAAGGCTCAGTCCCACAACCAAGTTTTTAACCATTCTTCTGAAGAACAGGAGAGAGGGGGCTGATCTGATCTCACCAGGAAGGGAGTTCCATAGCTGGGGGGGGGGGGGAATCACCGAGAAGGCCCCCACCAATCACGCCTGAGACAATGGCAAGACAGAGAGCAGGGCCTCCCCGGAAGATCTTAATTTCTTCAATAGTTCGTAGAGGGAGATGCATTCGGACAGGTAAGTTCACAAATCCATCTCTGGTTTACAGCCAATAAAAATATCACTTCTTATACCCATTATGCACTCAGTTCAGCTTTGAATGTATTTTAATGTAGGAAGGACAAATTAAAACATGGGCTAAACATTTTTGAATCTGCGAACCCCACCTCCTCCAAGATGAACTGAACCACCTCAACTGGGCTCTCCAGGCCAATGGATACTCCACCTCAGACATCAGAAGAGCTGCAAGACCAAGAACAAGCCACGAGAGTAAAGATGAAGATCCACCCAAAGGAAAAGTGTTCCTGCCATACATCAAGGGAACCACTGACCGCATAGGGAAGCTGATGAGGAAACACAACATACAAACAATCTACAAACCCACCAAGAAAATCCAACAAATGCTACGTTCAGCAAAGGACAAGAGGGATACTCTCACCTCTGCAGGAGTCTACCGTATACCATGCAGCTGTGGACAAGTCTACATAGGGACCACCAAACGCAGCACCAAACACGAATCAAGGAACATGAAAGGCACTGCAGACTACTTCAACCAGAGAAGTCAGCCATAGCAGAGCACCTGATGAACCAGCCTAGACACAGCATATTATTTGAGAACACAGAAATGCTGGACCACACCAACAACCACCATGTCAGACTACACAGAGAAGCCATTGAAATCCACAAGCATGTGGACAATTTCAACAGAAAGGAAGAGACCATGAAAATGAACAAAATCTGGCTACCAGTATTAAAAAAAACTCTAAAATTACAACAGCAAAACAGCAGAGAGGAAACAACCAGGCACAGGTTAACACCTCTCAACAGGGAATTTTCCCAGGCTCAGCCAGGCCTTCAAATGCTAATGAAGGTGGTCAGTAGAAACATTCACACCTACCTCTAGCAGGGAAGAGCTCCTTGCCCCACCCCAGCCATTCCACAGATATATAAACCCATTGTCCTAATTCCAACAGACCTCACTACCTCTGAGGATGCTTGCCATAGATGCAGGCGAAACGTCAGGAGAAATACCTCTAGAACATGGCCCTATAGCCCGAAAAAACCCACAAGAACCTAAACATTTTTGTGTTTAGATTTAAAAGTAGGTAAAAGAAACTAAGATCGAGAGGAACTAGGAGGCTAATACCTTGCTGCTTTGGTCTGAAGGTGAGTGAGAACCTCTCTGACTAAAGCCAGAACTAATATATCATATTTTACCGAATCTAAGAGGTCATTGAATGTAAGATATGCCCCCCCCCCGAAATTCTCAGGGTGGTCTGCGAGAAGGCCTTACTGGTACATTATTTAAACTGTTATGTTTATTCATATCATGATCTGATCACCATGCTCAATATATCCCATATGCATGGGGGTATTGGGGTAACGATACAAAAGGTTTGCTAGGGTAGATCCTCAGACCCCCTCCCCCAAATCAAACTCACCCCCCCCCCCCCAAATCAAACTCAGCACCCCCTGAATCAAAATCCTGGCTACGGGCCTGTGCACAATATGATTTTCTTTTCAGTTTCATTGCACTTTGTACTGCAATCATTCCTGTGGAATGAGGAGGGCATATGAAGAACCCTGCAGGCCATCTGTCTGCATTAGTCTATACAGTATTAAGTCTATGGGCCTGTTGGGGAAGCAGCAGAAATAGGAAGCTGCATGTAGCAAAAACACTGGTAAACATTCACCCTCCTGAGGCTAAGAACAAAATTGTGGGGGCATGGCAGCCGTTTTGGGCTTGGGGCTTTCCTCCTCCTCTCTTGGAAGTAAGGCAGTTTTGCAAAAAGACCTCAAAACAATAACAACAACCAGTGATTCTCAGGCTCACTGAAGTCCCTTAAACAGGAAAAAGTATGCCTTACAATTGAGGAAATACAGTTGATTCTGAACAATAGTATAACAGACATTTCACATGCTCACCTACTGCTACTCTATGCACATCACCCATGTAGTCTTCTAGGTGGTACGGATACCCAGCTGGCCGGTGGGAGGACAGGCCATGGCCTGCAAAATCTATTGCTATGTAATGGCAATCTGAAAGAGAACAACAGGAAGAGGATCAACTCAAATATCAGCCCACATTTTGTTGGAACAGAAGTCAGTTTTTATTCATAGATTACAGTATAAAGTAATGACTGACCTATATACTCATGTAGAAGTCTAGAAATTTTGTGCAAAAAAACTAATCCAAGAAATTTGGATCAACTTATCCACAGGTCAATATGAGTACTGTACCTTGATTCTTATCCAAAAAAGGAACCATCCTCTTCTCTGAATAGAGTGGCAAAGGGCAAGAGCTTAGTCTGTCCTGGGCAAACCTAAAAAAAGCACCACATTCACCTATAATTTCTCTAACACCGACCCACTTCTGTCCTTTTTGAATGGTTTGGTGGAGGAATGGCAACTGGGGACAGCTGGCTCTCTGAAATGGCATTGGTGCTTTCCTCTCTCTCTGCATAATACCCATATTTCAGTGCATAATAATCAACCTTGCATAATAGTCACCCCCTCCTTTTGAGGAAGGCACAATGTATAATAGTCACCCCTGCATAACAGTCGCACCCTCCTTTTGGGGAAGGCACAACGCATAATAGTCATCCCTGCCTAATAGTTTCACCCTCCTTTTGAGGAAGGCACAACGCATAATAGTCATCCCTGCCTAATAGTTTCACCCTCCTTTTGGGGAAGGCACAACACATAATAATCACCCCCTCCTTTTGGGGAAGACACAACGCATAATGCTCACCCCTACATAATAGTCGCACCCTCCTTTTAGGAAGGCACAACACATAAGTCACCCCTGCATAATAGTCACACTCTTTTTTTGGGAAAGGCATAACACATAATAGGGACCCTTGCATAATATTTGCACCCTCCTTCTGAGGAAGGTAGAATTCATAATAGTCACCCCTGCATAACAGTTGCACCCTCCTTTTGAGGAAGGCAAAATGGAACTTCCCCACATAATAGTTGTTTGCTTAGTTCACTTGCTTGAGCAAATGAACTAAGGGTGTGAGTGACCTCTGCAAAATAATCCTTCACTTCTCCAGGGATCATATCGAAAGCTGTAATTTTGGCCCAAAAACCTGCCCTTGACTTACACATGAGGCTGACTTATGTATAAGTTAGCCTCATTTGCAAGTCAAGGGGGGGGGGGGTGTTGGGCCAAAATTTACAGTACATATAAGGTAATGAAAAGAATCCCACCTTTTGGGAGTAAGGGAATTAGCTTGTCGAAAGTGTTTGCATTGTCCAGCCAACCATGCAAACAAAGGACGGGTCGGCCTTGGGGAGACCCCCACGCCTTGGCCGCAATGTGGCCCCAGGGGACCAGGAACCTCATCTCTGAGGCCAAGCCTGAAAGGAAAGAAAAACAACACCCTGAGAACCTTGAACTATTCTGGTCTTCCAAGAGCCACCATGTGGTGTTGTGTCCGGTAATGAACTGGATTCACACTTGATCCAAAAATTCAATCCTGTCACTTCCTTTCAAGTTATCCCCACAGATACACAGACAATTCAAGAAATAGATGCCAGCAAAAGTAGGATAGCTGGGACCCTACACATAGCTGGAAACCATACACTGGTTGCACAACACGCATCAGAATTAATGAAAGGGAGTCCCCTTGGACTGCTCCCAGCTTCTAGGGCTGTTTTCTTCAAAGGGCGGAAAGTGTGCTGGCAGCCAGGGAAGGTTTTTACAAGGCCCTAGTGCAAACAGAGTGGCAGGAACCGGATCCCCCCCCCTTCTTGTACTTTCTCCCCACCCACTTTCTCCTCACCCGCCAGGGCTCTGGGAGGGAAGGAGGTGTGAATTGTAGACCCAGCGTAGGGTCCCAGCTATCATACTTTTGCCTAGATGCATCCTTCCTCACAACACTCATGAAAACAATAGGGATTTTTTTCTAAGCATACCTTTAAATGCTGTCTGTTTTTCTGATCAGAATGGTCCACAAGACTCGTGGACCAACAATGATTCCATCAATCAATTATTTTTCTTTTACACTTTGTATATTTTTTCAAAATGTTTTAAAAAATCATCCAATCGAACTACAAAACAATGACTTCAGTACAAGATAAATATATTGCCTATTGTTCAAAACCACTCCTAAAATTCAGAAAATTCGTTTGAGCAACATCCAGTCTTATATCATTTTATGGGTTTTGACTATGAAGTAAATGGTGTCGACACTCAATTTACTACATGGATATTGGTAGATGTTGGAAAAAATGTAGTTTCTGGTTGCTGAAGAATTTCTATTAAATATAGGGCTAACAAATACTATACCATACTATACATACCACATACTCGGTATTGATTTGATATTAATATTAAAATACAGTAATTAAAAGTAAATTAAGATACATATATAAGCACAAATTTAACAATATAACACCATTTTACATTTCTGCTAAATTTGATTTTATTGCAAGGCTTTTAAAAAGTATTATTTCTTTGATTTTTTTGCCAGTTGATTGAGTTTTATTTAACTGAGAGTTGACTACATTTCCAAAAATATATCATTCCCTCCACATCTAGCTCAAGGGAAAATACTTGAGCTAGACAAACAAGAAAAAGGACATAACCAATCCTGAATTTTCCTTTCTATAAGTTGCTTGGGAACATTCTTCTACCTCTCAAGTCGTCCATATCAGCCATAATTGCATTCTGGGACACTGCTTCTGCATACACAAAGTGTTGTAAGGCAGGAGGAGTAACTTTGACCTGGAAGTATCATTGGCTTGTGTTTTATCAAGGAACAGGATTGTTTTGTTTTCTTACAGGTGTGATCATTCTAATTCTCCAGTTTACAGGTGACATAGATTGAGATTTGGTTTCACTAGGGATGTCTCATGAAATTAAAGGCAGTCTTTATTGTTGGTAGAAGAAGGAAGTTCAGGTTGCATCTCCACTGCCCTATAATCCAGTTTCAGAGTGTGGATTAACTGCACTGATCTGCATTATAGGATAGTGTAGATCCAACCTTAGCTGGTGGTGTCATGCAAACAAGACTCTTTTACAAACCCATTAAAGGGGATAGGAGCTCTTCAATTTTCCAAGCCCTGTAACAAAGTTATTTCATTTAGTGGGTTACTGTAAGTTTTCCACACATGTCCCAGAAGCATTCTCTCCTGACGTTTTGCCTGCATCTATGGCAGGCATCCTCAGAGGATGTGAGGTGTGTTAGAAACTAGAATGACTCAAGTGATGTTTATATATCTGTGGACGGTCCAGGGTGGGAGAAAGAACTCTTGTCTATTTGAGGCAAGTGTGAATGTTGCAATTGGCCACCTTGATTAGCACTGTATGGCTTTGCAGCTTCAAAGACTGGCTGCTTCCTGCCTGGGGAAATATTTTGTTGAGAGGTGTTAGCTGGCCCTGATTGTTTCATGTCAGGAATTCCCCTGTTTTTTGTTTATTTTTTTTAGTATTTATTTACTTTCCTGAGTTTTTCATTTTCATGGTTTCTTCCTTTCTGTTGAAATTGTCCACATGCTTGTGGATTTCAATGGCTTCTCTGTGTAGTCCAACGTGGTGGTTGTTGGAGTAATCCAGCATTTCTGTGTTCTCAAATAATATGCTGTGTCCAGGTTGGTTCATGAAGTGCTCTTCTGTAGCTGACTTCTCTTTGAGGAACACCAAAAAATAGGAGAATTCCTGACATGAAACAATCAGAGCCAGCTAACACCACTGAACAAATGATGCCACCTCAGGCTGGACGCAGTCAGTCTTTGAAGCTGCAAAGCCATTAAATGCTAATCCAAAGTGGCCAGTCACAACATTCACACTTGCCTCAAACAGACAAGAGTTCTTTCTCCCACGCTGGACACTATTCTACAGATATATATGTTACAGTAAGTTGTAAAAGGATCAACACCAAGTGTGTGTGTTAAAGAAAACCTTATACTGTTGATCATTATGTGCAGCTGCTAATCTAGGTCAGCTAGTAAATATGAGCCACACCTGGTGGGGTATAACTATATGTGTTTTAGAATACAGTTTATCTTTTGCTCTGAGGAGCTTATGCTCACAGCATTTTGCTCAACCATTTGCGCTGCTCATTTGAAGGAAGATGAAGAAGCCATGCTCTTTGCATTCTGTAATTCTTACAAAAACTATGTAAGTTTGTTGCACTGTATATTTTGTATGCAACACTGCAAGTTTTGATTTGACTCTGCTGACAAGAGTAATGTTTTTCTGTTCTTTTCTCTCTTTGTGCAAAATTACCTTTTGCATTGGACCAGATTAAATTCTGCTTAAGCATAACAATATAAACCTCATTTATTCTAGTTTCCAACAGACCTCACAACCTCTGAAGATCCCTGCCATAAATGTGGTAGAAATGTCAGGAGAGATATGGGGCCATGCTGGGGGGAAAAGGAATGTAGCCTAACCCCTTCTTCTTTTTCTTAAATCCTTTTTAATGAGTGCCAGGCTCCAAACTTCATGTCAAGTTATCCTTCTCACCTCCCAGTCCTATATAGTTAGAGATGAGGCAAGCATGCACCATACCATCTATGCCTATGTCCAAAGGCAGGCATGATTCCTCCGAGCCTAGTCTTGCATGCTTATTTATTTGTATACTTATATACCGCAATATCTCAGCCTACAASGGCGACTCATTGCGGTTAACAGTACTTAAAAACAACAATAATCAATTAAAAGCATAAAAACATATACATATATATATATATATGTATATGTTTCCTTTTCTCTGGGACCAAGGTCCTAGTTCAGACTCTTGGGGCAATGCCTTTTCCCTCCCTTCAAACTAGGTCATTTTAACACAATTCAAATTGCTCGGTGCAATAGAGAAAGCCAAGCCACCTGAGTGTTAACCCTGCTTAAGAAGATCCTATGAAGCCCACAGTTCATAGGCGACTTGAAGGCACAGACCCATGCCCTCCCCCACCAACGCTCCTCCCCCACCAACGCTCCATCCGCAAGCTGCAGCTAGCAGATCTCGCCTTGGGAGTGTTGGTGGGGGAGGGCATGGGTCTGTGCCTTCAAGTCGCCCGTCAATTCATGGCTTTCCCAAGGCAAGAAATCCCCCTTTTCCCCCGCGTCCATTCAACAAGTAAAGAAGGGGGAGGAGGGGGATTGAAAGACAGCAAACGCCTGACCTGCCATCCGCGCTGCCGCCATCATCTGCTCTGCAGGAAAGTAACTTTTCCGCCCCTTTCCCTTCGAAGCCCTGGCGCTCCTCTCTTGGCACCATGAGACCCGTGGCTTGGAGAGGCGCCAGGGTTCCTGGGCACAGAAGGCGCAAGGCATTGCAAACCACAACTACGCAAAGGGATTACTAAACACAAAACGGAAAGGGGTGGCTGTAAAACGAAAGCAATCTGTAGGTTCACCACACTAGAGAATGAATCCACTTTGAATCTGGTTTCTGCCTCCTGCAGAATTCTGGGGTTTGTAGTTTAGTGAGGCTGTTAAAGTCTCCTCCCTAAAATACAAACTGGAGGCACCAACTGGATTTAAAGTGGATTCATTCTCTAGTGTGGTGAGGCCCAAAAAGTGCCATTTAAAGGCAATACTTAGTTTTTTCTAGTCAGCGCCAATCGAGATATTTCATCTTATTTACTTCCAAGTACAAATCTTATTTACTTCTCTACTTCCAAGTACAAATCTTCTTTACTTCTTTACTTCCAAGTACAAATCTCCCCCCACCCCAAATAAAATAAAACTGTGATAGGATCACTTTGAGGTCCATCTATTCTACACAGTGGAATCAATGCAATTTGACACTACTTTGCTATGGCTCAATACTGTGAACTCCTGGGACTTCTTGTTTGGTGAGACACCACCACTTCTTAGCAGAAGCTGCTTTGGATACCTTGTAAAACTACAACTCCCATAATTCTATAACCATGAACCATAACACTTAAAGTGATGTCAAACTGCATTCTACTGGGATGATCAGAACTTTTCTAAATATTTTAAAACGGTTCATCCCATCAATCCCAGTAATTTTTTTCCCCTTTACATTAAGTCTATCCTGGGGATTGGTGCTCATCTCCATTTCTAGGCCAAAGAGCCAGCGTTGTCTATAGACACCTCCAAGGTCATGTGGCTGGCATGACTGCATGGAGCGCCATTCCCTTCCCTTTCTCACATTTGCATGTTTTCGAACTGCTAGCTTGATAGAAGCTGGGGCTAACAGCGGGAGCTCACCCCTCTCACCTTTCAGTCAGCAAGTTTAGCAGCTCAGCAGTTTAACTCATTGTGCCACCGAGGGCTCCTCATCAACTTTATACACCTCATTAAAATGATAAATATGGTAATTTTATTGGTGTTATACCATTTTTTAAAAAATGCTCTTATTTGCAGATTATTACTCATAAATGACAAATATCTTGGAAATGCACATTATCTTAGAAATCATACATTGTTTATAAATAGAAAGTTAAAGGTTTTTTAGGAGGCATGTTGTATTCACATACATTTCATCATTACAATTGGTGTACATATCCATATCTCTTATAAGAGGTTAGTTTCAGCTTCCATTGGCTAATAAAACCAAATGACTGTGTCGTGAAATGATGCATGTCTAAAAAGTGTGCCACCAACAAATTCACAAACCACTGTGTGTCGAGGCTAGCAGCAGTTTGGAAGACTTTGCCCCCTCCTTTCTTCTCTTTCCTGGAGAGTAAAAATTGTGCAAATTATGTACTTTGACTCTTTGAACTCACTTTGCAACAGGTGAACTATGAGATATGGCTGGAATGCTGAATCCGCTTACACGCAGCTAATTCCTTTACCAAGTAACTTTCAGGCATTTTTTCCTAATCCATGTATGTTGTCTACAGTGAAACAGTCACAAGAGGGGAAAGTCCTGAAGCTGTGGAGCAGAATAAGATTGTGGGGGTGACACTGCTTCACCAAAGCTCTTTTGAAGTCCATGCACTCTTTGCTTTGCCCACACATGTGTAATTGCCCTGTCATATAATCCTTAGGCCTTTTGACATTTCCCCATTGTATTCTTCCATTTTAAGAAATCCTCATATGTTTAGGATGTACTTTACCTTATGAAATGTTGAACTAAATTTCTAGGACTCCTGAATCTTACCAATTTGCTATGGTATAATAACTCAATGGGGCGAAATGTCCTACATGTCTAAATCACTAAACTGAGTAGGAATATCCAGAGGTAGCCTTGTTGGCCACATGGCAAAATAAAACAAAACACACAATCAAAAGTATCTGACTACTTCTCAATTATCTCACAAGCCAGTTAAAATATACAAGAAATAAAGGAATAATAACAGGTTGCCACCCAGCCAGTGTCTATGGACTTTAAACCCAATACCACTGAGACCTATAACCAAACTTGAGATGTCCATCATGCATACTCTGTAGTATGTGGGGGACTTCACGTTTCCAGATTTTATTTTTATCCTTGGTTGTACTGTTGTGTGATTTCATCTTCTTCAAGAAACACGGATTCAGAGCTGGCGTGTCAAACTTTCCAGTAGGCCAAATGAGACATACAGAAGCTGTATTCTCAATGGCCAGAGAAGATGTCAGCGGAGACAGCACTCCAAAGAACTGACATACTACAATTGCGAACATACATTTTATTTATAGTATTTTGACAGGTATTCAAGTCTGCTGCATTGGCTTCTGGTTGGTGCAGAAAGGTCCCAGCTAGGATCCACTCCCTGGTTGGCCCAGGGTTCCATCTGAAGTCATCACTGGTGACTTTTATTGTCCATTTATTGATCCACCCAGGAGAGAGGCGCGATCAGAAAGGAATGCAGTGAGGCAAGCGATAATGGGCTGAGATGGGTCTTGATATCTCACAGCTGGTTAATACAGTACAAAGGGTGCCAGTCCAGCAGCCAAACAGGTGTTCATGAGACATGGTAATTTCAATGAGAGCCCCAGGAAGAGGTCTAATTTTGTGAACAGGGATGAAGAAACATTCCCATATATCTTCCTGGGGCATTATGAGGGGCTTATGATAATCATGAGGCTATATTTTGCGGTCCTCGGTGTGATGAAGCAACATTCCAAGGGAAATTCATGAAAAGTTACCCCCTGCTCTGAAGACAATCCTGATTATAAATTTGATTTGGGACTTTTATTCTTATTTTCAAAGTTGCTGATTATCTTAGCCACAAATTCGGGCTCATTGAGATGGACGAAGTGATTCCCAGGAACTTCAACAAACTGAAAATACTAAAGACAAAGAGGAATACAGTGTGAAAAGCACTACAGAGCAGAAAAACAAGAGATATTAGATAATAAAAACAGCAGTACTATTAATTCTAATGGCCACAAAATCACATACTTAGCTATGTAACTATCTTAGATATGTAGCTTAGTAGCATCTTCCAGCCTGACTGGTTAGTTTCCACTTACCAGGCATGACTCCTGCAGGTATCTCATGTTTCAACCCCTCACCATGAGTGATCTCTGGTGTGACAGCCGTTGCAGTCTCCTCTTGCACCAGAGATTGCTTGTGGGGTGTGTGTGAAAACATCAGCTGCTTCCAAACAGATGCTTCCTTAACTGTCTCAGGGAATTCTGACTATTTACAGAATATATGTGCTGCCCCATAATAAAGTTCTCTATGCCACAAATTACAAGGTGATAGGAAAAAATAATAAATCAGAATAAAATTAAACAATTCAATTTTTATTTATTAATTTATGTCCCACATTTTCCCAAACATGATCTGCAACCCCATATAAGCCTATCACAACATGACTAAAAGCCATAAAATCTACTTTTTAACAAAACTGAAATTAATTATACATCCCATAGCAAACTCTGTAATTTAAACTGCATGACAAAACTAATCCTACCCTTTTATTTTTCTTTCCCTTGATCTCAATATATCAATATATCAAAACATAAGGACAGACTGCTAAATAATGCCAATGTGTGGGGAGGGGGGTTGTGTTTCCCCCAAGACTCCTCAGTTCTTCAAGGCTTCAACTCACCTGTTTCCGTGAGGCCCTGAATGCTTCCTGAAGAATTGCCAAATTGTCAGAGTAGATGGGTTCTTTTAGAAACATCCCGCCTTGTGCTCTATAAAGAAAATGTGAAAGTTTTAAATGCTCCTGGTTTTGAGTAAGAACAGAATTTAATTAAGCAATCTGCATGTTATAATTGTGATAAGATAAATGAGGGGCCAGCTGTAGCCTTATTATTTTCAAGGGAAGGCTAAATATAGCCTTCCAACTGATGTGGTTGATGATGAACACAATAGATTGGTGGATTGTGTGACTAGATTGATACTAGGAACTTGTAATGATGCTCAGTTCGATTCCATGACCTTTAATGTCCTTCTACAGTGAATCGTGTAATCATAGAGTTGGAAGGGACCTTGTAGGCCATCCAGTCCAACCCCCTGCCAAGAAACAGGAAAATCGCATTCAAAGCACCCCCAACAGATGGCCATCCAGCCTCTGTTTAAAAGCCTCCAAAGATGGAGCCTCTACCCCAACCCGGGGCAGAGAGTTCCACTGCTGAACAGCTCTCATAGTCAGGAAGTTCTTCCTCATGTTCAGGTGGAATCTCCTTTCCTGTAGTTTGAACCCATTATTCCACGCCCCTAGTCTCCAGGGCAGCAGAAAACAAACTTGCTCCTTCTTCCCAATGACTTCTCCTCACATATTTATACATGGCTATAATGTCTCCTCTCTGCCTTCTATTCTGCAGGCTAAATATGCCCAGCTCTTTAAGCTGCTCTTCATAGGGCTTGTTCTCCAGACCCTGGATCATTTTAGTTGCCCTCTTATGGACCCGTTCCAGCTTGTCAACATCTCCTTTCAATTGCAGTGCCCAGAAGTGGACACAGTATTCCATTTCTGGGCACCGCAATTGTGTGAGACAATGTTCATTCAGCTATATTCTTGGGACAGATAGGAAGTGCAATAGATCCTTCTCTTTCATTCAGAAGAGCAACAGACATTAACAATATGTGTCACTTACATGATCATCAATACATCAGCCTGTATTTTTTTCACATAGTTCACCTGGAATTCTATAGGTGCAGAAGAGGAGGTGTGCTACACATGAACGAGAGAATGGCAGACAAGCAAGTGTAAAGCTGGTCACTGACCTGAATAAAATATTCATTCATTCAGACAAGCAAGTGGAACAAGGTAAAATTAGTTCATCCTCTGTTTTTCAAACTTATAGGAGTTCTTGCACATCCAGTCTAATGCTTCACAGAGTGCGTCTCTTTCTTGCATGGTACATTTGTTGGAAAAGTCAATTAATGCTTTCTCTTCTCACAAAGCCCCCAGAACAAAATATTTCAAAGGTCCAACGAATTTGATGATTTTATGAAAGAAGCCAACAAGGGACAAAAAGAGAGCTTAAAAATTGAACTGCCTTTGAATAAGTCACTTACAAAAATATATCTGCTATAGCAGTAGTAAAGAATCCACCCTTGCATCCTAGCAAGCATTGTTATTTATATCTTCTGCCATTATTCAAGAAATGTGGGATTGCTATGTGATTGCAGCACCGGCTGCTGCACTGCCACTCCTCACTTTGTATTGCAGGAGATTAATACGGGAAGGAAGAAACTGGCAGGGATGGACAGCTTGTTCAAATTGATCATACACACAAGTGCACCTTTTGCTGCCTCCTGGATTATGCCAAACTTTCATCAGTGGAAAAAAATTAGTTGAATAACTGTGATATTTCAAAACAAGCAGCAGTCCTCCCTCCACCAACCCATGTCTTCTTTTGTTCAGAAAAGGGTCTTTGCAAAAATGAAGTGGACTTCCATTCACTTATGGATTTATTTTAGGAGCCTAATTCAGCCCATCGCAGGGGTAAATAACTGCTTCCTGGTCTGCCCACTCTGCCTTCAAATTATTATTATTATTATTATTATTATTATTATTATTATTACCCCACTTTATCTCCCCAAAAGGGACTCAAAGCAGCTCGACATAAAAGCATTAGCACAGAATTTTAAATATACAAATATACAAAAATTAACTCCAGCAAAGGGTCACCGCCTTGTTGTGGCGCTGGAGCTTGAGCACCTCAATGATGTCATGAGCGAAACCGTGAAGGGCCACCCAAGACGGGACGGTCGTGGCAGAGAGGTCAGACCAAGCGTGATCCCTGGGGAAGGCAACGGCAAACCACCCCAGTATCCTTGCCAAGAAAACTAAATGGACCAGTACAACCAGAGATATGTCGGTATGCCATTGGAAGATGGGACTCCCAGGTTGGAAGATGGCCAAAATGCTACTGGGGAGGCGCAGAGGATAAGTTCAACTAGCCCCAGATGTGATGACGCAGCTAGCTCAAAGCCGAAAGGAAAGCTAGCGGCCGACGGTACTGGAGGTGAACAACAAATCCGATGCTCTATGGATGGCATCCTTGAAGTGACTGGACTGACCTTGAAGGAGCTGGGAGTGGTGACGGCCGACAAGGAGCTCTGGCGTGGGCTGGTCCATGAGGTCACGAAGAGTCGGAGACGACTGAACGAATGAACAACAACAACAAAAATTAAAACAGAATTAAACACAAACAGCAGTAAAAAAAATCAGTTAAAATCCATCAAAACATATTAAAAGTTTAAAATCACAGTACCCCTGACTAGATCTTAAAACACCTTCCTGTTTAAATGCCTGTTTGAATAAAAAGGTTTTAGCCTGTTGCCAGAAGGACAGCAGGAAAAGGGCCATTTTGGCTTCTCTGGGTAGGGAATTCCAGAGTTGAGGGGCAGTAACTGAGAAGGCCCATTCTCTTGTTCCCACCAACCAAGCTTGAGATGGAGGTGGGACTGAGAGAAGGGCCCTGGCAGGTTCCTACAAGGGGGTGTGGTCAGCCAAATAGCCTGGACCTGAGCCATCTATGGCTTTAAAGGTCATAACCAGCACTTTGGATTGTGCCCAATAACAAATTAGCAGCCAGTGGAGCTGTTGCAACAAGGGGGCTGTATTGCTCCCTATAAGCCCGCCACAGTTGGCAACCTCGCTGCAGCTCTTTGGACCAGCTGAAGTTTCAGAGCACTCTTTAAAGGCAGCCACACATACAGCAGGTTAAAGTAATCCAGACAGGATGTAACTAAGGCATGGATCACTGTGGCTAGATCTGGCTTCTCAAGGAATGGGTGTGGTTGGCACACAAATGTTAATAGTGCAAAGGTCCTCCTGGCCACTGCAGATACCTGGGCCTCCAGGTTTGGTGCTGAGTCCAGGAGGGCCCCCAAACTGTGATCCAGTGTTTTCAGGGGGAGTATAACCCTATCTAGAACAGGCTGAATCCCAATTCTTTGGTCTGCCTTCCAACTGACAAGGAATAATACACGCGAGTTTAAAAATTACACGAAGGCACTGCTTACCGTGAGGACTCTTGTGTCTCTGTTATAAACCAAGCCTGGAAAAAGATTACATCTCAAATTATGAGAAAGCAGAACTTGAAGGAAAGTTTGTTTAATAAGTACATTTTAAGAGTTAAAATCCAAAAGGATATTTTAACTTTTAGTCAATGTAGCAGATCGATATACCCAAAGCAGAGCTTGGAAAAGTTGTTTCTTTGGACTACAAATCCCAGAAATTCCACCAACCAAACCTTTAAGAGTAGTCTATAATTTTTTCTAAGCCTTAGACAGAGTCAAACCATTATCAAGCTGATCTGACACCAGACTTAATAAAAATGTTGGGCAGGGCATTTACAAATTTGTTATTCAAGATTACAGAAGGCGGCCTTAACCCTGGGATCTTTTAGATGTGAAATAGATTGTCTTGTCAGTTCACTGCATGCCTAGTTCAAAACAGTCGCCTCACTGTTGCAAAGTCTTACCTCCTGGCACTTTAGTAGCCCCTCGTTCCAGCAATATCTTCCCACTTTCTTCCGTTAGGTGAATGTTTGCCTTGAGCAACCTTGGAAAGCCAAAAGGAAAATGCACCAGTTTGCCATCATGACAGCATCCTACTCCAAACTGGGGAAACTTTCAATTTTAGATTGCAGCTCCCAGTATTCCCCAGCTAGTAGCCATGCTGGCTGGAAGATTCGAAGAGCTGTACTTCAAATAAGTAATTTTTCACTGATTCTCACAATTTATTGCTGGAAATACAGTGTGGAAACTTAATTGTGCATTCGCCTAAGTGCTGGACTATGGCTCTGGAGACCAGGGTTTGAATCCCCACACGGCCATGGAAACCTATGAGGGATTCTTGAGTAAATTTTATTCTCTTACCCTCAGATGAAGTCAAAGGCAGAACGCCTCTGGACAAATGTCTTAAAACTTCATTTTAAGAATTAGCATAATTCAGAAGGAACACAAAAACACAGCAAACTTGTTTGAGCTGCCACAGAGGGCATTGAATACTTAAATACCTATGTGTTTGTGTCTGCACTTTCAAGTTGCTGGTAGACTTATGGTGACCCCATGAATTTCCATCAAATTTCATTGTCAGTTCATAATTCGACTGGACAAATTGTTCCAGTGTGCACAAAGGAGGCTAGATCTTTCCTGCCCTTTGTCTGAAGTCTGTATAGAGTCTGAAAATATTGTGAGGTTTTGGTTTTTTTTGGACGACAGTTGCCAGAATGTTTCAGTCAAGATGGGCAATAAACTTTGTAACCCAAAGAAGCAAAGTGATAGTTCCAAATTTTGGCAAGTTTATTCTAGAAGCTGCAGTTGGAAACAGTAACTTTTCATGGTTCAAAGAAGAAATTTGACACAAGAAAAAATATTTCACTTAATGATAAAAGGTGCTCAATAGTTTTTGAGGGTGGCAGACTCTCCTTTGGAAGTTTTCAAAAAGAGGTTGGATGAATATCTTGTTGGAAATGACAACCTTCTTCAAGCCTTCTGTAGTAATGTCTATGATCCTGTTGCTTACTGTTTCCTGTATGTTTGTTCTGTATGCAACTTCCTTTACTCTATGGTTCCTGAGAAGTTATAAAAAGGGCTGCAGACCACATGAGCACTATGACAGACTACAGATTACTTCAGACATCAGATTACATACTTCAGTGATTCTCAACTTGTGGGTCCCCAAGTGTTCTGGACTAAATCTCCCAGAAATCCCAGCCAGTTTACCAACTGTTAGGATTTCTGGGAGTTGAAGGCCAAAACATCTGGGGACCTACAGGTTGCAAACAACTGACATATTTGCTTGCTGTTTTACTGTAAGAGAGGTCCTGGCCAGATGGCACAGAAAATAATCTCAAAGCTATCTGAAACTGGGCTAAGTTTTGTACCTGTGTGTGCTGAACACATGAATGTTGTGAGTAAACCGAATATATTATTCTATCCAAGTCTACTTCATTTTTGTCTCTTGAGTGCATGATATAAAACAAGTTGTTTCATGAGAGAGTATGTATATTTTTGGGCATTGAAAAACACTTCTGAAGCTGCTGTTTTTTTGCACTGGCAAAATCTCTGCTTTTCTAATAGATTAGAGATTACAAGTTATTCAGTCTAACAACTGAAACCATTGACTAACATAATGGTTGTATACTGCAAGAGAATATTCTACTCTAATGGGTTTTTGGCTCTTGTCTAAAAGGTCATGCTATTCTTTCAAAGTTATGATTTCCAAAAGGTTTTTCCAAAAGGTTATGAATGCCATTTTCCAAAATACCTTTCGGGTGTGGTTTATTTGGATGTTCCTGCAGGGCATGCTGGACACAAAGGCCCTTATGGTCTCTTTCAATTATTATGATTCTAACTAATGCTACAGAAGATGAGGAATTTGTGACAGACTGGTACAATTTTCAAATTTCCTGTATCCACTTACTGAGCAGCAGAATATTCAAAATAGCAGATCCCACCCACTTAGTTTAATATAACATTGCACATTGGACACTGCCACACTCCAAGGCAAAGCTTAAACACCAGCTGTTGCAACATCCAGGAAAGGAACTCACCTTTGAAGGGCCTCTTCAGAGTTATATACTTTGGGGGCTTGGTGCTGCTTCGCCTCAACATCCATCAGAGTCTCAATGACTGTGCGGCTGCCAATTAACAATTTCTCCCATTCCTAAAATTAAGAAGGCATTCTACATTTTCTGTTGCTTCTTGCATCCAACACTTTTCACAAAGCCACCATCCCGGATAATTACCCTTTCCTTCTTTGATAAGTGAATTAACTGAAAATACAGTTTTCATCTTTGTTATAGATTGGCACAGAGGAACTCAAATTCTAGAACTGTAGCAGGGAAGAAAATCAACTCTCTTTTTGTATAGGGGCTATAATTGTAGCACGCCCAATTTGTCTGATGTATCACAAGTTCTAGTCAGCAGAGTCATTAACAGATGATGAGTTGCAATCCAAAAAAATCTTGATAGCCACATGTGCCCTCAACTTGAAAATGCTTGTCCAATTATAAATGTGCTACATCACAGAATCACGTAAGGAGCTCAGATTAAAAAACAATCAAGGGGCAGATGTGAGCATCTTGTGGCCCTTCCTGTCTCCATTGGCTATGCTGGCTAGGATTGGTATGAGTTGCGTCAATCAATACACAATTGGGTGTTGCGAATGCAGAGAGAGAGTTCTAAAGATTTCTAAAGATTTCATGTATTGGCAGTAGAGGGGGGCAATGCATGGGAAGTATTTTCGTATTCCTTTGGGAAATATATATTTGAGAAAATAGATTTAGATGAATTATTTGTGAAATTAGCTTGAATTTTATATATTTGATATTTTATTGTAAATTAAAATTACACTTAATAATAATAATAACTTTATTCCTGTGTTCTGCCACCATCTCCCCAAAGAGACTCAGGGCGGCTTACACACGGCACAAGTGCCTAAAAACAAAACATGAAATAAAGCACAATATAAAATACAATTGAACAAAACATGCAGGCATATAAAACAACAACTTAAAACTCAATTAAAACAGCACTCATCAACCAAATGGCAGTAAGCTACTGTAAGACGTGGCCAGGCTGTAAACAGTAGGACAAGGGAATGGGATAAGTGCAGAGTTGTAACCATGGAATGAGGGCATGGGATGAAGTGCAAGGCTGCATAACTATTGCATAGAACAAATAGGGACTAGTGTTATCAAAAGCTTGTTTGAACAACCAGGTCTTCAGGTCCCTACGGAAGGAGGACAGTGGGGAAGGCATTCCAAAGCCCGGGAGCCACCACCGAGAAAGTCTTCTCCTTCATTTCCACCAACTGCACTTGTGACTGTGGTGGGACCGAGAGGAGGCTTCCCCGGCAGATCTTAGAGCCCGTGCCGGTTCATGGGGGGATGCGGTCACGAAGATAGATAGGACTCGAATCATTTAGGGCTTTATAGGTAATAACTTCCACTTTGAATTGGGACCGGAAACTTATTGGCAGCCAATGGAGTTGTTTTAGTAGGGGCATCGTGTGCTCCCTATAGTAGCTCCAGTTAGTAGCCTGGCTGCCAATCTTTGCACCAACTGCAGTTTCTGAGCCATCTTCAAAGACAGCTCCACATAGAGTGTATTGCAGTAATTTAATCTAGACATAACTAAGGCATGGACCACCTTGGGCATGTCAGATTTTTCAAGGTACAGTCACAGCTGGCACACAAACTGTGCAAAGGCCCTCCCAGCCACCGCTGACACCAGAGCTTCAAGCATTAGCGCTAAGTCCAGAAGAATCCCCAGAGTACAGACCTGTGTCCTCAGGGGGAGTGTAACCTTGTTGAGTACAGATAACCACCCTATACTTATCAGCCTCATGACTGACCAGGAGGACCTCCGTATTGTCTGGATTAAGCTTCGGTTTGTTAGCCCTCATCCAGCCCATCACAGCTGTCAGGCACTGGTCCAGGATCTGATGGGCTTCCTTGGATTTCGGTGGAAAGGAGTAGCAGAGTTGTGTGTCATCTGTTTATAGATGGCACCGAACTCCAAAACTCTGGATGACCTCACCCAGCAGTTTCATGTTGATATTAAAAAGCATTGAGGATAGAATGGAACCTTTTGGGACCCCACAGGTCAGTGGCCAGGGATCCAAGCAGTTTTGTCCCCCAGCTTCACTAACTGAGTGATCAGGAAGGAGAAGAGCCACTGCAGTGCAATGCCCCCAAGACCCATTCTGGAGAGCTGCCCCAGAAACATGACCATTGACCATGGTCAATGATAACAGAAGCCTCTGAAATATCCAAGAAAACTGACAAGGACACATTCCCCATCTAGCTCTCTGCGGAGATCATCCACCAAGGCAACCAAAGCTGTCTCCATTCCGTGACCAGGCCTAAAACCAGACTGTGATGGATCAAGATATCGGTTTAATCCAAGAATCCTTGCAGTTGAGAAGCCACCACTCGCTCCAGAACCTTTCCCAAAAAGGGGAGATTAGAAATGGGCTGATAGTTATTTAGTACCAAGAAATCAGGGACACCTTCTTCAAAATTGGTGTTACTATTGCCTTTTTAAAGGCTTGATTGCATTTGTCAATGCTCCAATGACAAATTATCAAAGGATAATTTAAATGAGTTGTTTACGTTCACACAGGGCAAATCTGTGGGCAGGGTCTGCTGGTCTCTAGGACTGCTCTGCTGCATCAGTTTCTGGCTAATATTTCAATAGAGTGCATTTTTATTTTGGTCTTACCTTGGCCATGTACTCAGTCTTGGCCAAGTTATCTGTTAATGGCTTCATCAGTTTGCCTTTTTGTGAAATGTTAGTTTTGTTGCACCTGTAAACATTTTGATAGACCATGAACCTGTATTGATCATTTTATGATTGTCCCTTCTCTAAATAGTTTTGTGACTGTGCCAACATCTTATCCAGATGTTCCTATAAAAACAAAAAGATTTGGGGTCACAATTTATAAAGCTGGGAGTGAATGTAGGCACCAAGAGCTCCTTCACTACTTTGCCTCCTCTCAACACACACACACAAATATGCTACTTTTACTGCTTGTGTTAAAAATTCTTTCTCTCTTTTATACTCAGAACAGCTTAATGATGGTTAAAACACTACCACAATCACATCCTGACTAATCCAATTGGAAATTCTGGCCTAATGGAAGCCAGGATCTTTGCACCAACGTAAGTAAGAAAGGGTAAGGGAACACTTCAAAAGCCATGATTCATGAAGTCCTGAGCAATCACCCTAAATGAAACATTAATGCCACAGAATAATGGAGTAACAGCATTTGATTCCACACAAAGTATTGGAGCTGAATTGACCTCATTGCTCAGTACTAAGACACCTAGATCCTCACCTCTAAATGTGCTAGGGCATCTGTAGTGATGGACTGAGAGCCTGCTTTCTTTTTCCTGAATACTTCTGGGCCTCTCATATAACCCTGCCATCAAGAGAACCAACAAACAAAAAAAGAGCAGTTTTTATGAGGAAAAATCCTACCCTCCCAGGAAACACAGAAAATTAATTATTGTATTTTAACTTTTAGTCTGCATAAGAAATAAATATTGATAAGCTCTGATTCATAATAGTAAGAAAGGATACTGTTGTAACAAAAGCATCATTTACTTGATTAATTTGCTGAGGCAAATGGCCAGAACTTCGCATTGGATTTCAGCAAGCCAGCCGAACTCCTATGCAAAGTAGATCACACAAACAGTATGCCATCTGTGCTACTGCAGCCAACCATACAATATCAATCCCAGATGTTAATGTAGGGATGGGAGGGTGTTGGTTTTCCTTTTGTCTGGTAAGTTCACATTTCATGTTTTACATGAAGCTAAATACAGTTCTAAGCACAGAAGTCAAGGGTTCATTAAACTGCCTCCCCCACTGATAGTGCCAATGCATTCATGGTAAAATGGACAGAGCTCTTTTCCCTTACTTGCTTGGCGTATATCAACCTCTTATGGAAAAGGACAGATGTGAGGTCTTCTTTTATCTGCCCTTTCTCAGGACCAGTCCCTTTCCCAAAGATACCCCAAAACAAGATTCAGATGGTTTCTTCCCTTTATGTAATGTCTCTTAAATATACTATTGAGTCAGGGGAAGGCTTCAGAATTCAACCTGAGGTGCTGGGAAAAGACCAGATGACTCCACCAGGATCAACTTGTCCACCATTTCAGGGAAAACACATGAGAACTAGGAAAGAGAGAGGGGAGACAAATATAATTTCCATCACTTCTGCTTTAATAATAATAATAAGTTTGGATTATTGATGTTGCCATTCCAGGTGACAGTCGCATTGAGGAAAAACAATAGGAAAAACTCAGCCGTTATCAAGACCTCAAAATCGAACTGCAAAGGCTCTGGCATAAACCAGTACAGGTGGTCCCAGTGGTCACTGGCACACTGGGTGCTGTGCCAAAAGATCTCAGCCAATAATTGGAAACAATACACATTGACAAAATCACTATCTGTCAACTGCAAAAGGCCACCTTACTTGGATCTGTGCGCATCATTCGAAAATACATCACACAGTCCTAGACGCTTGGGAAATGTTTGACTTGTGATTTTGTGATACGAAATCCAGCATATAGATCTCATTTGCTGTGACATACTGTGTTTTTGTGTCAGTAAAATAATAATAATAATAATAATAATAATAATAATAATAATTTTATTTATAGCCCACCCCCTCACACCAAAGGGCTTATTTCCCTTTATATCTGTCAGAAATATTAGATATTAATTATGTATTTTTGATCACAAAAGTGTGAGTCAAGCAGTGAAAGACTTAGTAGGCCGAAGACCGTTAGTCAGTGGGCCAAAGCTAGTGTCACCCTGAGGAGAGTGAGTAGGCTGAAGTCTGTTAGTGTTAGTTTGCCTCGGTCAGTGTGAGGTAAACGTCTGTGTGAGAGAAGCCTCTTGTGAGGGAGCTCCAGTGCATAAAGGCTGCTGTGCCTATAAAGTTATTATGTATTTGCCTATTCATGTTTTGGAAACCTTGTTATTGTAAACAGTGCAACTATATTATTTTACTACAAAGAAAAGCCTTCTATGGAAGAGATAACATTGGTCTTGTGTTTTTGTTCTTTTTACCACTTTGGGCTACCTGTGCTGGGTCACGCTGCCGCTGCTGCTAATGAGTTGCTCTGCTATACGTTTATGGGGAGGGTCTTTTGTTATTAAGCCCATTCGCCCAACAATATCTGCTTCAGAAAGAAATGTTTCAAAAACACCCCTAAAATGATAATAACCTATGAAGAATGATACTTACCATGCATGCAACGGTTCCACCTAAATAAAGGAAAAAGAAGTGGGTTGAATGTGGACCTAAAACCAAGCCCCCTGCCTATATGACTGGCTTAGCTAGGAGCTGCCTCCTTTGTGGACCTATCTTTCAGCAATCATCCGACAGGACGGAGTCTCAGGTCTTGAAATCAGAGCTTGGGGAAAAATCCCTTTCTGCCTTACAGTTCCAGCAATCCAAAAGGATTTTGGAAGCTGCAGTCAAAAAAGTACCTTTTCCAACCTGCTTATAACAGATTGATATTGTGGGGATATTAAAAACATATTTGATGTTTCTTGTTAAGGTGACCTGCCTTGGAATGACTAGCATCTAAAAGATGAAGATGGAATTATAATAAAATAAGCCAATAATAATAAAATGACCACCTTGGTTCCATCATAAAGAGAAATATGGGACATAAATCCAAACAAACAAACCAACAAACTACAGGCCTATCTTAAGAGTAGAAACTGGTCGGATATGAGAGAACAGCCGCATTTGTTACGGGATTTAAAAAATATCCCCTTTGGGGAAAAGAGTCACTTACCCATACTGTGACCCATCAAGCTAAATCGATTCCACTTCAGTGCTAAAACAACAAAAAAACAAAAGAATGAGAGGACTTAATACTCTGCATTAAGACACAATGCCTGCGTTTTTAGATGCATGATTCAAATGATTCACAGTTAAGAACGGGTGTGAGACAACAGGCAGTGGGAGGAATCTACTTCTAGAAAGGGATATTCACCCCGAAAGACTTATCATGGGGAAAAGGTGTCTTCACTGAAGCCGTATCACCAATCCTTATTTCTACAATGTCACATTTTTCGAAATCTAATCACAGGTATAGAAAGTGAGGTAAAATCTTCTGAACAAGGGCACGGACAGCAAAACAAACACTACAGGGGTGTTAATCCTTTCCTATGCTATCCAAAGCTTTAAAAATATGTTTTTGGCTTGAGTTACACTTTAAAAAATAGCTGTTTCAACTTCCATACAAATTCAGCTTAAGAACAAACCTACAGAACCTACCTTGTTCATAACTAGGGGACTGCCTGTACTCAGACCTAAAACAAAAGACCTCCTTATTTCTCAATAATGTTTACATTTTGTAATTATAAAATCATTATATTCCGAATTTGCATTTTATGCCACATGGAAACATGAAACAAAATAGAAATAGGGGGAATCAATAGGTTTACAACATTTATAGGCTTTGACATCAAAGCAGCCAGGCAAAAACTATTATTAATTCCTCTCTGAGAAGGAGGAAGAAAAAGATTTAACTTTTGGGGCCATATGTATCCTGAATGCACTGGGGGAAAAATCATAAAATGCTGTGCACCAAACTTCTGCAGTTCCAGACAGAAGTTTATGGTTTGCTCAAGAGTTATTTCAGCACCTAATACTCCAAGTGGTGAAACATTAATGGCTTTGTTTGCACAATGTTTGATGTCAGTTCTAGCTTTGTTAAAATGTCTGAGAAAACAAATAAATGATGAGTATTATATGCTAGGGGTCAAAAATTATCTCACAAACTCATTATTTTTATAGTGATGTATTGAGACATCTACTATAACTATGCAACATTTATGTTAATTTTCAGTATATTTTATGTATAAGACACTTTAAGGTCAATTATAATTCTTGTATCACTCTTGTACATGCCATGTTATTTACTTCATGTATTGTCTCAACAAAAAAGAATAGTTCTGAGGATTTTGTTTACTTGCAAACAGCATCTTGTAGGTATTTTATTTTTATGGTTTTCTTGGCGTGCATTTGACTCCCCCCTACTGAACTTTGTTCTTAACTCATGGTCAGACTGACCCATCACAGTGGATCTAAGTCCACATGGATATATCACCTTAGGTCAGTGGATCTCAACCTGTGGGTTCCCAGATGTTTTTGCATTCAGCTCCCAGACAGCTGGTAAACTGGCTGGGATTTTTGGGAGTTGTAGGCCAAAACACCTGGGGAATCAAAGCATGTAATAGAGGAAAAAATAAACACAAATCTTAATTCAGTGCAAAAAAAACTCTATAAGAATGACCTAAAATTATATCTGATAAAAAATGCTTGCTGGCTTGTGTTATACGGACGTGATCCAAAATGTGCAGATTTTACAGTAGTCCACTGTAATGTATCATTCATCAAATTTTAAAAAGTTAACATGATGGAAAAAATAAAGACATATTTAAAATCAGCATTAAAATTGATTTAAACTGTGCTACTTTCATTTCTGATTATTACAAAAAGTTGGATTTTGTTGGCTTGTGTGTACAGCTAATAAAGGCATCCATTCTTCAAGCCATTGTGCACTCTCTCGAGTTTTGTATTTTTTAACGTAGGAAGATCTAATTAAAACACGAGCTAAGAGTTTTTTGTTTAGATTTAAAAGTGGGTTGAAATAACAAAGGCAAGAGAAACTAAGAGGATTATTATTATTATTATTATTATTATTATTATTATTATTATTAAGAGAAACTAGGAGGTTAACCTTGCTCTTTTGATCTGAAGACGTGTAATAATCTCTCTGATTATAGCCAAAACTAATGTAGATTCAGAATAATTAGAATTAGAATAATTACTACTACTAATAATAGGAGCCATGGTGGCACTGTGGGTTAAATGGCTAAGCAGCAGAACTTGCTGACAAAGGTTGGTGGTTCGAATCTGTTAGACGAGGTGAGCTCCTATTGCTAGCTCCAGCTTCTATCAACCTAGCAGTTTGAAAACATGCAAATGTGGGTAGATCAATAGGTACTGCTGCGGTGGGAAAGTAATGGCACTCCATGAAGGTAATGGCACTCTGGCCACATGACCTTGGAGGTGTCTACGGACTCTTCGGCTCAGAAATGGAGATGAGCACACACACCCGCCCCAGAGTCAGATTCAACTAGACTTAACATCAAGGGGAAACCTTTACCTTTGCCTAAGAATAATAATGTAATAATATTACATTTTATTTCTTACTCACTTCTCTTCATAGCTCAGACTTTCCAAACACTTTCAACATATGGTACTTACCTGCAGCGGCTCTGCGCACATCACTCACATAGTCTTTCAGGTGGTATGGATACCCAGCTGGCCGGTGGGAGGACAGGCCATGTCCTGCAAGGTCTATTGCTATATAAGAGCAGTCTGAAAGAGATCAAGGGGGAAAGGATCCAAGCATATGTCAGCCCACACTTTGGTGAAGAAGGTATAGAGTTCAGTATAAATTAACAATTAATTAAAGTATACCTACCTTTTGGGAGTAAGGGGATTAGTTTGTTGAAAGTGTTGGCATTGTCCAGCCAACCATGCAAACAGAGCACGGGTCGGCCTTGGGGAGGCCCCCACGCCTTGGCAGCAATGTGGCCCCAGGGGACCAGGAACCTTATCTCTGAGGTCAAGCCTGAAAGGAACAAAAGACAACACAATGAGAAGCTTGAATTATGCTGAGCTTCCTACATCCACCTTACGCTCTTGTATCCTGTAATGAACTTGGCTCAGACTCCGTCTAACAAATCAGTCCTGCCTCCTCCTTCCAAGTTATCTGCACAGATTCACTAGGTGTTTCAAGAAGTGCATCTACTCCCTTAACTGTGTTTTTCTGAGCAGAATGGTTCACAAGACTTGCCACTCTGAACCATGCTTGTGAAACTTCATAAATATTTTTCTTTTTGAAAATTGTATTTTTTTAAAGAAAAAATAATCTAATTTATTAAGGACAACTTGATTAATACAGTACAAAACAAATATACTGACTTCTGTCCCTAAAATTCAGTAAATGTATCAAGGAGCCCCTGGTAGCACAATGGTTTAAACCCTTGTGCTGGCAGTATTGCTGACCGATGGTAGGAAAAGTAGAAAACACAATAGCTAGGTAAACAAAACAGAAAAGGACAGGAACAGAGCTCAATTTTTTCTTTCTAGTATGCCGCTTGTTAACATTTTCTGCCTTTTATTGAATTATATGGCACCACTTCTGTACACACAAAGCATGTATCTATTGCTTTAGGGCAGGTATAATAGGTGAATGATAAACCTGGAACTGGAAGCATCACTGGCTTCTGTCCTATCAAGGGACAGAACTGGGTCTTACAGGTGTGATCATTCCAATTCTTTGGGTTATAGGTTGTTGTTTTTTTTGTTGTGTCAGGAGTAACTTGAGAAACTGCAAGTCACTTCTGGTGTGAGAGAATTGGCCGTCTGCAAGGACATTGCCCAGGGGACGCCGGATGATTTGATGTTTATCAACCTTGTAGGAGGCTTCTCTCATGTCCCCGCATGAGGAGCTGGAGCTGATAGAGGGAGCTCATCCACGCTCTCCCCGGATTCGAACCTGCGACATGTCAGTCTTCAGTCCTGCCAGCACAGGGGTTTAACCCACTGCGCCACCGGGGGCTCCTGGGTTATAGGTGACTGAGGGTGCATCTACACCAGGCATGGGCAAACTTCAGCCCTCCGGGTGTTTTGGATTTCAACTCCTACAATTCCTAATAGCCTAACAGCTTTAGGAATTGAAGTCCAAAACACCTGGAGGGCCGAAGTTTGCCCATGCCTGATCTACACTGTAGAACTAATGCAGTCTGACACCACTGATCATTGCTGTGGAGTCCTGGATGTTGCAGTTTAACACAGTCTTTACCCTTCTCTGCCAAAGAATCTTGGTGCCTTACCAAATGACAACTCCCATTATTCCATAGCATTGAGCAATGGCAATTAAAGTGGTGGCAAACTGCATTAATTCTACAGTGTTGAGGCATCTATAGAATGAGGTCTAGTTTCACTTAGATGTATCACACAGTCTTTATGATTAGTAGAACAAGCAATTTAAGCTAATTTTGTCAAAAAGTGAAGCCTTCTTTTACAAACTCATTAAAGGGACAGGATTTAGTTCAACCGCTTCTTTTCAGCCCCAGAAACATCTGAAATTCATGTGTGTGCTGTTTTTAGACTCCATTTATATATTGTTACAAACGATGCTGTTAGAGCATGTATGTATTTTTTTTGTCATGTCAGGAGCGACTTGAGAAACTGCAAGTCACTTCTGGTGTGAGAGAATTGGCCGTCTGCAAGGATGTTGCCCAGGGGATGCCCGGATGATTTGATGTTTTTATCATCCTTGTGGGAGGCTTCTCTCATGTCCCCGCATGAGGAGCTGGAGTTGATAGAGGGAGCTCATCCGCCTCTCCCCGGATTCGAACCTGCAACCTGTCGGTCTTCAGTCCTGCCAGCACAGGGGTTTAACCCACTGCGCCACCAGGGGCTCCAGCATGTATGTAAGATAAGACACACAGATTTCTGTGGTAGTACACAATTTTCAAACCAGCTAAGGACAACTGTGTTTGCATAGATAAGAAACAAAGGAGCACAGATAAGCAGAAATAATTTTAGAGATAAGACAAGACATCTTCTGTTTTAGCTTAAACTGATATTAGGAAGATAGGGTGACAAAAGAGTAAAAAAGCATGACATCTACATCAGGGCTTCTTAAACTTTTTCTATCTTCAACCCCTTTCCACCCAAGACATTTTTATATGACCCTAGGTATATCTGAACAGTACTTGGTTACTGCACATTAGGAGGCCCAAATGTCACCTCTCCCATAGAGTTTATTTTATATGCGCTTTTAATTATGATCTGTATCATAATTATCATTTTATCATGTTATGTTTTTATGTATATTTGCTTCTGTTTTTATTATTGTATATGTACATGCCTTTTGTATGCATAAACTGCCCTGAATCCCTTTGGAGGGAGAGGGCGGATTAAAATAAAAAAATTATTGTTGTTGTTGTTATTTAGGTGTATAAAATAGGTATCACAATCAAACATGAGGAGTGTCTTAAAGAGCTGGGTATGTTTAACCTGCAGAAGAGATGGTTGAGAAGAGATATGATAGCTCTGTATAAATATGTGAAACTATGCCATAAGGAAGAGGAAGAAGGCTTGTTTTCTGCTACCCTGGAAACTTGGACTCGGAGTAATGGGTTCAAATTACAGGAAAGGAGATTTTACCTGAACATTAGAAAGAACTTCCTGACTGTAAGAACCGTTCAACAGTGGCACTCTCTGCCTCAAAGTGTGGTGGAAGCTTCTTCCTTGGAAGCTTTTAAACAGAGGCTGGATGGGCATCTGTCAGGAATAATTTGGTTGTGCTTTTCCTGCATGGCAGGGGGTTGGGCTAGATGGCCCATGTGGTCTCTTCCAACTCTGTTATTCTATGATTCTATGAGCATTTACTGAAAATAAGTCAGCAGGTCCATTTTGTTTTTGTAATGTATAGCTGAAGCATTTTCTGTAGAGTCCACTATAAACATAGCATGCTGTTGCCAACAAGTTTGCATAAACTTTGGCATTCAGACACCTTTTAAGTGTTGCCAAATTTTTCGTGACCCCAACATTGAGCTAAGGCAGTTTCTCAACCTGGGAGTCAGGACCCTTGGAAGGGTCATGAGGGGGGTGTCAGAGGGATCGCCAAAGACTATAAAAAACACAGTATTTCTGTTCGTCATCGAGGTTCTGTTTGGTAAGTTTGGCCCAATTCTATTGTTGGTGGGGTTCAGAATGGTCTTTGATTGGAGGTGAACTATAAATCCCAGTAACTACAACTCCTAAGCTCTATTTCCCCCAAACTCCACCAGTGTTCACATTTGGGCATATTGAGTATCTGTGCCAACTTTGATCCAGATCTATAATTGTTTGAACCCACAGTGCTCTATGGATGTAGGTGAACTACTACTCCAAAAGTCAAGATCAATGCCCACCAATCCCACCCAGTATTTTCTGTTGGTCATGGGAGTTCTGTGACCCATGTTTGGTTCAATTCCATTGTTGGTGGAATTCTGAATGCTCTTTGATTGTAGGTGAACTATAAATCCCAGCAACTACAACTCTCAAATGGCAAAATAACAACCCCCCCCCCCAAAAAAAACTCCACCAGCATTCACATTGTGGTGTATCAAGTATTTGTTCCAATTTTGATCCAGTGAATGAAAATACATCCTGCAAATCAGATATTTACTTTACGATTGATAACAGCAGCAAAATTACAGTCATGAAGTAGCAACGAAAATAGTTTTATGGGTGGGGGTCACTACAACATGAGGAACTATGTTGAGGGGTTGTGGTATTCGGAAGGTTAAGAAACACTGAGCTAAGGGGCCCTCACTTGGATTTGGGATCCACATATGATGAAACAGTGCTGCAGATGATTGCCTTGCTATCAAAGGGGAAGCTCCACTAAATTACACCATGAACAAGAAATCAATCATAGCCTTTATTAGACTTTCTGCAGATTTATTTTCAGTGAACGTTTTATTTTTATACCTATTTTGTATATGTATATACTCGTGATTGTGTAAAAATGTATTGGGCAGGAAGGAGTCACAAGTGGAAAAAGTTTAAGAAGCCTTGGTCTATGAGAACATTTATCACACTCATATTCTGAATGTTTATTCTTTATTTATATTCTGCCTTTCTGCCAAGAAACCACACAAGAAATAATAAATAATAAATATAGTTAATTAAAAAACAAAAAAACCCCAATTAAAATCAGTTCAAAGAATTTAAAAACAAATTTAAAAAACCACATCTGGATTCGAACCACCTACTTTCGGTCAGCAAGTTCAGTAGCTCAGCAGTTTAACCCGCTGCACCACCAGGAGGCCCCTAGCAATTTGGCAAGACGCAAAAAAGTATTTGGGGAAATTTCACAAAATGTATGGTGTGGCGCTTTGACAAACAGTTCAATACGGAGAGGAAACGCATTACAGCTGCAGCTAGGAGATCTCCCCTTGGTAGAACACAGGCTTGTGCCTTCAAGGTGCCTGCCAATTCATGGATTTCCTAAGTTTCTAAGGCAAGAAATACTCATTTCTCCACGCATCAATTGAAAAAGGTTAAAAGAGGAAGAGCAGAAGCTCCCTCCAGCGAGATTTCAACTAGAGCAGAGCGAAGGGAAAGTACAAAACTTCTGACCTGCCATCCAAGCCACTGCTGCTGCCTGCTACTTTGTTTCAAGCTGCTCTGCAGAAAAGTAACCTTTCCTCCCCTTTCCCACCACCACTTCCGGAATGTCTGGGGCCCCTCCTACAGAGAGAAGGCAAAGCCCAACCCTTGCAACAGGAGGAAGGCAGGCCACTGGGTGGTGCAACTACACTGTCGAATTATTGCAGTTTGGCACCACTGGGTCAAGGTTATGGGAATCCTGGGACTTCTATGTATTGTCGAAGGCTTTCATGGCTGGAATCACTAGGTTCTTGTAGGTTTTTTCGGGCTATAGGGCCATGTTCTAGAGGCATTTCTCCTGATGTTTCGCCTGCATCTATGGCAAGCATCCTCAGAGGTAGTGAGGTCTGTTGGAAATAGGAAAATGGGTTTATATGTCTGTGGAATGACTGGGGTGGGGCAAAGAGCTCTCTGCTGAAGCTAGGTGTGAATGTTTCAGCTGACCACCTTCATTAGCATTTGAAGGCCTGCCTGAGCCTGGGAAAATGTTCTGTTGAGAGGTGTTAAGATGTGCCTGGTTGTTTCCTCTCTGCTGCTTTTCTGTAGTAATTCCAGAGTTTTTTAATACTGGTAGCCAGATTTTGTTCATTTTCATGGTCTCCTCCTTTCTGTTGAAATTGTCCACATGTTTGTGGATTTCAATGGCTTCTCTGAAAGCAGAGAAAACAGAAAAGCAGCAGAGAGGAAACAACCAGGCACATCTTAACACCTCTCAACAGAACATTTTCCCAGGCTCAGGCAGGCCTTCAAATGCTAATGAAGGTGGTCAGCTGAAACATTCACAACTTTCATGATCCCAAAGCACTGAGGCAGGAAAGAGAAAAGGGTATCAAATTGCATTAAGTCTATAGTGTAGATGCACCCTTGGATGCAGTTGTGCATAGGAGTGCATCCTGTTACAAGCAATATTGTATTGCACACCTGCAAAGTCTATACATAGGCAAACTTGGGTCCTTCACGTGTACTGGACTTCAACTCCCACAATTACTAACAGCCTACTGGAAGTCCAAAACACCTGGAGAGCCCAAGTATGGCCTTACCTGGTATGTACTGTTTTTTTCGATTAGTTATTTATTGTTTAGGAATATTATTTATCTGTCAGAGGTACTTTGTGCTTTTCCTGCATGGCAGGGGTTGGACTAGGTGGCCCCTGTGGTCTCTTCCAACCCTATGATTCTATAATGTCTATAGTTACTTATGCATTAAGATTACTATTCCATTCCTCTACTCTGGCCGTAAAGCTGCATCTGCACTGGCAATTTAATGCAATTTGACACCGCTAAATGTCATGGAAACATGGGAGTTTGTGTTACATAGTCTTTAACCTTTACCAAAGAGTGCTGATGCCACCCCAAACTACAAATCCCAGGATTCCATATCATTGAGTGATAGGAGTTAAAGTGGTGTCAAACTGCATTAATTGTACTGTGTAGATGCACCGAAAATTACAACTGTACACTGTTAATTGCCATAGTTACAATCTATGGAGTCTTGTGATTTACAGTTTGGTGAGTAGGTTGTGGGGAGAGTTATGATTGTGGCTACTGTGTCAAAATCATGATTAAGAAGCGATTTTCTACATAAAGCCTAACCATACCTGTTTTGCATTAATGATCACAATTTAACCATAATTTTGATGCAGTTACTACAAAGAGAATTTGCTTGTGAACTACTTTACAAGGCATCCACTTAGGGGGAACATTGGGGGGGGGCATTCAATCAACTAGCAAAAAATCTCCCCAACGGGGACTTGGGGCAGCTTACATGGGGCCAGGCCCAACAGCACAATTACAATAAAATAAAATAAAATAAAAACACAAAACAACAGCATAATAAAATTCACAAACAGATGAATTCTATTTCTGTCAGGTTTTGGGGGATTGAGCAGGTGAAGTTATTTACTTAAGTATAAGCTGATACAGGATCCCAGCCTATGTTTATAATGAATCTATACAGCTTGTATTTCTGAAACGATGGTAGCTTGAGCATTTGGTATTTCTTGCTCCTTACAGGTCCTATGTATCAGTGGATTCAACTGTCCATGACTTGAAAACAAGGGGAGGAAAATTTACAATTTAACTGCATAGAGACTTAGAAAATTAAAGGAATTGATATTTTCTTAGGGTCTTGGTTCCTCAGGGACTCAAAAAATATATAACCCCTGAAAAATTAGTCCTCTCGCAACTGTTTCATTTCACACTAACATAATCTTCCATTTTTCTTCAATCACTCCCAAATCCCAGGCCTTCCGTTATTTTCCAGCTATATTTTTGTTAAATTCTGCTGCCCACCAAGTGCTATGTAATGCATTCATTTCCTCCAATCTTAATCCTTTCTCTTTCTCTTCTCTTTAATTTGCTAGAGGAAAAAAACACTCAGTGAATTCTAATGTTTTAAAACCAATTAACTTACTAAAGCATGGTATTAACTTGCTAAAGCACAGGATTAACATCAGCATTAACCAAGAAATCGAGAAAGTTAAACTGCATCAGTAGGAAAATCTAATGAGTTAATAACATTGCATGGTAATCAAAGTTGAAAACAATGCTACTGTCTAGATGTTTTTGGACTACAATTCCCACCAGTCCTAATTCCCAGAAGAGCCAATGGTGTACAACGCTGGGAGTTGCAATCCAGCAACACCTAACAACCTGCATGATTCCCACCCTGCTCTGTGTAAAAGAAGACAAAAGAACAAGATGGCAGTATAAAACATAGTAAAAGGTAAAGGTTTCTCTTGACATTAAGTCTAGTTGTGTTCGACTCTGGGAAGTGGTGCTCATCTCCATTTCTAAGCCGAAGAGCCAGCATTGTCCATAGCCACCTCCAAGGTCATGTGGCCATCATGACTGCATGGAGTGCTGTTACCTTCCCACTGAAGTGGTACCTATTGATCTACTCACATTTGCATGTTTTCAAACTGCTAGGTTGGTAGAAGCTGGGGCTAACAGTGGGAGCTCACCCTGCTCCCCAAATAAAACATATGTGTTTTAATCCCCCCCCCCAGATTTTGGAATACTTGTATTCATATATACATACATAAGGAGAGATCACGGAGATGGGACCCAAGTCTAAACATGAAATTCATGTATGTTTCATATACCTAATACTGTTCCATTATCAGGCGGAGATTACTAGGGGGCACTAGAGAGCAAAGGATAATTCGTTTTATGGGGGTGGAAGGTGGATGGAAGGAGTAAAAACAATACCCCCTGTTTTCCTGTTATTCCGCTCACCCATGTCCTTGTCATGGTAACAACCCTCCTTTTTGCTATGGGAAGGGGAGGGATAAGTAGCAAAAATGGGGGAAATGGTTTTCCCCTGCCCCATAAAACAGGCATTTGGATAACTATGCAATGACAACTAACTCAGTAAGACGGCATTTGAACAAGGAACGGAAAAGGACTGTGAGAACGGGATCTGATTCTAATTGAGGCGTTGATGACTATGTGTGTTGTTTGTGTATGTGCGTCTTATATATTGTTTAGTGTTGCCCATTTTTATTGTAAACCGCATTGAGTCGCCGTCTCAGGCTGATAAATGCGGTATACAAATGGAGTAAATAAATAAATAAAATGAAGTATCCTTATCTCTTTAGCACAGTGGTTTCCAATCATTTTTTTTTTACCAGGGACCACTTGACAAGGGACCTTTGTGAGCAGGGACCACTCTCCAACATTAGCACCAAAAGAGTTACAAATCAGTTTTTGGTCAACTTTAGATTCGGTTTGGTTATTTGAGGTGCTGATTCAGAAAATTGCACTGGATAGACCACATCGCCTCTAGTTTCTGATACAGAACATATGTCACCTAGTAGTCACCATCTGCTCAACCACAGAAAACCATATTTAATAAGCCTTGGCACTATAAGAGGGTTTTCCGAGACCTGTCACTCTCATTGCAAAAGTGCAATAACGGTAAGTTCTTGCGGACCACTTGTGGTCCATGGACCACAGGTTGGGAAATACTGTTCTAGTGGTTATCTAGTGATAATGGAATCATATACCCTTATACACATATACCATAAATATATATAGTACCATACCATACACATAGTTTGAAAGAAATTTTATTAACAATATCATTTAATTGTGCATGAAATAAAGTTTGTGTTCATGGAACTATCAATACTTTCATGTGGACAATGTTTGGATTTTGGAGTATTTTGTATTTCAGAATTCCAGAAAAAGTATGCTTAACATGTACCAGCCTGAATAGCGGAAGAGGAGTCCTGTTTCCAGAAACCATTGATTATAATTAACAAGTAAAAGTCATGGGGAACAACAGGTGTTACTGGAAATTCACACTGGAGTTTTCAGTCCCTGGGGAAACAACGGCAGCAGCAATAGGCATCATCTGAAACCATTAAAGTATTTTAATTGTTGTGTTCGAATTAGGATTGCCAGGTTTCCTTCAATGGTACTCTTGCCTTCTGCTGCATCATCACAAGTAGGAATTCAGCATTATGCCATCCCCATTCCAGGAAAAGCTTTACCTATTTAATTCTGGTGTTGGCATACAGATGTAAAAGCACAGAAGCTCTGCCAGAACCAAGGCTGCCAACATAATTGGAAGGTAATGGTTGTTACTCATATTCTCCTTTAAAAACACACACTCCAAATCACAATTCCCCACATGTTTAAAGAGCTAAAGTGACTAACAAAAGCTCTGGCAGATGATAGCTTAACTTACTGTAGAAGCCTCACTTGTCAGCTGGGCTCAGCAGGCAAGAAGCTGAGAGGCTCAGAAGAGAAGAATGAACACTTTAAAATACACACAGACTGAATGCAATTAGGACTTTCCTGTAAAGGTGCAATAATCCTAGGAAATATAATTTTATTCTGTGGCCCCATCTACACTGCTATATAATGTCATTTCATAATGCAGCTGAACTGCATTATATGGCAGTGTAGATGTATTATGTAATGATATTATATGGCAGTGTAGATGGAGCCTGTGTATATTTGCAAGTGCAAGTTAATGACGTATTAGATGAATAAGTAGTCTGGGAGTATATTTGCATTTTGTAGTCATATCAATCTGTATTCC